CTTTTGTCCAATAGTAAATACAACAAATCTTAGGATCTAAACGAACTAGTACATTGTTACTCTTCAATAGATGGCGCTACTAAACAAAAACACCAATTGCTTTTTTCCTAAGTTTTTGTTTCGTAAATATTATTTAACTTTACAGAATGAAAACGGAAACTTAAAATATAAAGTCATAAAACAGTTAAAAGAACCAATATCAGACTCGAATAATGTTACAAGATAAGTGTTAGGATGTCTTTGAAAACTCAAATATTACGATTGTTTCAAACACAACTAGATAAAAATTAAAATAACTATATTTTGATAATTTTAATGATATGAATTTATGAAAAAAAAAAAAAAAATATAATTAAATCACTATTATTAAAATGACGATACGTAGATAAGATAAGTTTGTATGTAATATAATATATTATAACATCTCCGTGAAGGTCGGCTTGAGCTCGTAATATTATTAATGAACAGCTGATTACGAGATGACGTGTCACAGGCCACGGACCTCGTCAGGTGAGAGATGGAGACAGGCTCATGAAGAATACTCGTCTTGTTGAACTATAGAAGAGTCTAGAGAACTCAAGTCGTTGTAGAACGAAACATTGTTAGATTCGGAACTGTTTAAAAAACTTCTTTCTGATGTGTTTTGATATAAATATTATAAGAATCCTAAAAAGGTGTTTCCTGATATGAAAATAAAAAAAATATTTACACTTGTCCAGGAATTTGTGAAGCCTCTATAATATATTATTTAATAAAAGTATTTGAAAACTCCTTTCATTATAATAAATTTGTTTAATTTGGAAAAACTATACATACTTATTATTATTTTTTGTATTAATAATAACAAAGCAATCTTATCGGTGTATAAATATATTTGTAATCTTACTGAATGTAAAAAATAAAATAACAATTAATATTTAAAACGAAAGGTTAATCAGTCACCTCGCGAAAATAACTGCTCAAAGTATGGTAGTTGCGCTAGTTCAGATAACATTACTGAAAAAAAAAACTATCAACTTAAGAATGAAATTTAAATAATAAAATGGACATACATCTGAACATATAAAAGGTGTGTTCTGTCTCACTGGAACGTCTTGTTATCGAAATGTTAGCAAAAATCCAATAATGAAATTAGGAGCGAATAAAAACTTATTATACCTAATATACAGAACTGAACTCTGAAGAGACATGGCGTTTGACGAGAAACTAATTTAATTAATGAAAATACTGTGAATGTTTTCTAGAACGAGACCTTGTGGACCTCAAGGATCTTTAGGACCTGCGAGGTTTTAGTGTGAGTCGGCCTCGTCACACTACATACGGAACGGTACCAGACACCAGTCTTCATTCATATAGATTGAGTGTTGACGTTGGAGAATTAACGTGTTCTTATAAATGACAAACGAGAAACTGATCGTATGTAGTGTGACGATGAAAACTCAGAGTAGGCAACACGTACACCTCACCGAGTAGGTTCATACACAGAGGGTTGGGTTATAGCATTTGTAGGAGATGTAATATATTGTTAATAAGACGTGATCGTTGGTAGTTTATAATAAAATCAGTAACAACTCAGAGTCTCTGATTACAGCCGCTGAAGTCATGATAACGATAACATACACTATATAATGTATGTATGTATGTGTGTATGTTTAAGTTTCTCTCTGTTATAATGTAGTGGAACACGAACCCTTATCATCGGAGCAGCTCTTAATGTACTCGTGTTCATATACATCTTGTATTACACGGACTCTCTTAATAACTCGTTTAATAAACTTTAATTTATATATTTTGAAAACAAAACATGACAAACAGATTAAGCTGCGTCTAAATGTATTTTTATAGATGACTGATACTTGGTGTTATAATAAAATTAAAATAGATGTTTTTTAACAAGGAACAGAAAAAAAATTGCGATCTTCGAAAAAATGAAACAAGCTTTTATAACATTATAAATATTATGTTAGTGTATCGATCAAGGATTGATGTCTTTATAAACATAGAGAGGTATAGGTACTTAACAAATAAAACAACGGTGGAATCATGAAACACGCCTTTATTAGAACATCTTACACGCATACAACTGCACTACACGATAATAAACATTTTAAGTACAATTAATAATATCTATATACATTTTATATTATAATTATTAATATTTCTTTCTGATCACGTCTCTGTAGGTGTTGAATGTCAAACCCTGCCTGTTTTTGTCCCGCCGCCCGCGGTGACCCTGACCTGAGCGTCCCTCCAGGTCGTGTCTGGACAGCGCCGGCGCCTCTTTGTAACGTGACACGCTCGCTAGTCGACAACTTTACTACTAACAGAGGTCACAGGCCGCCCTTCTTGTTATTTATTAACAAGTTTTTTGTCACCCCAGCACGTCACCGCGCCGCCTATTAATAACGAGGCTCAGAGCTGTCTTCACTACCTATGACTTCTGTATAATATAACGTGTAATTCGTATATACTCGTTCTATCCTAGCCTGTTTTATTTGTTACATGATCATCTCAACTCTCAACAACCGTCAACTACACTAGTAACTCGCACTGTGTCACAAGTCACGACGCGTCCCTCAAAGCCCCGCCGCCGGCCGCGGGCGCGGTGACGTCACTCGGCTCGGGTGACATTTTAACAGCCGACCATTTTGTTTTTTGCTCCCGCGCTTTTTCCGCGCGAAGCGAGACTCATAAAATTTGTTATTGATACAGTAAAATTTCGTATTAGGTTGTATTAAATTCGAAACAAAGCAAGGATTTAATTGGTAATCCGCGGCCGAGGCTCGTATTTGTAGGAACAATATCCGTTTATTGTTTTAGGTTGTAAAGTCGCGGCGGACTTGTGCCGGGCGGAGTCTGAATCAATTCACCTTCCATTGTGACTCACTTTACGATTTTAATGTCGAGCGCTGCCGACGTTTATACAGAGATCAAATAAAATATACCTTTAAATAAGAACCATTTTATTTTCATACATCATTATATCGATAAGTACTATAAATTATATACAAGTGTGATTATGTTAAAATACTTCCGTCAGCTCTACTGCTGTGTTTCACCGTGTCGATGTTTAAGACATACAATCTATATTAAATACCCATATTCGCCTTTAATAATAATAAGTACTTATATCTACATCTCATTATGTATATACACGATTGCACCGCGGGCTGTCTGTGTGTAGACACAACACACAGATGTATAATGTTATGTTTCTTTAATATGTGTTATCTCCTGTCTCCTTACCTCTCTAGTGTTAACTTATTCAATATACAAATCTATAATACTCGTTCATAATAACTCTAACATTTAATATCACTATATTTAAGTTATAATATTATTAAAAGTCTTTATCGTTCCGCTCCCCGTCCGTCCGTCTGTGTCTCGTGTCCATCAGCCAGTCATCATTATAATACTCTGTGTCGCTGGTAACTCACTGCGTGTGCCAGGTCTAAGGACGTGTGTCTCAAGAGAAGTACTTATACTGGAGAACGTGACCCAACAAGACGGAACAGTTCCCAAGACGTCACCGGCCACGACTCCATCTTGTCCCAGTGCTGTGTGTGTGTGTGTGTGTGTGTGTGTGTGTGTGTGTCATAGAGCGTGCGTGTGTGCGTGGTGCGGGACGGCCGGGCCGTGTCCGTGAGGCAGGCCGTGTGGCACGCCGGCCTGCTGGCGACCCTGGAACATCGGACTCCATTAATAAAAAGTTAACTAGAGTAATGTTAAAAAACCCTGTCAGTACCGCGTCATGTAATATACAAAGATGTTCTTTATAAAACAACTAGAAGACCCGGCGAACTTCGTATCGCCCTATAATCAAGAAATATCTGTTACGTTTTTTTTATTTATATTTTTGGAGTTTCCCTATTGAAGCCATAAATCTCCGTGTTTTGATGTGCGACAGAATGATTGACATATTAGTTAGTTGTCAAATCTAATGACAAAAAAAACGTTTGTATCAACAACTACTAATAAATTAAAAATTAATTAAAAAACATTGTCCAGCGGTAAAAATTCAGAGGAAAAAATCTAAACCATTCCCAGATCCCCTTGAACACATTCAAAAAATGTCATCAAAATCGGTCCAGTCGTTTGAGAGAAGTTCAGTGACATACACACTCAGAGAAGAATCTATAGTAATATTATAAAGCTGAAGAGTTTGTTTGTTTGTTTGTTTGTTTGTTTGAAAGCGCTAATCTCCGAAACTACTGGTTCGAATTGAATAATTCTTTTTGTGATGGATAGTCCAGTTATCGAGGAAGGCTGTGGGCTATATAACATCACGCTACGACCAATAGGAGCAAAGATATAGTGGTAAATGTGTAAAAAACGGGAGAAATTATTTCATCTTTGAAGCCTTCCGTTGCGTGCGCCATGAAAACGGTTCAAGATACACAAAAAATATGTGTTAAAGAATAATAGCTCTTTTAATGATCTAAAAAACAGTCCGCGACAGTATATGTCTATCTTTTAAGATTAACTCACAAAAACCGTTTTTATGGTACCTAATTTGATCGAAATAATTTATTTAAGTTGTATCAACATAATAATATTAATCTTTATTCAAATAAACAAATAAATATGTTGTTGGTTAAGAGTACTTCATTGTGATTTAAAAAAAAACATAGGTTTTATCCTGAAAATTCTACGGGAACTCGACCATTCCGAAAACCCCGCAAGAACGGGAACTATGTGGGAAGAACCAAAAATCTGTCGGAAGTAACTATTCCACGCGGACGAAGCCGCGGCAAAAGCTAGTTATATATATAAAGATATGTCTATTGGATATTTCGGCACCCACAGTTTATTAGTTTTCAACATGTTTATACTTGAGGTCTAAGACTTTCGTGACTATTCCTTTAAATGAATCTAATATTTTCGGATTACATACTTCATAAATGTATTTTATTGTTTTTAAAACTATATACTCCCGACGTTTCGGTTACATTGTAGTAACCGTGATCACGTACCTACAGACGAGATGTGAATGTTTGTAGTTAATGTAATATACTGATCAAGTGATGTACCTGCAAGTACACGTAATAGTCGTAGGGTTGGTGTAGCGGCCAGCATCTCTGCGGCGGGACGGGGTACAGCGGAGGCACGGGGTACAGCGGACCACCCAGCTTGTTCCTCAGGATGCGGCTGATGCTGGACACCGAGGGCACGTTGTACTTGTCACAGACCCCGTCCGCCAGCAGTCTGTCACGAATCTCCCACGCGAAGATGCCCGGGTCCTTGGCTTTTAGCTGTTTGATGTACGACACCACCTGGACGGGAACAAACATGAGCTGAGAAATGTACCAGCGACACCTGCTAGAGACACATCTGGATACTAGAACAACAACAAATGAAGTATTATGAACTATATCATCGTCATCAGCCTATCAGAGCCCACTACTGATCAAAGGCCTTTTGTCACACGGAGAAGTTTGAGCATTAATCACTCTTGCTCAAGACGGGTTGGCGATTTCAAAATTATAATTGTGAAATTATAAGCCCAGGTTTCCTCACGATGTGGTTAAGTTCACGGTGAAAAGTTGAGGAGCGTTTGTTGCTGACTGAATAAAGACTCTACATGTATTAGACGGATGCCGTTTTTCGTATGAGACATCGTGTACTCACCTTGGGTGTAGTGACCCTGGGCTTGGAGCCGCCGATGGCTCCCGGCAGTATGGAGCCCGTCTCGTGGTACCGCGCCAAGATCTTGGACACGCAGCCGTGGGACACGCGGAGCTGACGACTGATATCGCACGGTCTGCACACATACGAGGGAGTGTTCAGATGGAGCTTCTATATCCGTGAGCGCGTCACGTCAGTCCGGTGTGTGTGAGTTGTACCTGATGCCTAGCTGAGCGAGCTCCACGATCCTCAGCCTGACGGCGTTGGGTAGCGGCCGTCCGTTGACGAAGACTCCCCCCAGCTGGTTGACCTCCCCGTACTGCTGCGCGCCCACCATGCCCGGCGGCGGCATACCACTCACGCTCGGATCTGAACAACACAGAAACAACACACCTTCCTGTTATTATAAATGTGGTTTTGTTTCCACTTCATATTGATATTTTCTTAAACTAGAGACAAGACGAAAGCTCTTAGCATTCAATGTATTCACCGTGCAGGTGCCGGGTCCATCGTTGCAGGGAGAGGAGTTTTAACAGTGCCTGGGACTTGTGACCCAGGTGTAGGTTTAAGGGGTTGTATTAAATAAATGATTTACATTATTTTATTACCCTGGTTCTATGAGCTCTATTTTTTATGAGGCGACGTATGTAACTTGTCATCATGAATATCTGATAGCTGTGTAATGTGTTTGTTATTTGAATGTTCAAGAGAACTAATGTGTTTAAAACAATAAGATGTGTGTACAAAATAGAATACAAACTGCTTTATGAATGAGACATTTTCGCTAGAATAATATCTCATAGGGTGTTAGAAGATGGTTTTTGGTGGGTCACGGAAACAAACTGGTCAGTTAGTGTGAGTATGTGTACCTACTAATGGAGACACACAGACAAACTTTTTAAAATATAATGAAAATACATTAATTAGGTAAATCTTCATAAATAACATGATAAGAAATCTCCCTAACAGATGATGAACACACTGACATAGTTTCTTTATATTTAATATTTCACTCGACTCGCGTCTGAAAAAACCTTGAAATATTTTCATTTTACATAAAGGTGTTAAAGTTTTAAATAACTACTAGAAGACCTGGCGAACTTCGTATCGCCCTATAATCAAGAAATATCTGTTACGTTTATTTATTTATATTTTTGGAATGTATCTATTAAAGCCATAAATCTCCGTGTTTTGAAGTGCGACAGAATGATTGACATGTTAGTTAGTTGTCAAATCTAATGACAAAAAAAAGTTTGTATCAACAACTTCTAATAAATTAAAAATTAATTAAAAAAACATTGTCCAGCGGACAAAATTGTGAATCTAAACCATTCCCAGATCCCTTTAAACACACACAAAAAATTTCAGCAAAATCGGTCCAGTCGTTTGAGAGATTGTTCAGTGACATACACACTCACAGAAGAATTATATATATAAATATTTATTTCAAAGCACATGGTCTATGATGAGTGTTTTGTTAATATGTAGCTAATGCGGACGGAAACAGGGATGTCAGCTAGTTATATATTAAACACAAGCATCCAATCCTCTTATTACAAATAAGCATCGACCCTCCAATGACTTAACGTGTCCAGGTCTTAGTTAATAATCCTATGTTGATATTATTTTGTGTTAAGAGTTATGAATGAAAACAGAAAACCAGCCGTGTGGTGTAACAGTAGACAACACTTGTGGTAAGGACGCTGTAACCGAATGTGACACATCTGATGTTATAAGGAATCGGAGTTTTGAATTAACTAAAATATTTGTAATTAATATTGTGCCACAATTCTAAAATGATAGATACATGAAGTACGGCCCCGACGGCAATCTGACATGCATTATGAATAAATAGAAGGTATATAACTATGTACATTAAAATACAGAGAACATTGTCACAATACATCGGTCCTTTATATATACAGCTCATGTAGTCAGAACAATATTTACTAGACTTAAATTAAACTCTGCTTTATCTTATGTTATCACTATACAGGGTGACTGGTGAATTACTATCGATAATTGAGGACGTAATATTTGACGATCATATATAACAAAATAAAAATTAATATAACATAAATATTAATAAACTTCTAAGTAAAGTTAACCAAAAGTTATGTAATTAATTACGCATCGTGTGAACACCCTACAGATTAGGTATACACACACACACACATACGTGTGCACATCATTACAGATACGTACATGATGTATACATACAGACATACATAAAGAAGGATGTTAGAATAATGACAGTATTATATAGTATATAAGAGTATATATAATATATAAGATGTAGAATAATATACAGTATGAAACAGAAGAACACGTCACGGAATATTAATGTCGAACATTTTATATCCGCGAGTTATTACATCTTTATGACGGACGACGATAAAAATGTAAAAATTAATTGTTTCCATATTTTATTACATTTTAAAAATTTCTCTCGACGTTTATTAAACACGCGCGTTATATGTTGAAACAGACTGAGACGTTTCAGTTTAAATACCTAAACTAAATGTTTCTCTACCAATGACATTACTTTACACATCAGACCCCAAACAGAGCCGGGGCCGGTCGCTAGTATATAGTTCTAGTATGTAATGTATGTTATCTAGATTATGAGTAATCCTTCATCGGCCACTGATAACGTTATCAGTATACCAAAATGCAGATTTCACACGCTTTGACGTCACCAGGTAGGGTACAGGCCTCTGGAGGTGACTCGTGAAGTCACGAAAAGCTCAACATCTGGTCGTAAACTATCATGAGGGTTTAAGAATTAATAACACGAGAATCTAAACTAATAGTCGTGGTGGTATAGTAATTAAAGGTTCGCCTCTCGTGCATGAGACCGCGAGTTCGAAACCTGGCAAATACCAATGTGATAATTCAAGTCATATGTACTTTCTAAGAGTATTTAGACATCACTGATTGATAGTGAAGGAAAACATCGTGAGGGAACCTGGACTTATAGTTTCAAATTACAAGTTTGAAATTATCAACCCATCTTGAGCGAGCTTGGTTATTAATGCTCAAATCTTCTCCGTGTGAGAACAGGCCTTTGTTCAGCAGTGGGCTCTGATAGGCTGATGATGATGAAACTAAACATCTTGAAATATGTTTCAAGTGATTCCTTGTTAAAAGTAAATTCCCCCTACAGCCTCCGTCTCCTCTGTATACACGTGTTATCTCCGCGTCTCATCTCTCGTCAAGTCGTATCCGTGAGGCGTGTCCCCAGTGTCGGCGGACACTCCATATTTCCGTCATCAGTGAGGCCGCACGGAGTGTACTCTACTTGACAGAAGGGGTATGTTTCCATTGTGTTGTAAAGCCAAAACTGTTTAATTAGCACACGAGTCTATACATCTGTAAGCATCCTTCATTATAGGGAACATTCTAATTGTTCTTTGTTTCAGTGAACAGCCAGTGAAGTCATTTTACCATGTTTTCTCGACGACAAATCCTTTTTCACCCTTTTTTCACTTTCGTCAGGCCTAATGGGGACTATTTTCAGTTTATCATTTATTATCGCATACGATACTATTATTGTGTGTATTTCAATGAAAGACAGGAAACTGTGAGTGTGTCAGTTATCGTCGTGAACTCGTGTTAAGGACCTGACCCATGCTCCTCTTTCAAATTCTTGTTTATTTAATATATTCACGAGATGTCAGTAATCATTAATAGATACTTGTCAACGTTCAATTAATATGTACTAAAATATTTTCAGTAATCCCAGTTCCCAACTTGGTACCCTTTTTTTAATTAATTAAATTCTTTTTTTATATACACATTGTGTACATAGGGTAATTGAATATCGTCGTAATGTTAATACGTAACTTTGTCTTTATGTGATTAAATCTGGCATAACATAATAATACTTAATGATGACTCAGTACATGTGTGTGTATCATCTCCTCCACGTGTGTGTGTGTGTGTGTGTGTGTGTGTGTGTGTGTGTGTGTGTGTGTGTGCGTGTGTCCGTGTGGGTGGCGGCCCGCCCCTGCACGTGTCGCTCGGTGTCCTCACATCAAAGCCACCGCCGTCATCAAAGGACACTCTGACCTGCGTCACCAGCCCGCCCTGACCCACACATACTTTTGTTTGAACATTTTAATTTATAATTCGGTTTTATTTTTATTACATATTACTTATATCATAGTATTACAAACGGAGATGTTTGTACTTCACACTGGTTGCGAAGCGTTTGTCACATAATAAATATAATAATTATGTGTGTTTATTCGTGTTAATCAAGTCTAGTGTGAACCAAGCAGGTCAGACCGTCGTCTCTGTATCTTTTTCTCATATTTATTTCCTGATATCCGTATCCGCCTTTTCCATATATTTTAGGCGGCAGTTATTCCTACTACACCGGTCAACTTCTTTACCACCACCGGCCACTCTCATAATATAAATATTTGACGACTTATTGTTTTTTGTTATTATTTATTCTTGCTACTTTAATCATTGTCTATTCATTATTTAGTTTATTAACGTTTTCAAAAATATTTTTTAGTCCCGATTCGTAAATCGATCTTGTATTGATCGCTTTTTTCCTATCTTATTATCATTTTCATGGCGCTAACATATAAAAATTTAATTGAAAACTCTATATAAAATTTTAAAACAAATATATTTTATTAATTGTACACATCAAATGGATACCGTTTATATTAAGAGCGTCTCTTTCAAATCACAAACATTAAAGGAGCTCCGTCCCATCAATAAAGCTGAAGAATTAAGTAAACGTTGTAAATTGAAGTTCATATTTCAGCTGAAGAAATGTTAACGAACCATCGAACCCTTTGTTCCAGCCCACGGCCGCCTCTACAAACGATACCAGCGATATATTTTAAACTATAATAAACTTTGTATAATTCGCCGAAAACACTACTAACTGTCAACGGCGAGGCGTCAAAGGCGAATCGTAAATTACATGCAAAAGAAACATATTTCCCTTGTCCCTTCCGTCCCTGTCGCACCCGAGGCGTCCCCATATAATACTATCCCTCTCTGAAACCAATTAGTACGACTCAAAGATACCGATTCAGGAGCGATTTAATGGCGCTAGTGTTGTCAATGAGATTACTGTTTTCAATTAATTAAATTATTATCTGCGTATAAATGTGTAGAGTTTATTTACTTTTAAATTATAATGATCCCCCATCAATATTCTTGCGAGTTTACAAACTTTTTAGTTTAATTTATATATTTTCAACTGAAACATGGCGTATTCCATGAACTAAGTCAATTTATAACAATTAAGGCAATCAAAGATGTTTACACAAAAGTAATAAAATAACAAATCTCTGAAGCCACAGCTCTGTTACAAGTGCGTGTGTCATGTCGGCCGTCCCCTCACTACTCACTACTCGCTACTGACATGACAGAACATGACAGATGTCAGTAAGACGTTGTCGACCGTTTTCCTCGCATTAATAATACTTATGTGTGATTTCATTAATTTTATTGTTTTAAATTGTCAATTCTTTAGCGAGATCTGCCAACGGACAACAGTGATGACAAATACCGCCCGCCGGCTTGATGTATGTAAAGCGGCGTCCATAACTCACGGCGGAGAGAGCCGGCCGATGCGGCGATGTTAATAATGTACAGTTTATGAACAGGAAATACGTAAATACGGGCGGGGAAGAGTGCGAACGGCAATAATAAGTGGTGGTGTGTAATGTATGCGAGTGTGTGAAGTTTTAAATATGTAATTAAGTTTTATTCAAGGTTCCCTTCCGTCCTAGTTAGTTATCGCGGCCTCCCGTCTCCGGCGGGGTGCGGGCGCGGGGCTCGTTTACGGTCTTCTTTACGAGCCCCGCGCTCTAACTACACTACTCCTGTACACTGTACGGACTGTATACACCAGCTCTGTATAAATTTAACTGCCACTTAACGTATATTAATATTTACGACACTCATATTTTTATATTAACCGCGTGTGATACATCCCCCGCCCCCACCACACACACACACTACCCATCTCATTCAATTTCACTCTACAGATTCATTCTTTTCATTCATTTTAATGATTATTTGAACGTAAAGCATAGCTGAATAATTTCAAAACATAGATATGAATGTGGAGGGATATGTGGGTCGAGGTAGACCTAAAAAAAGATGGATGGATTGCGTGAAGGATGACATGGCTAAGAAAGTGGTAGCCGATGAGATGACGACTGATAGGCGAGACTGGGAGAGAAGTACATGTTGTACCGACCATACATAGAGTGGAACCAGGACAGGAAGAAGAAGAAGTAATAAAAACATACTTCTATCCTCAAATTATATAACTTATGTGAACACGACTGTATTATACTAACAATAAATAATATTATATACAATGTGTGTAACCTGCGACGGAGAAACATCTCACAACCAACAGCTCGTAATATGTTCATTTAATAATGAATTTTTTTTGTATACTTAATTCCATACTTTAGTAATGTATACAAAGAGCAGTGTTTTTATTATAATAATGATGTATATGTGTTGTAAAGAGACTTGTTTTGAAGATTGCCTTGTATACAGAGGTGTATCCTATCTTTTAACATATACATATGTAATACATATAATTCCTATGTTGTAATTTTATTAGTAAGTATATACGTATAATATTTTAGTCACGATTCCAGATTAAATTAGTTTAATTACGTATATTGTTCATGTACAATATTTATTAATTATGACGAAATAAAATATTTATTAAGTCTTTCGCGAGTTTTATTCATTGAAATAAGTCTCGTTGCTGAAAAGTTGCCGAAGCGTCGGGAGTATGTATTTCCGAAAAATATTAGTTTAACTTTAATATATTAATTATGTTCTCGATTGTAACAAACGGATGAAGTATTATAAAATGTTTAAACTGCTGATTGTTTACAACAACACAGATTTTTTTTACGAAAGAAAACTATACTGATATAAATTGAAATGTTGTTGAAAAAATATTTTTCATTCCTTATACTCGGAAAATAGTGTTGTTGTGATCTGATCATAGGGTGGAAAATGCTTTTTCCCTCCTTAGAGCGGGAAAAACTCATACAAATTACAAGTAGACCAGTGCTGATAGCTTTTAAAACATAATTAAATTATAGTAGAATGAAACCCATTAGAAAAGGAGGGGAATATTATAAAAATTAAGGGAGAAGTTTTAGCAGCTTAATGTCAATTTTCTGTAAATTAACTAAAAGAGGGACTATCTGGAGAACTTTCAGAGTACAAACTGTTAAAAATAAATTAGAAAGAGCATTTTCAAACCAATGTCGAGTGTCATTTCATTAAAAGAGACATGATTATTTTATCTAAAAATGGTACTGTAAGTAAGAAACTTATATTTATTTCTTCACCATCGGAAAATAGAGATTTCAATTAACAGAAAACACACAACATTTTTGAAAAACACTAATATTTTGACGGGTGATTTTTCGATTGAAAATGATGCTGATTTTTTGATATTTATTCAAAATAAGCTGAAAAAAATATATATTTCTAATCAAATAAATTACAGTGTATTTGGGATATCAAAAGAAAAGTTTTCACAAAATTTCGTGACAAAATATTGTTTTTTGTAAGAGATAAAAATAAAACATCAAAAACTTGGTTTTTCGAATTTTTCACATAAAATTTGAGGTTATGTGAAAAAAGTGTTACTACAAAAGTTTTAGATCTTTTTATTACCTACAACTTTGCCATATAACATTTTTCATTAGGACTCTTAGTTTTTCCGGAAATCGAGAAAACCCCTTTTTTACCCTTAAATACCCACGCCCGTACCCTTCCCGACCTCAGATCGCCCGTAAATTATTTTTCCTTAATTTTTATAACATTCCCCTCCATTTCTAATGGGTTTCATTCTACTATAATTTATTTTCACTTTTCATCATTTTTAGAGACATCTCCATTGGCCTGAAGGGCCGGAATGAATTTCAAAAATACGACTACTGTCGGCGGTGACATTATAGGTATGTAAAAATAAAAAAATATGCTGAGGCCATGCGAGTCTCTAAACAGTCAGTGTGAACTTAGCGCAACTAGTAGGTATTGTATTTTCTTTGAGCGGAAAAAAAAAGCCGCAACAAATACGCGGTGAATTCCATATTCAAATAATTATTATATATTAATTAATTATCAATAAATACTTAGTTCAGATAAACTACTAGTTTTATTTTCCTCATTTATTCGAAATGAAAAATAGTTAACCCGGTTTAACAGAATCAATTCCAACTCGGACCACAGCCGTCTAACTTAGTATCTTGGGTATTGATTCTTTCCACTGTTTGTGAACAATGTACTAAGTATAATTCATTGTGTCCTTATACACCAAGTTCAAATACTACAAGACTTTCAACCGTAGAAACATCTTAATAGAATGATAATTCGTGAGAGAAAACGATAAATACGAATCAAATATAGGTGACCAAAGTCATCATTACTGACTGGAGAACATGGGACTACTGACTCGACTTGAGGCCGACTGATGTGCTCAAAGTGACTTAAACAAAACTTCAAAAGTTTTCGTAATATTCAACATTTCTGTAATAATAATAAGTTTGTTTTAAACACAATATAAACATATTAAAGGGAGACGCGTCTCGTGAAAAGAGTAAAAAACTCAAACCCCGTCGGACCTTAAGTAAAGTTAAACCTCTTCATGACGGCGGCGAGTAACGGGACATAACTTGTATGTACAGCTACTGGTACATTACTTTTATTATTTATATATATTAAAAATAAGTATTACGTGATTGTGGCTAAAATTTATCGAAAAGTTACAGGGGTGAGGGGACAGTCTAACAACAACTAGAGATGGTGACTTGTTAATCTAATCATAAAAAATAATCTACACATTTACATATCGTCTTGATGATCACGGTTGCTGAAAAGTAACCGAAACGTCGGGATAGATAGATTTTTACAAAAGCCGAAACCTCTTAGCATTCAGTGGATTCACCGAGCGGGTGCATTGCGCGTAGTATAAAATTAGTATAGGTATCCGAAGAAATACCTATAAGTTTCATTTAAATGATCTACTGGTATTATTTTACTTGAGGATGTCTCTCATTTGTCACGTTCAGTGAGAGTGTCGTCAGTCGTTAACCGAGTCAGTTATCCTACACTGTACACTGTATAGAGTCAGTCAGTAACGTTTAACTGAACCAATCATAAAGATATCGTTTTCCTGTTACTTGATTAATATTTTCATGTAACGAGTTATTCTGATTTTGTTTTAACGATCGTTTTAATTATAACTAATGTTAAGTGTTTCACAATCAGACGGTGCACTTGTATATTCAATGTATTAAATGTATAAATGGAACTTATATTTTTCGGATTACACTACGCGTGTTTTATTATTGTAAAAACTAAGTACATATTCCCGACGGTTCGGTTACTTTTTGTCAACCGTGATTACGGTCAGACGAGAAGTTAATGTGAAAAATACGCATAGTAATCCGAATAATTATTATAGTTTCATTAAAATGAATACTCGCAAAATCTTACATATCATCATGTTATTAAAAATATATTGAAATAAATTTACATCGCACTCCCGGGTTCTTGTTAGAAGCACATATTTAATGTGTGAATGTGTGTTATATAATAGTACTATGTAACAAATGTAAATAATATATTATATATATTAACACAAAACATAATCGGGCCCCACGATACAGGTCTCCTAGTGTGCGGTCCAAAGATAATCAAAATTTTAAAATGTGCTAAAACCATAATGCACCTCAACCAATGAAAAACATTGTAATAGTTTAAGTTTAAGAAGATTAATTCTATCATTATATGTTAATCTATTATTATTTATTATGTAAGCATTGTGTTTTTTCAATAAAGTTATTATTTATTATTATTAATTCTCCGCCGGCCACATCATCTCTGAGGATCTCACTCGTCCCGTCGGGGTTCAACCTAATGTCTCATACTCTTCCTATATTAATATTTCTATCTGTTAATATGAAGAGGTTTTTTAAAGTAACCGTTTCTGAGATTGTTTTTATATATTCTGCAGTAAATACTAGTCATTAAAATATTTGTTTCAATTTATTATTCGGAAGGTTCTAGATTAACGTTTACTACGTATGGGTAACCGATTTATTTGTTTGCCGATTGCCTAAATACCGGATAGTTTTAGATGTACACTATCTATTGTCCGCGAGCACGCTCGGGTCTACACAGTATGTATGTATGTATGTATGTGTGTGAACATAGTGTAGTATATTCCGTACATTTCCCGTGTCAGTGCGTTAACATTGTCGTCCAGTAGGCGAGGTACGACTAAAACAATATTGAGCACGAGGAAAATCTCATATTAACATTAACTTCGTCTTTAGAAATTTTAACTCGATGCGAAGGGAACCGTCCTCTATCGTATAGGACACAAGGTCGTCATTCGCGTGTACATGCGAGGCCACACACGGCGCGCGGCAGCCGCCAAACGGTCACCGAGCAAACACCGTCTTTAAGAGTTAGCCTCGACTCCGCTTGTCACAACACTCGTGACGTCACGCCGCCACTCACCGGGAGTCACCTTTCACTGGTTGTTTACTCAGCGAGGCTACTGGCTCCCGCCGGCTCCGCTCCGTACCATAATCATACTACAAGACATGTTCTATTCCCGTGTACACGAGTGTCAGGTCTCGTCTTCCCTGCCCTGCCAGCGTCTCCTGCGCGTCTCTGTCCTGGCCGTCTCCTGTCAGCTGTCGCTCCGCTTTCAGTTTATATTAGATATCATCAAAGTAACTCGATCCCTGAGAGATCATTAGAGCTATCCGCGGAAACCGTTCTCATTATATTTCAAAGGACGTATTGTGTTCGCTTTTAATATTTCTGAACGTCTTCTGTCACCTGAGGAATGACGCCGAGCATTTAAAGTGACAGCTCGGGGTCGGCGGGGGCGGGGGGGGGGAGACAGCTGGCCTTATTAACCCTCGTAAAGACTGCGGACCGAGGAGCGGGTGTAAATCATGGAGAGCTAATTATTGACGCCCTCCCGCGGAACACGTGCCGCCGACCGAACAGACAAATAGATGAACATTGGATGTTACGACCACATACCTCCTGCATACTGACACAATGACGATGAGACGAAGAGAACCCGAAGAGGTCAGACTATATATTAGTATACTACATATGTAATCCTAGCCAGTCAGCGAGTTTCACGCGTCGGTCTTATGTATGTTTTGTTTCATCATCATCCTTACAATCGTTTAGTTATTAACTTCCTCGCATCGTGTGTTCACCCGACGTCGTCTACATTAACTCTATTATCTCTAAGTATATTCACTCCTATGAGAGATGTCGTCAAATCATTTTCTTCGCCAATTTGTTAGTTGATGTTTATTTTAAGCCGTACCCCAGCACCTGGGCCGCCTGCCTCGTCCGTCCACATTCCCGGCGTGTTTGAGGCGAGCTTATTGAGGACTTACACGAACCTGGTCATAATTAGTATGGAACAATAAATCACCGCCACGCGCCGCTGAGACGAGACGAGACCTCTGACTCTAACTGACATCAAGACACTCACTGAATATTACAAACCAACAAACATAAACATGTCACAAGTAATGTATTACTCCGCCCCTCATAATGTATTGTCAGCTCCGTGACACGCGTTACGGTAACTCTTACAGTAGGCGACACTGATAGTACTCTCATTGTACGTGTAGTCGATGGATCAATGAATTAAAAAGTAATAAAATATTATAATTAATAAGATTATCATATTATAAAATTATAATAAGAAGTAGTAACTATATTAGTTGAGAGATTTAAAGTACACATGAGTTGTACGTTAATGTATGTTTATCGTAACCTGAGTGATCTATTGACCAGAACTGATGACGCTATTAGCTGGTGGTTGGTGAAACGTGTCCTGACACACACTAGCTCATGATCAAATCCCCTCTGAGGAGATTATACGAATATGTAAGAAGTATTGATATACACGGGAGATCAGTTACACGGTAATGCATCAGAACAAGGACCTTCATCAGAGGTGGAGGATGGAGCTTAGGAGTACATCGTTTATATAGGAGGTGATGAGAAACGGAGATGAGAACTGGAATGCGGTAGTGAAGGAATTTAGAGGATTTAGGCGCTACATGCTCACGGGAGCAATGTTTAGAAACATTAACCGGATTACCGAGGACAGACAACCACTTACTACACGAAACATGGAGTATTATATTACACGGAGGGGACGCCGCCCCGCGCGGGTTAGGGTAATAATGTTTACATGAATTAGTACCCCGGGTACACGAACATACAGGGACACGGGAACTGAAACATGAGCCGGGACAGCTCTGTAGACAGGGGGAGAGATAGGGGATGATGATGATGACGTCACGCGGCTCCTGAGATCACCGACACCAGGGAAGTACAGCAGGCCGAGTACAAGACGGCTCTTAAGAAAAACAACAGGAGGAGCGGCTACTGGCTACACGTACCGCGGCTTGTTTACCTTACTACCGGAGTTTAAGTAGCCTGTGTCTTTATTTACGAGACGGACAGGTTTTTTTGGCGACATTTTTTGTTGTTTGTGAACAATAACCCGGAGACATGTCGCCAATACACCGCCCGCGCCCGGCCCTTCCCTTACACTCATACACTTAGCTCTTGTTTGTGTTTAGGACTTAATAGTGTTTGTACTAATGACCGGTGAGGGGATGTGGGTGTGTTACACACGTCCTGTGACTTTTATATTGACAAAAATCTGATGGATTTAATGATATAGATGATTACAAGTGATAGTTAAGACACGGGGCTCTATCACAGGTGGAGAGGTGATCTATAAGATGACCGGCATAAGTACAGAAAATAATTAATCAAAATTTGTAGAAGAGTAATCTTTAAAATAACAATAAACTAGAGGAATTTGTGATATTAAGAGACGTGTGGAATGTAGTACACGTGACCTTAGACCCGGGGCGGGTCTGGTGAGCGGTAATCTACTAACTGTTATAAATACTGGCCATTAAATAGTTTAGCGTCAGCTTTAACGGCGCTAGTGACGTTCAAATTATCGACTATCGATAACCCCCGGCGACCCCCGACCCCGCCCGATAACCCCCACACGCTGCAACGCTGACTGGGCGATACAGCAGTGGAGGGAACATTCACACATGATCAGAGACTACTCTTAGATCTGATGGAACGAGGCCTGGCTCTACATGGAGAGGCTTAAATTACACACACAACAACACTGCCTCGTATCTACTCTACTATATATGTAAGTATATATATATACTTCAATGAATCCATCTCTTCCTCCACACTCCAATTGCTGGACTGATTACAATTTTTTTTTTTTTTTTTTTGGTTGTTGTGTCAGTTACCGTCGGGAGATGGTTCTTATGAAAGAACACATTGAGAAAAACTCGCGGGATATCCAAAATTTTATAAAAATTAACAATTTCATTAATATACCTTTTGCTGAGCGTATTTTAAAAATTCGTAAGTTGTTCAGGTAGATGGCAGAGCTACGACATCGGCACGAAGATCTCATTACTCCGGAGTAACGGCTTGATATACTTATGTAAGTATGTTTTAACAAGAGTTATGTGAGGAAGAAATGAGGAATCAAAAGAAACGACTACAAAGTATCCCAAAAAATTATTTAACCTAAATAAGTATACATGGAAGTCGTGGATATCTATTCTAACATTATAAAGCTGCAAAATTTGTTTGTTTGTTTGTTTGAACGTGCTAATCTCAGGAACTACAGGTCCGTTTTGTAAAATAATTACAGTGTTAGATACTCCATTTACCAAATTAGGGTATAAGCTACATATTGTTTTCAGAAAATGAGAGATTAGAAAATTGACGCTTCATAACTCTAAGTGTGAAATTGAAAGTCTCTCTAGCGTGCGCCGGAAAAACTATTGTTGATACGACAGAATAGTGAAGTACGGCTTTGTAGGTCTCATGAAGATCTAGAAAAAGTCAGCGACGGTGTATATCTAACTGTCATAGTTTAGACACAATACCCACTTTAGTATAAAAAAAGAAGAAAGAAAGAATCTTAAATGGGCATCGTAAAATTAATCCTTACCTATACAAATTAAGCAAAATATATTAGTTTCTGTTTTATGCCAATCGGATAGTTCCTTTAGAAGATATAAGATGAGTTGATAACATAATGAATTATTTGTAGGAATTTTATCAACATAATATATCTAATATGATATGATGGTAATTTTTAATATTTCGCTTTCACAATTATATATTGAATTGAACTGAACTTCTAATTTAAAATGAGGCTTAAAATAAATACTTTTGTGACAGAGGCGTTATTTTTGAAACGAAAATTACATTTAATACTTCGCTGCATTAGACATGTGTTTTGAGGCAATCATTTGAATCACATTTCACTAAATAAATCACAAGTTAATTTTTATCAAATATAAAAACTTGCCTATCAGATAGTTTATAAAAAAGAACACCCGTGAACAAATCATTTAATATAAACTAAGATTTTATAATAGTATCCCTACTAATACTATTAATACGACAATAACTGTATATCTGTTATGTCATTATGACTAAACCGTTTCAGTAGCCGCAGTGACAGAGTACATCTTTGATGTTAATATTGATGGAGTCGGAGGCAAAAGCTAGTTAACAATAAGGAATTTATTATTGAAACCCACGAGCTATGGTTTATAGTAACAAACTATATCCCTCGCCCGGCTTTACACGATCATATGTACATTGTTTATATTAACCCTTATTCAAATATTGGGAAATTATTTTCCACTTGACAGTACCGTAATATTTCTTTATTATTTCTTTACTGGTAACTCTAATCAGTACCAATCCAGGAACAAAATAATTTTACACACTTTTTAAATATTTTACTTGGCAACATTTTGGACAAAATTGCGTAATGTCATCGTATGTCAATGTCAAAGTCACAATTTGAATTTTTTGGTGCACAAAACCGGTTCTCGCAGGACTTTCGAAAATTTTTGTAGAAAAAAAATCTGGTAAGTACATAAACAATATATTGATGTAAACTAGACTTATTTTCTGAATGCTTTTTACGGTTACTGTGCTTTTTGCACTGATATTTCTTGGATTTTATTAGGTTTCATTAGGTGGGAAATAATTTCCCAATGTTCGTTCCTGCTTTGATAAACATCAGTGTCTTTATATATATATAAAATTGTTTGTCAGCTGTAATAATAACGGTATAGGAACTTGTAATACGATAGCGAGTAAGGCAAATTAGTGGCTTTTTGCAAAATTGTGACTGCGTTTATGTGATTTCTATGCTTTATTCCAAACGAAGCCACTTATAAGTTTTAGGACTTTTGTAACTATTTGTGCAATATGCTGATAAAACTACATAATTGCCAACTTTTTATAATTTACTTTCAGCTATTCAAATATGGACGCAAGAAAGGAACGTAAAGTGCTCGCCAAGAAAAAATGTCGCTTTTGCAGCACAAAGCACAAAGAACAGAGGACAAAAATAGTATGTTCCTCCTGTGGAGTAGCTCTTTGTGCGAAAAACTGTTTCAAAACCTTTCACACAGTTCTTACTCATTAATGTTATTTTCATATAGTATTTGAAAAGTTCTTAATAAAATATTATTTGTAACATTCTAGTTTCATTTTATTTTTATAATTTTATTCAATCACTCAATCATGTTATATTGAATTTTTTATATAAAAAAATAAACAAGTAAAGTAGGAGTAAGTAATATGTATAGAATTTGTAGTAAAAATGTCCAAAAAAAATGTAACCATTCCGGATGATGGGAAATAATTTCCCACTTACTTATATTTTGCTTTTCCATACTGGATACTGGGAAATAATTTCCCACCGTAAAACCCCCCTTTCCCCTCTTTTTATAAAAAAAAATGATGTTTTTTTCGAAATCTACAAAGCCCTTTTACCTAGAAACCATGTTTAATTCATAATTTTATTTAAAAAAAATCCATTTGATTAAGGGTTAAATAAATATATGTATTATTATATGTATATACTAGAAGACCCTGCGAACTTCGTATCGCCCTATAATCAAGAAATGTTTGTTACGTTTTTTTATTTATATTTTTGGAGTTTACATATTAAAGCCATAAATCTCCGTGTTTTGAAGTGCGACAGAATGATTGACATATTAGTTAGTTGTCAAATCTAATGTTAAAAAAAACGTTTGTATCAACAACTACAAATTAATAAATTAAAAATTAATTAAAAGTACATTGTCCAGCGGACAAAATTGTGAATCTAAACCATTCCCAGATCCCCTTGAACACATACAAAAAATTTCATCAAAATCGGTCAAGTCGTTTGAGAGAAGTTCAGTGACCTACACACTCACAGAAGAATTATATATATAAAGATTGTTGTAACATATTACAACTCCTGTCTTGACAAATGAAGAAGTCCCGTGAACTAACCGATGGATTTACACGTAATAAGATGAATTTTAACATCATGAGAAATACCTCCGATTAGATATTGAACGACCAGCCTCCGGACTGAACCACGGCCGGGGAACAGACTCAGAGAGAATTGCTGTTGCGATGATAACTGACTCGGTCATCATAGAAGATACGACGCACGCGAGTATGTAATCAATTGTAACAAACGGGATTACTATCTGTATGATACACAGAGTGACGCGCGACTCGCCTCGTGCGGCGCTCGTGTGGCGACGGGTACTATGAATATGAAGTACGATCTATTAACTATACGCGAAACATTATCCGCTGACCCGCGACCCGCGACCTGCCCTGACCTCTCACACTACAAACACAGATAACCCGCCTTACTCGTACTATACTTACACGTGGAGCTTTTTTGTTTAACACTTGTACTATTATGAACATGATTGAGATGAGAACAGTATCCAGGGAGGTGCAGGGGGAGAGACACGCGGGTCAGGGGTCAACATACGGTGGACGCTCCCTCCGACGGGACTGACTGGTAGTACGAGAACTTTCTGAAGAAACACATAGTGATAGTGTGATAGTGGCTACCTGTAGCATCTGTTACAATATGTGAAGGACTCACTGACGATATACGATGTATTGAAGAAGGTTTACATTGGAACTGTCTATTGAGATCACACGAGGACTCCTGACATAGAAGAACAGGAACCTGTCTTGTTATACAGCGGGGAGCAGACACGGGACCTGGACACACGGACAGGTCCTCGCCGAGAATACACGGGATACATACTGAGGTACGAGAGGATAAGAAGAATATAAACATCACTAGAGGAGGTGGAGGACGAATATTATACACATGGATCACACGCGACCGATCTAGAGGATGACGAACATGATGAGGGACGAAACTAACAGTCACCACGATCAGGGGGATAGAGAGAGACACGGGGGGGAGAGAGGAACACGGTACGGATGATGACGGGAGGTGTTGGAGTGTGACCCGCTGACACGATGTGTGTACACCTGACACGAGCGACGGGGGATCAGGGACCCCGAGACGTGCGGGAAATACACCATGAACAACATCCGGGAGATGATTTGGACTGAACACTGTGTGTCCACCAGGAGTGTCCTCCTGTCTGTCTGTATGTGTGTGTGTGTGTGTGTGTACGTACCGTGCGGCCCGCCGTAGCCGGCCGTCCCCGCGGGCCCGGGCGTGTCGCCGTACTCCTTCCCGTCCATGCCGGTCAGCAGCATGTCGCATGTCCTCCGCGCGCCGCGTCCGACTCCGCGCACGACTCTCCGCCATGTGCGCACGCGCACCACCCTCCCTCCGTCCCGCCGCGCCGCACGCTCGCCCCGCCCCCTGCGCGGCCGCCCCCCGCCCTCCTCGCTCCTCGTCCTCCAATCGCCTCTGTTCATCTCGGCCGCTCTCCCTGTTCCGTGTCGCAGCAGCCCGCGTGTGGTCCCCCGGTCCGTCCCCCGTATCTCCTCTCGTCCAAGTGAGTGTGTGCCGTGTGTCCGTGTATATAGAGCTCCTAGTCGCGTGTCGTGTGAGCGGTCCGTCCCCCGCGTGTTATCTGTGTGTCTGTATGTTTATGTTCGTCGTGTATACTAAACTCCATGTATCTCTGCTCCTCGTACACAGAGCCGCTGGCCGGTCTGGCCTCGTGGTCTCGTGAGGGTCAGGTGTATACAGGTCATGTTGATCGATAACTAAATGTATGTACAGTTGCTTGTCAGTCTGTAGGTATCTGTATCTGGCCCCAACACACTGGAGTAACACTGGCATATATCTATTATGTAGGACCCTAATGTGTGAACAGTAACTCCGACTAGGTACTTTATAACCGACTACAACAATAAGGGACTTGTGAGTAGTAGTAAATGATGATTAAACACTGCTTTTGTAAATTACTGTGGTATGGTATGGAAAAGTTCAATCACTGAAACAAAAATGAAAAGGAAAACCTCCATAAAATCGATTGAGTATAACATAATAATTGAGTATAATATAAGGTTAGAACATTAATGACCATGCTTGCTCAAGAAGGGTTAGTGATTTCAAACTTATAATTTAAAATTATAAGTCCAGGATTCCTCACGATGTTTTCTTTCACCATCCGCTAGTGATGTTTAAATACTCTTGGAAAGTACATATGATTCGGAAAAATCACATTGGCACTTGCCAGGTTTCGAACCCGCGCCCTTATGCTCCAGAGGCAGGCCTTTAACCACCAGGCCACCACGACCATATCACAAATCGGAAAACTGAATATTTAATCTATCCACGAGAACTGCGAGAAAAAAAAATGTTGCTTTCTGGATCCCTTAGGATTATATTTATGTTGATTTCTTTAAAAAACCTTATTTAGTGGTTTACTTCTTTTTATTTCCAAATATTATTGAATAAACAATAAGAAAACTTATATTTGTTAGCCTAAGATTTACAAAATAATAGCTAGTTTTTTTGTTTGTACTTTGTAAGAAATAAAAAATACCACAAGTTGTACCGTTTGTGTGATGTCGTCTAATAATAATTAATTAAGTATAAAAAATAACATTTATAAAAATTTAATATTCAATAAAACAAACCAGTTTATTATTTTTCTATATTAAATCAAACTTAAATAAAATTGCGAACATTTGTATCCTAGACGACATAGTTTTCTGAGGGGCGAGTGACCTCCACAAAATCATTTACATAAGTCATATTTCCCATATTAAATGTTAATGTATAAGTTCTTCAATCAAAGGCGAGTTTAAAATGTTTTATTACTGAAGGTGGTTCCTCTAAGACAGCTCCATGTCCCTGGTTATATATCATGATGACTCGTGTATCAGAATGTCTAGTGTGTGAGTGAAGCAGGGGTTCCTAGCTAGTATAGAGTATATGGAGCTTCATATGTGATGTGAGTTCCTCTCTCATGTCTGTGAGGGATGTAACGGAGATATGTTACGGGAACCGGAAGTAAATAAATAAATAAAAAATAATAATAAAAAATTCTTTATTTTCTTTAACAAATTTGTACTTAAATATAAAGTTATTTAAGCCTGTGCCAGGAAACTCCGCTCTTCCATATCACGAATTAGATACGACTCACGAGTATACAAGATATTTAAGATACAACAATAATAAAGAAACAATATAAACAAAGTAATAATAATAAGTGAAGTGCGAGCTTTTAAATTTAATTATTCAGATCCCGAGGCTGAACACAAGGCGGAAGCAGGGCGGAAATCGTGCTAGGAGAGAGACGAGGCATTTAATAGATATTCCAGTATCGCTGTTTTAAATGTTGTTCTTTAATGATGTTGACTGTTATCAACATGTCGTAGCAACTGGCCTTCCTTATACACGAATTCTTAAACTGTTTACTCTTGACCGAATCTGAATTAACTCCAATGAAGTAGTAGTTATAAACGAAACTTGTGTTTGTTTTCATTGTCCGCCACACACGGATCACTTGTATTGAGTCGCTACAATCATAACTAACCTGTAACCTATGGACGTGTCTGTCTGTGTGTCACCTCTGATTGTATAGTGTGGGAGTGTAAGATGTTGTAATAACGTTAAGTTCCAACTCAACGGAGTCGCAGCCGAGGCAACGACACGTCAATTATTTTTTAATAACCATCGTATCGGTATGAAACACGTCATATACAGACAGATATGTTGACTTGTTTTGTATGATGACCCGCGGGTGACTCCGGGATGTTCAGGAGTGTGGAGTGTGGAGGAACCTGTTCTGATGATGAACTAGACCCACCAGCTGGAAGTAGGGGGAACACCACTCACTGACACGATGGACATCAATACACTGGAATGGAAAAATATATAATAAACAGACTGTGTGTGTGTCACGCGACCTCACTAGACATATTAGACAATAAACATTCTATGTATTACGGCTGTCTGTTCATCTCCGGGGATGCAACCCTCGGGTTAAGAGTTGAGGTGTCCCAGTAGTAGAGGATGGTATGACGGACACACACACACAGGTGACGATTGTTCTGGAGCCACCCGACACACCTGCACACACACACTGACACAGTGTCCAGTGTATGTACTAGTATGTGTGTGTAGTTCTCGGAACCCGTGTTTCATGTGGTTCCAGTCAGTGAATCATTTATTTTCCTTCCGTCATGTTCCTAATGAGCTCCTCTCCTCCGTGAGCGAGGTCGGGCGGCGTGTGCTGGTCGTGGTCCCGCCGCGTGGCCCTCGTTAATATAATTGATACATGCGAGTAGTTAGATATAAATCAGCGAGTGCATGAGGCGCGAGTAACGACCTGTACTAATGAGCGGCTACAGTCCGCTACAGTCCGCTACAGTCCGCCACAGTCCGCCTCAGGCCGCTCCAGTCGGCTGCAGCTCACCGCCGCGGAACAGCCGCCGCTCCGTGCCTCATGTCTGCCAGTGATTTGTTAGTTCTCGAGTACAGCTCGTGTTGAGAGGACGCTCTGCCGCTCTGAACTGGTGTGATACATTGAGGCCGCGGCGAGGTCCAACTGCTAGCTACTCGATATAAGGCACAGGCAGGTCTTCTGAGTTGTCTCTGTGGTGTTCCAGTGACCGTTATAAACAAGTCTCTACACACGTAATCTCTTTGAGCGTATCATATCTCCCGAGCTCCAAACCTCATGATAAGCATCTCCTCGTTGATGATGAACCTCATAAATCCTAACGAGCTGGTCCTGGCCGCTCCTGCCCGTGTGTCTCTATTAATACCCGTGTGCTCGGAGCCGCGTCATTAATTAGCGCCCGTTTTATTGGCGAGGCCGGGCCTGTTCCGCCAGGCCTGTCCGTCGTCTCCGCGACTGTTCTATATCCATCCTCGACCCATCACTCTCTTTTTATTCCTCCTCGCGCTCGCTTCGTTTCATTTTATTTCCTGATCGTTCTAACTGTTTAGTTTTGATCGTTCCTCCACATTCATCGAACACGTAATGTTTGTCGGACACGCCGCGGACTGAGGTGACAGCTTTAATGGAGATATAAAACACGGACGAACGGTTTATAATAAACGGTGAGGCGACGGAACCGCTCGACCTGAACCAGGGACGGCGGCGGAGGACGGCGCCCTCAGCGGAGACTACGGGACACACGGACAGGAGAGAGAGAGGGAGCAGGGGGGGGGGGGAGGGGGGGAGCCCGCGCCGATACTGACGTGCTAAATGTCGCTCGACGGCTTTCAATTAGAAAACAACTGAGGAACTAAAACGGGACGCGGCTAATAATATGCTGTGTGCAAGAACCGCATCGGCAGCGGACCAGCCGACGGCACATCAATAACGATAAGCGGCGTGACGGACAGGGGCAGGGAGACAGGGGAGAACAGTCATTAAAGATTAAAAACATCTCATTATGTAAATTAATTTAGACATTCTTTATAAATATATCTGTTGTGAGAGCCGACGCTCCTACACTAGCCGTCGCACCGGGGTGGACTCGTGGGTTGTTAAAAATACTCATCAAATATATTCATCGGGTATTCGGGTACACTAAAAATGTTATCTTTTCAATCGCGTCACGATGTACCGACCCCTTATATACACATATAAATAGAGTGTATGTGTTCGTGTGTTTGTGTGTGTCTGTGTGTGTGTGTGCGTGTCCCCGCCATGTTTCACGTCACGGCTGAGTGGTGGTCGCGTCTCCCGCCCTGCCCCAGGCCGGCCGCCCTCGCTCGTCGCTCCACATTTCAGCTAATTGCTTTTTTCCCCGCGCTCCGTAATTGATACGAGCGTCGGCCTCTTTCAAGACGTCGCCGACACAGGACATGTTTCCACTCATTAGTTTCACGCTCCACAGTATTCAATGAAAAAAATGTTCCCGAGGAATGTGGCGTTGCTTATTAGATACATTAGATGCGTTCAGAGACACAAACACCGACACGCACACACACACTCACACACACCGACACACACACACACACACACACACACGTCAGAACACTTCCGCCAAGAAAGGCTAATAATATAGAAAATTACAGGTGAATGTGGACCAGGTGTGACGTCACTCCAGCTCCTTATAATACACATGTTGTGAGCCGTGTCTCCAACACATGAAAGGTTCCTGCTGGGAGGACTATGAAATGTCCTGACTGCTAAGAGGTGACTTTCAGCATCATATATGTACATATGTTATAATTATTACATCCAGGCGCATGTATTACCTTCTAGTTTCTGTTTTATAAAACACAAATCAGCGTGTTCATCGTAATATATAGTTGATATTATTGAGATTTATTCCTAACGCTAAATACTAGATAATAATTTCTTAAAGACACCTCCGTCAGAATTAGACGTAGAGTTAATATATCATACCATTTACCTTTCAAAAATCAGCCTTTAATGGTAGGAGTAACGTGGTAAAACACATTCATATGCATTGCCGACTACCTTCTCGTTGAAGTTGGTTAACAGTTAAATCTTACTCCATACGATATTCCTCAGTAGTCAGTAAGATTTCCATCACAATCGTTTCAGTCGTTCCTCATAATTCATATCATCCGGAACGAACAACCGGACGGAAAAAGATATCAATGATTGATGTTGTTGTATATATGTATTTTAATGTGTCCACTCTTACTCTCTATATATGTAACCACTGATCCGTCTCCACCAGCCACGTCCCGCGAGTCATTTATTTTGTTATCTTAACGGCCGTATGATTTCAGAACAGCTTTTCTTCATAACATAATATTTTTTTCTTGTATTTTCTATATTTTTGGAGGTCGCTCGTTAATAGTATCATTATAAACACAATGAGATCTAAGACTTTCGTGAGTACCTATTCATTTGAATGAAACTAATATTATTTTGTTTACTACGCGTTTTTTCACATTCACATCTTGTCTGCCCGTGATTACGGTTGCTGAAAAGAGAAACGTCGAGAATATGTACTTATTTTTTAAAAATAATAAAATACGCGTTGTAATCCGAATAATATTATTTATTACTGTCATTTACTATAAACATTCCGCGCGACTTTCCTCACCAGTGCCGGTGACTCGTCTTTGAGAGTAAGTATCATTAACTGTTAAATTCAAAAATCATTTCACCGTCGACGCAAGCTCGTAGTAAGATCAAAGTAATAAAATATCTCTCATGCTTTTATATTAAACATGAGTAGAACATGAGTAATGTTAAAATAAACATGAGTAATATTGTATCAATTAATACATTTACTATAAGTAGTACCACAAGTATTGTCTGTCTAGTAAGTATGTACGTATCACCCGGACAGCCTTTGATGTCAGTGGCCTTACATCCATCAAATCTAACATCAACTCCTGTATCAGGTCTCTCATCTTTATCCAAGAGCTCCAGCCTCCAGCTGAGGTCTGATCTCCTCTCCAGCATCAGCTCTAATGTTAAGGATCATTGAGTGTCGAATGTCGATCGATCCTTTGTTATAAAATGTTTCAGTGGTATCTGTTACTCTAAATATTGTTTGATCGTTTGAGTTTCACTCTGTCCTACTAAATTCTTATTTTTCCCGCAGATCACACTGAATACAAACGCTGTTTAATTTTTTTTTATATGAAGCATAATATATAGTTATAAATTTATAATTGTAAATTTTAATAAATAATTCGATAATAATTTGATGCGCTGATGATGATGTTTTCATATATCTACTAAGAGGTCCGACTGACTTACTGAAATTTATCAATGATAATGTCAATGTGAAATAAAATAAACTTGATGATGATTGATATTTGTTTTCTTCTACCTGGCAATTTCCCAGCTACAGCCAGGGTCTGCCTTACATGTTGTGAATAATAGTTTTTGGCTATTAGTTTTTACGACCGGCCGCCTGCCTGACATCAACCCTCTTTTTGGGAATTAACATTAATCAGTGATGTCTAAATACTCTTAGAAAGTACATATGATTCGGAAAAATCACATTGGTACTTGCCCGGGCCAGGATCGAACCCGCGCTCTTGGCGACGAGCGGCGGGCCCTTTAACCACTGAGCCACCACTGACCTTGAGTGTTAGGATAAATTCGTTTTAAATGATGTTAATGAAGACGACATCTAGCGTCCAATAGCTTGTACTGAAACAAATTATGTTAAAACTGTTATGTTCTATTCTAACAAGTTGCAAGATTGAAGTTTGTTGAGAATAGTATAGAGAGCTCTAAAAGAAAAGTCTAATAGTAATTTTTAAATAATTCTTAACTGTTATAAATTGTATTCTATATGGTAGCTTGTTTACACTTCATAAAAATTATGATAAATATTTAAAAAAAAGTATGAAAATCCTAATCAATATGTATGCACAAATTATAAAGTTAATTTATTGCAGCCATCAACTGGGTTATCATAAGAACAAAATATATACACCAGTGCCGATAGCTTTTAAAACTAAATTATTATAATTTTTAAATTAGATGAATTACAATAGAATGAAACTCATTGGAAAAGGGGGGGAATAATATAAAAATTAAAGGAAAAATAATTTACGGGCAATCTGAGGTCGGGAAGGGTATGGGGATGGGTATTTAAGGGTTAGAAAATGGGTTTTCTCGATTTCCGGCAAAACTAAAAGTCCTAGGAAAAAATGTTATAGGTATGGCAACGTTGTACGTAATAAAAAGACCTAAAACTTATATACATATTTACATTTTTTTCACATAATCTCAAAATTTAAGTGAAAAATTCGAAAAGCCAAGTTTTTAGTTTTTATTTTTATCTCTTACAATAAACAATATTTTGTCACAAAATTTAGTGAAAACTTTCCTTTTGATGTTAAAAATAAATTGAAAGAGCATTTTCCAAACGGTATCGAGTGTCATTTCATTAAAAGCGACATGATTATTTTATCCAAAAATGGTACTTTAAGTAAGAAGCTCATATTTTTTTCTTCACCATCGGAAAATAGAGATTTCAACAAATAGAAAGCATAACAAATTTTGAAAATAGCTGATATTTTGACGGGTCATTTTTAGATTAAAAATGAGACTGATTTTTCAATATTTATTCAAAATTAGCTGAAAAAATAAATATTTGTAATCAAATAAATTACAGTGTATTTGGGACATCAAAAGGTAAGTTTCTACCAAATTTCATGACAAAATATTGTTTTTTGTAAGAGATAAAAATAAAAAAACAAAAACTTGGTTTTTTGAGTTCTTCACATAATTTTTGAGGTCATGTGAAAAAAGTGTAATTACAAAAACTTCAGATCTTTTTATTACCTACAATTTTGCCATATAACATTTTTTTTTCCTAGGACTTTTTGTTTTGCCGGAAATCGAGAAAACCAATTTTCTACCCTTAAATACCCATCCCCATACCCTTCCCGACCTCAGATCGCCCGTAAATTTATTTTTCCTTTAATTTTAATAATATTCCCCTCCTTTTGTAATGATTTTCATTCTACTATAATTTATTTTCACTTTTCATTAATTTTAAAGGCTTCTGCACTGGCCTAATATTACTACACCGAGCTAGTGTATTTCCACCTTAATCGTTTTGATTTCTGTTCTTTTTCCTTTCAATTACTTTATGTTAAATTATCCCTTTGTAAATAATACTTGTGAATAAAAGTACTTTTTAAATAATAATTATTCTTTATTATAGAAATATTTATCTACCGCTAATGGTAACATAAAACATATCGTCAAGTTAATGAACGCTCTTTTTTTATCTGTTTCTCCTCTCAGCGGTGTACTCTAGTACAGATAACAAATTGTTAGCATTAAGCAAATTGTAATGTTATGTTAATGATCGTCGCAGATATTTACTTAAAAAAATCATAGAAACTCAATATGGTGACCGAAGTAGCAATATCATTTAATACGTTACGTGCGCAGTTAGAGAGTGAAAAGAGTAATTTGTTTAAAATAGATGAAAATATTAAGAAAATAGTGCAAACCTCGGGGCGGTTTACTGACAGGTTAGGGATATCGAAGGCCTTCAGATCCCGCTCTATTAGTTTTAATTAGAATTCAAGATTAACTGTAATACTATTACAGATTCAATGGAACGGGGGATTACGCACGAGGTGGCCTTAGAGGCGCGGCGAGGAATAACTACTCAGATTTAGGCAATCACTTTAAAAATGACGACCCTCTGAAGCGCAAACATGAAACCAAAACCGTGTTTAGTAGGTAAGGAACTTGTTTTTATTCAAACATATTATAACGTGAACACGAGATACTTTTAGTGTTTTAATTGTTTCATTACAGCTTGGAGGTACTGATGTGTAACTAATCCATTGTGTCTACAAAATCGATTGTATTGCTAGCAATTGTTTACACTATTTACCGATTTCTTTAATTATAGATTGTCAGCGAGGGTGCAAGATAGTGATGGTGAGGAGGAAGTCCCTGACAAACGAGCCCGCGTTCATTCCACTGTCTGTAAGGAGCTCCCCACTCGCGCGGCCGTGTTGCGGGCACAGGGAGACGATGAACAGGCTCGCACGAGAAACAGAAGAATATTTGGTTCCCTTCTGGAACACTACAAAAGTTCAAACAGGAAGAAATTGTTTTACAGACCAAGGTGGGTGACGCTACTCATGGGGATTGATGTAAGATTTAAATGAAACTACATTAGAACATTTAATTGAGACTTAGATCTCATTATTGATGTAACATATTAAAATAAATTGATTTCTACATATATACTGTACACTACATGTTTAACATGTTACCTGAAGTAGAAAAAGTTCTTTTGCATTAGGCAAACTCATATTTAAATGGTGTATATATTTCTTTAGGAGGAAAAAAAGGCCCAGGTAGAAAAGAAAATTGAAGAACAGGCAAAGTTAGAAAAAGAAAGAGAACAGAAACAGAGGAGAACTCTTGTTTGCTGAGAGAGAACATAAGAAAGCCACAATAAAAGCTTTAGAAGCCAAGATGGCCAGGGTGCAGGAATTTGAAAAATGGGAAGCTTCACAACAGTGCCTCGGCAACTTCATAATCACTAAAGGAAAACCACATATATATTGGTTACCAAAGAAATTGGACGAGAAGGCCACAGAGAAATTGAATTCAAGCAGAAAGTTTCATGAAAGTGAGTATTTTGTGGTATATGTGTATTTAGAGAACAATTTCCTAAGTATTTTTTAGATATAACTGTGAGTTATAGGAATAATGTATTTGGTCTTACAATTCCAGCTGTATATGGTCCTTATTATCGCAGTGAGTAAACATGCACTCATTTTAATTGATACACAACCACCCCTTACAGATGGTACAGTGTTCCATCTTAATCTAAGTGATATCTGATAGTTGATATCTCTACTTACGGTTGTAATAAAACTTTACTTTAACATTCTGTTATCCGACTAACTATTGGGAATAAATAATTTGTTGTGTTCTCTTGAAATGTACTGTTCTGTTTTCATCTATCTATATGGCAGCCTGTGAAAATACAAAACTTATATCAATGTGTGCTACTAGAGAGAAGCATTGAGTCTAGCTTCTTATAAGTATTAACATGCTTTGTAAGTTATCTAACTATATAAAAGAAAACTTCTTATTCATTTCCAGAGACAATGTCACTAAAACGTCAAGAACTCCAGGAAGAACTGCTGAGGATAGAAATGAAAGTTCTCCGTCCCCGAGGTCCGGGGGCTAAAGAAAATTATCAACAGAATAACACACAGACGAAACAGGAAGAAAGACAAGACGAGCCAGAGGATCGCAACAAGAGAAGAGACAAGTTTGCTATTGACGAGGATGAAGTGTATGATAGTGATGGGGATGAGAGGCACGACGATAGTAGGGACACGAACAATACTAACGGTTAGTGGAACACTTGGATTGTTACTTTAAAATTACTTCTAAGACATAATAAAACATTATTACAGCTTCATTAATGTTTATAGTGTAGCTGAGATGTTTAATTCACATTAAATATATGATAGACAGACCTCTCACATAGAGGACTTAGCTGACAGTGTGTTTCAGTTTACCATACAAATAAATACTCAATTTAATGATTTACAGCAGAAGAAACCAAAATGAACACCAACACAGACAACACAAAAGAAGAATATGTAGAGAAAGACACCAAGGAAACAGAAATAACACAAGAAGTTGTTCAATCGGAGGAGGACAAGGAACATTCCTAGCGCTGTCAATGACTAACATGATGACCTGCCTTCATACAAACATACATGAGGAAGACATGACGCACTGACTGACTGACACAACCTGAGTATACTAGACTGAAGTGTTCACAACAATTATGATTCAGAGTTATATGACCTTTAGGAGATAAAGTACACAAACACAGATAGATTATATGACATAGATTTATTAGAGAATATTGGCATTGTTATAAACATGAGGACAGGTTGAGTCATGACTCAATATACTGTGAAGTAGTGTGGGAGCTTGTGACCTGAACACCAGCAGTTTTATTAATTTGGCTACATGTTAGCTTGCTGTAACATAAGAATATGAATTAAAGTTTTAAACCGTTTGGAAAATTATTTCATTATAATTAATTAATAATGTCTTTAAAAAGCATGCTTTAAGATAATATTGGTTTTTTAACATTCACACATTATGTAACCTTTTATATTGTGATGTCCACAAGTTAGAACTTCCAAACAGAAATACATAATAGAAAGATGTGTTTTGTGTTATAAAAAGTTTATTTCTCTTGAGAAATTATTATAAGTATAATTTAAATGTTACAAGCAATTTATAGTAATAAATAAAAAGAAATACTTTTAATTGGTTTTTAAGCTTTCTGAGTATTACTTGTGACTGTTCTGAATACACAAAATTTACACTAAGTCATACAAATAATGATCTATTCAATAAACTGATACATTCAGAAATAAGTTTATAAAACTACAAATATTAAATTTAACATGGATCAACAATTAGTGACAAGCTAATAATTTACCAATCTCACTGACATAAAAGAATTTGTTAAGGAATGTTCTTTGAAGTGTTTTTTCACATTTTAATTATAACATCTTAGTTACATATAATATATAAATTTACATTAAAGTTATTTGTGCAAAACAAACATGAAGGAAGCAGAAATTATAGGTTCTCCGATATATTGAGATTACAGCCATACAATAAAAAATTAAGCATTTCATTAATAGGTTGTAAGTATTGTTTGTCAATCAATCAGTCAAGTGTAAATATTCTGGAAGCGATGTCATCCAGCATCCAGTCCATTCCCTCCAGAAGGTTCTCTCCGGTCACGGCCGAACAGCTCAGTATACGCCAGTGATGGGTTTTTATACTGTCCAAATCAAGAGCCTGGAAGATAAAACAATCAGTTATTATTTTAAGAAAGAAACTCAAATTAATGTAAGGATAATAAGATCTAAGACTTTCGTGTGTCTTATTCATTTAAATGAAACAAATATCTCACATCTCTCTGCCTGTGATCATGGTTGATGAAAAGTAATTGACACATTGGGAGTATGTCTTTTTTATCAAAAATAAATTTAATTTTAGTTTCAATATTAATTTCATTTAAACAACTTAAAGATCTATGAAGAATGTTTTAAGAGAATAAGTTTTCCTATGTTTGTCCACCTCTCTTATTTCCTGCAGTGTCAGGGCTCCTGGTAAGTCAGCTTTATTAGCCAGCACTAGTAATGTTGCACCGGCCAGTCTTTCTTCTCGTAGGAGGGAGTGAAGCTCCTTTGCACAGTCTGACAACCTTCTAGCATCAGCACTATCAACAACCCACGCCACTCCATCTGTGCTCTCAAAATAATTCTTCCAGTATGACCTAGTGTTTTGAAATAAATTTATTAAAAATATATCAAAAGCTGATATTAACACTTAAATGATAATATACATATCGACTGTACCTTCAAAATATTTATCGAAATAACTTAGATCTGTATACTAAAAGCACTGAGCATGACAAGTAAATGATGGTGTGCCTTCAGTTGTTTATATTTATCTAAAAAATTTAAATTGTAATAACGCACCTTAAAGATTTTTGTCCTCCGACGTCCCATATATTTAGTTTATACCCACGATGTTCCAAAGTTTTTATATTAAACCCGAGAGTTGGCGAAATTGTGTCTATCGGCTCCCCGTTGAAACGTTTTAAAATTGTCGTTTTACCAGCATTGTCGAGACCACTGAGGTTTGGGTAGTTAAGAAATATTATTAATTTAAATATCTTTGATATTCTCTAGTTTTATACAGCTACAAGTTGTGAATCACCGAAACAAAAAAAAAGTTAGTGTGCTTATTAATTAGTAAATTATACAACGAAGAAATAAAAAGGATACAGCATGAGTATGCGCATTTCTTTCTCCTTTTGCCGTAGTTTTTTTAAAATAGTCAGGAAACCCATTTTTAACTTCAATTTATATACCAGATTGGATCACTAGCATTCGCATTGTTTGATGACAACAAAAGTCAAAAAGTCAAATTGCTCTTCAATTTAACATTTCTGAAATTGACAGAACTTGTTTATTTATATACTTATAATGGTAAGTAAATGGTATCTATTTACGAAAAGTCTGAGGGAGGCTTTAAGAATATATAGATTAAAACTAATAATTTTATATAATTAAAAAAATATGTACATTAACTAAATTTTACATCTTCATATTATTGACATAGTATCATTTTGCTTTTATCTTACAAGATGTAAAATAAGTAATAATGTTAGCCATTTACTACATACCACTTATTTGGAAAATTCCTTTATTTTATTCCTTTATTTTAAGTGGTCCAGGCAAAAAGAGTGGTTACTTTTTGGTTAAAGTGAATATAGCTTTACTTGTAAAATATTTTTGTTGAATAAATGTTATTCGAGTAGAAAACTATGACTAGTTTAAATAAATTGCCCCAGACATATATAATATTTTATCTTAACAGTAATGGTATCAAAAACAAATACATTTTTTCTTAGAATCCAATGACAAATGGGAATCAGTGGACCATAGAGCGGAATAAATCCATCCATGGCCGATCTCATCGCTGTCAAGTCTCTATTTCTGTTTCGATTATGAAGCACCTTCAATGATTTTCAGTGGGTTTAAAAAGTGGAAGTGATAGTGTGGCGGCGCGGTCTTGGTGATAGGGCTCGTTGGTCGGCGGCACTATGTTTAGCGGGACCGTGCGAGTTAAGGTGTGCGAGGCGACGGGCCTCAGGCCGACCGACTTTCAGAAACGGCACAACATGACCTTCGGGAAGCCAGGTGAGTCCCGAGAATATTAAAAACATTCCATATAACACTATCACATGAAACAGAGAGCGTATATTTTAAGATAGGAAGATATGTTTGGATAAGGTTGCGTATAAAATATGCGTTCATGTTTACCAAAATGGGTGTTGGTAATATTTGTAAATATGCGATATCTTTGTAGACGACCAACCCATCGACCCGTACGTGTCTATCGACGCCGACGAGCACCATCTAGACCGGTCCAGCACTAAACCCAAAACATTCGACCCTATATGGAACGAAACTTTTATTCACGAAGTACAGAATGTCACCAGGTAAGTGTCCTCACCAGAAATCTAATAGTAATTTTTTTTCAATCTAAAGCATACTAATCGATTTTTTTAGCTTGGGGATCACAGTGTTTCATGATGCAGCGATACCTCCTGATGATTTTGTTGCCAACTGCACCATACCATTTGAAGATCTGATGCATCGTGAAAAAGATGCCACGGATTTTTGGGTGAGTGTAATAAATATCTTTATCCCTCTCACAAACCACATAACCATATTTAATATCTCTGAATCACCTTCAATGTCATTGTTTGTGTGAATTAAACATTATATATAGATGAAGGTATCATAGGGTTGTCATGAGTGTTTGTGTTGCTGTGACCCAGTCTTAGTAACAGTTAGAGTATTCTGAGACATGTTTGTCACAGCATCCTGTTGTTTGTTGATGACTCACTCATTTATCTTGAGTTTTCCTCATGAAGTCATTTAAACAGTTTCAAGAACATTTCAGTGTGAAAGTGTACATATCTCTTCATTTATGATATATTATATTGGACTTGTTGCATCTGATATAGATATTAACAAAACTAATCTGAATCTAATTTGAAAAAAAACTTCATTAATGGTGAGAAGTGTCTTGTTGTCTCCATATTATAATAATATATACAGACTCTTAGTTACATAGCTCCTCATTTCAGATATATATATGTACATACATGCATAATATATAGTATATACATAGTAGACTCAGACAATAAATTGACTTAAATTAAAATATATAAAATATGTTGATCATTTTAATGTTCATACAAAATTGTTTTCAATAGGTTTTTGCTAATTATAGATTTACTAGACTCACTTAGAAATGGCAGCTCTCTGTTAAGGCAGGGAAAAGTTTCCCAAATTAATTATTGTAGAATAATTGAAAAAAATGTAAATAAATTATATATGTATATGAAATTATTTACTTGAATCAAATATGGAGATTGATAGCATATTATTTTAAGGAATATATTTTAAAATTGTATTATGAACTACAAGAGGTCCAGAGGTCCAGGTTTTATAACCACATGTGTGACTTTAACTTAATTTATTATAGTGTAATGTAATGGCAAGTTAAGCATTTGTAACTATCGGGTCATCCCACAACACTGCTGTTATTAATCAAATATATTTCTTTAGTAGTTTGTGTAACACATACTTACCTATATATTAATATGTGATGTTCTATAGACTGTCAGATATGTGATGTCTTATTGTTTGAAAATATCTTTTTTAGAAATCACATCTTAGGACTTGTATTTCACACTCTCTCTGTGTTGTTATCTGAAATGCAATGATTTGTTTTAAATTGTCATTTGAAATTGATTGAGTCCTGAAAAAGTGCAAAAAAATAATTAAGTGAAAGCTTTTCAGAACACATGTACTCTACTTAGACCAAAAAATTTTAGAATAATTATTTAAAATGGACATTTCCACAAGAAATATATTTTGGTGTCAAAAAAGCAGTCTACTTTTATAACTGTGATGTATTTCATATTGTAATTGTTTGTTGTGTTGCAGGTGGACCTGGAACCTCAGGGGAAGCTGCATCTGAAGATTGATCTGAAATGGAACTGTCAAGGTAGGTTCACTGGTGTATAGAATCCCTACTAATATTATAAATGTGAAAATAACTCTGTCTGTCTATCCGTTACGCTTTCACGCCTAAACCACTGAACTGATTTTAATTAAATTTGGTACAGAGATAGAGTTGACCTTGAGAAAAAACACAGGATAGTTTTTATCCCAGACTTTTGAAAGGTTCTATTGGAAACCTATATAACCGAATTCCACGCGGGCGAAGCTGCGGGCGGAAAGCTAGTGTAGTATATACATGACAGGGACAACTGTACTCATTAGATATTTATTGAGGTGATATATATAATGAGATGTGTGAGTAGGAGTGTCGGCTGGGGCGGGCGCGGCTCGTGCTGCCCGGGGGCGAGAGTTCAAGGAGGGCGCGGGGTTCGCACGACGTCGAGGGGCGCTCCGGAGACGAGTGCATCAGGTCAACGGACACAAGTTCATGGCCACTTTCCTCAGGCAGCCAACATTCTGCAGCCACTGCCGAGAGTTTATATGGTGATACAAATTGGATTCATGAGAGCTGTAGAAAAAAATATGTTTTTAACAGAATGGTGGTCGATAACATTTAATTTTATTTTCTAGGGGTATCGGAAAGCAAGGCTACCAGTGTCAAGGTATGTGGTGTCACTCGCCGGGTGTAACGTGGTCGTTGTCTGTGGTTAGTGACTGATATGGAGTATATGTTTCAGTGTGTACGTGTGTGGTTCACAAGCGATGCCACTCGTCCGTTGTAACCAAGTGCCCGGGGATGAAGGAGGAGGTATGTGTCTCACCAATCCTCTCTCACACATCACAATTCATTGTTGAATACTCTACTGAATCCTCCCCGTGTCACTCCTGCAGCAGCAGAGCAGTGTGGGTGTGTCCGGAGGCCAGCGGTTCAACGTGAACGTTCCTCATCGCTTCGTGGTTCACTCGTACAAGCGGTTCACGTTCTGTGACCACTGTGGCTCGTTGCTCTATGGACTCATCAAACAGGGCCTGCAGTGTGAAGGTATGCCGTACATACATAATTATGTGATAGATATTTTATGAAACTGTGTCCCAAGGGTCCATTAAATATTTTGTGTGACGTTACAAAAAAGATCGATATTGCTGTCTGTTCCGACGTTTAAACCAAATTACTGTAAACTATCACCACTGTTCTTTAATTTTTGCATGAGAAAAGAGAAACAAATATGCAGAGTTTGTCACAACACTTATCATGTTCTCATGTCACCGCCTAATGTTTTGTTGTGTGTTGTCAGTGTGCTCTATGAACGTCCACAAACGCTGCCAGAAGAACGTGGCCAACAACTGCGGCATCAACACCAAGGCCATGGCGGAGATCCTCAGTGAGATGGGCATCTCGCCCGACAAGAACCCGAGACCCAGGGCCTCCAAGGTTATACACGTTACTTGTGTTACTTATCAGATTAATGTTATATAATATCTGGTTACCGAGCTTTGATCGGTATTTAGGAATGATTAGTATTTATTTTGTGTTTTTTTTTTAAATTTCGTTTAGGCATTTTTAAGTGAACACGTTAAGAAGACACAAACAATATAAGGGTGAACATCGACGTATACTAATGGACATGCCTTAGAGATGAGAATTGTGGTACTCCGAAAGAAAGAGAGGTAACGAAGTTTCGCTCTATCTTTATCTCTCTCAAAATAGTATCGTACTTAAGACGTTATGAGCCCCTTCTGGATAATTTATATGCCGTGCTTGTCATGAAAACTGAGCGCCAATCATCTATGATGATAATGCTAGACCGAAAGCATAGGCCATCTCTCTCACTCTTTTCAAACCACAAAAATACTGCAGATTATACGCGTACGGCATGTCCATTAGTAAATGTCGATGAGGGTGAATATACCTACGCTATTTTGTTTATTCGTGTCCTAGAAGGAAATGTAATCGGTTCCATTGAAAATTTATTATTTATTTATTTAACGCTATTTTAAAATTAGTAATCACAGGGGACAGACGATTATTAATTTTTTATCAGTTTTATAAGCACCAGAGGGAAATGTGTTACCAGAGTAGTAACAAATCAAAACAGGGTATTGTAAAGTTGATAAAATACAAATATACAGGGTGACTGGTGAGTTACTATCAATATTTAAGGACGTGGTAGTTGACGATCATATATGACAAAATAAAAATTAATATAACATAAATATTAATAAACTTCTAAGTAAAGTTAACCAAAAGTTATGTAATTAATTACGGATCGCGTGGATACCCTAGCTGCGTTATCGACACAAAACAGTTATGTACGTAGGTATATGTAGTTATCGCGCGGTAGTTTACCTACATCCAAACGCCGCGCGCCGCCGCGTGTTAGACCTTAGATAAACAAAAATGATCCATTTCCCTTCATACTTTAATCCTGGCTTAGGACAGGCAAAAATACCAAGATATTTCTTTCGTTTAAGCAACCAATTTATTGACTAGGTAAATGGTGTGACCTTGACACAAAAAATAATATGAACTGTTTACCTATCTTGGTATTTCCGGCGTATTTAAAAATGGAATCATACTTATTTACAACAATTGTCAATCATTAAACTACCAATTTACCTACATAACTACACTAACCTTAACAAATGTTCAAAGCGAGCTCCTTCTCGTGTGATACACAGTTCGGCACGTTTACACATATTGTCTTTCACACGATTTAATACGAATGGGTCACTTTTAATAGTTTTGAAATCACTATTGATTTTTAATTTCAACTCCTCTCTGTTTACATACTCTGTAGCATACACAAGACGTTTCCTTGGGCATGTGTTGGAACACGGAACTGTCCGAAGTCTCGTAATCTTTGATTAGCGTTTAAGATGACGCTGGCCGTAGGTACTCGACGATTGGGGAACATCTCCCGGTACAAATTGATTGCGCCCCGCAAGCTTTCATTTGCACGCGCATACGCATAAACCATGTCCAAGTATTCTGCATTTGTGTATTGAAAAGCCATATTTAATTACTAATAAGTAATAACGGGTCACACGCACACACGACAGATTATTATTAGGTATACGCGTAAGATCGATCGCTAGGCGCGCGCGCGGGAAGACGAACGTACGGACCTTACGGCGGACCTCGCGCGACTAATAGCCGACTAATGGCCCGCTAGCCACGGGGCGGGGGTTGGGAAGTAGCGACACACTGGCGCCGGCAAGGATGAGTACGTATCCAAACTTTATTTATTTATACGGAAATTTGGTCAAAAATTAAGTACCTATTTTTTTTACATAATTCGAATGAGAATCATGTACCGAGTATGCTCCTTAAATATTGATAGTAACTCACCAGTCACCCTGTATATGCTTACCAAAGCAAATACTCCAACAACTGGCAAAAAATTACTTTCAGAAAGTTTATTGAAAACTGATCCAATTTTTTTTAAATTTTGCTCAAATTATTTAGCTTGCCTCTAATTTGAAACTGTTTTTCGCCCCTTCTTTAAGATTAAAAGCACAAAGTTGTGATTTTTAATATTTTTTTAAGTCGTTGATTTCGACCAGAAGAAGTGACAGAATTGTAACATGACTCGAAAATAAGTTATATTATTTTATTTTTAGTCTTAATTTTGTTAAAATATGTTTCGATGTTTATTAAAGCGTATGACCACATTAAATAAAAAACATAATTGTGTACATTTTGAAAGTGTTCAGCCATAAGTTCATTTTAATTCATAAATGGGAAGGCCAGAGGAGTACATATACATTTTTAACTATTTAAAAATTATCATGAATAGTCTTTGTGGGCCAGATAAAATGCCATGTTCTTTATTGTTTAAGCATAGAGAGTCCATGATATAATAAGTTTTACGTAAAATTTTTTTTAGACCAATGGAATTCAAATAGCGTATATTCACCCATAAATAAATAATTAATTTCTTAGTCTAACCTCAAAACAAACACCCATTGACTTCCTGGTACTTAAAACGCCATCTGCTGTTGTGTCGTTAAAGCAATTAGTAAAATCAATTAGCAAAAAGTACTATTACTATTCGCCAATAGATGTCAGGAAGAGTCATATTTTAAACGACTACTTTTGGTATTTTTTTAAAATAAAATAACATTATATATACAGGGTGACTGGTGAATTACTATCGATACTTGAGGACGTGATATTTGACGATCATATATGACAAAATATATATAACATAAATATATAAACTTATAAATAACCAAAAGTTATGTAATTAATTACGCATCGTGTGAACACCCTCAGATTTATTATATATATCAGCACGCCACCATACGCGTCCACACTTGGAACATTTAATTTATTTATATTTGGTAAAAATTAAGTACCTAACAGTTCGAATGAGAACTGTGATGCCTGTAAAGTAATTCACCAGTCACCCTGTATATATATATATATTGGAATCTGCTCATTTAAATATATGAGATAAAAGTAACAGTTCAACTGTGACCTGTAAAGACCTGCCCTATAATATAGTGTCGTATGTTGTGTACAGTATCTGAACACTCCGCTGCTGGAGGGCCCGCCGGAGCTGGTCGACATCAAGGACGAGAAGCACGACGACAAGGGTGAGTCACTTGATGACGTGACTTACATGTGACACACGAGGAGTGACATGACAGTGCTCTGACTAGTGATAGACATTACTGCCTAGTTAATATCATCATTATAATGTTATTGAAAAAAATACCTGTTATATATTTATAAGTTAAAGAATTCATTTGTGATGTGAGGTGCATGAGCATGTAGTGTCTCGTTCACACTTGTACATGTGTGTGTGTGTGTGTGTAGGTCCGTGGGCGGAGCTGGCGGATATCTTCACGTGTTACGAAGGTTTCATTTTTGTTTAGCTACGGTGGTGGGGTGTTGCTGATTTAATGTTGTCTATTGTATAGTGTATAGTCACGGTGTGTCAGTAGTGTAGTGTTAACGTGAGTGATGATGATGTAGGGCAGCAGGCGGCCCGGGACCTGCCCTGGGACCTCCTCGGCCTGGACGAGGCGACGTGTGCGACAGGTTCAGAATGTTTTATTATGATCGTTACCGCTCCTCTATCAGTGAATCACATGCACGTATCCTTAACACGGTGGTGGGGTCTAGTGGACACTACAACTTTACAATAATAATAAGAACAATAATAAACACGAGGCGTCGCCGGATACGGCGGTGGGTCGTGACTTGTAAACTAACAATATCATATTATGTCATTTATATACAAAATAGTAATAATTAATAGAATAAATTTAGTGAACAACACTTTATATGTTAATATACACAAGTATGTATATATATATAGTAGTGTGTGTTAACGGGTGACGGGTGTGTGTGTGTGTGTGCAGGCGAGCCGCGGGCCAGGGCGGTGCTGGACGACTTCACGTTCATTAAGGTGCTGGGGAAGGGCTCCTTCGGGAAGGTGATGCTGGCCGAGAAGAAGGGCACCGACGAGGTGAGGGGGGGGGGGGAAAGAAAGGGGTGATGTGGCGGGGAGGGGGGCAGGGAGGGGAGGGAGCTGTTGAAATGAAAGAATTACTTATTAATGTATTAGATGTTTGTGTTACAAGTCCGTGCGCCGTGTGTGCAGGTGTACGCGGTGAAGGTCCTCAAGAAGGACGCCATCGTGCAGGACGACGACGTGGAGTGCACGCTGACTGAGCGGCGCGTGCTGGCGCTGGCCGCGCGCCACCCCTTCCTCACGGCGCTGCACTGCGCCTTCCAGACGCCCGAGAGGCTGTTCTTCGTCATGGAGTACGTGGACGGCGGAGACCTCATGTTCCAGATACAGCGCGCCCGCAAGTTCGACGAGCCGCGGGCCAGGTTCTACGCCGCCGAGGTGACGCTCGCGCTGACCTTCCTACACGACCACGGCGTCATCTACAGGGACCTCAAGCTGGACAACATCCTGCTGGACAGCGACGGACACTGTAAGCTGGCCGACTTCGGCATGTGCAAGGAGGGGATACTCGGTGAGGACACCCACACACATACACACACAGACACACAGAGATACACACACAGACACACACACTCATGATGATAAAAGAGCATAGAGGGGGAATGCAGAACAATCTGTTTTTGTCGATTGTGATGCATGAGGTGCCCGATGATATTGAGATTATGAGATCTGATAGAACAGACTCCACACGAAGCTCCCCCCGGACATGACACGTGTGACGTAATGAGACGCGCCTGTTACAGACGGAGCCACCACCACCACGTTCTGCGGGACGCCGGACTACATCGCACCAGAGGTAATAAACAATAAACAATTATAGTTCGTTAAACTTAAACTGAGCTTTGCATTTGTGTGAGTGAAAGTAAAAGTAGAGTTACACAAAAAACTTATAGAATTCAATTTTATTATATTTTAAATAAGATACATAAGTGCTATAAAATAAGCAAAATTTGTAAAAGTCCAGACGGAAATATTATGAATATAATGGAAAAAAAATTGGTTAATAAAAATTTCGAAAAAACTATTTAAATTCTTATTCACTTGACATTGCGTTTTTAACATTTGATTTTGCTACCAGTACAAAAGGTGAAGTGAGGAAGGTGCGGGGCGGAGTAGAAGCAGAATAAACCAGTTTAAAACTAGAAAAGAACGTGGTATTTAAAAAATTTGACATCACACCTACATTATCCGCGTACACTCACACAAATGCAAAGCTCAGCTTAAATCAAACGCACTATACAACGAGTTTGTTGCGTATTATATACAAATGTTTCACATCTCGTCTGCTAGTGGTCACGGTTGCTGCAAAGTACCCGAACCTTCGGGAGTATGTAATTTTTTAAATAAAATAAAGCAAGCGTAGTATATTCGAAAAATATAAGTTTCATTAAAATGAATAAAACCCGCGTAAGTTTTAGATTATATAAAACTCTGTCGACCCGAGGGTAATGTTTGACCTTTAACGGAACCTACTATAGTCACTACTATTACCTGGAGTGAGTTCGTCCTACAGATCGTATATGTAGTCTGTGTGTGGTGTCCAGATCCTGCAGGAGCTAGAGTACGGCCCGTCGGTGGACTGGTGGGCGCTGGGCGTGCTGCTGTACGAGATGCTGGCCGGACAGCCGCCCTTCGAGGCCGACAACGAGGACGACCTGTTCGAGTCCATCCTGCACGACGACGTGCTCTACCCCGTGTGGCTGTCCAAGGACGCCGTCTCTATACTCAAAGGTACCCCCCCTACCGAGTCTACAACCACAACCCTCGGCCTTGATGTATACGACCCGTTGATGAACCTTGTCTGTCAGGTTTCATGACCAAGAACCCGTCCCGCCGGCTGGGCGTGCTGGGCGGCCCGGCCGGCATCAAGCAGCACGCGTTCTTCAAGGACATGGACTGGGACGCGCTCGCGCAGAGGAGGCTGCGTCCGCCCTTCAGACCCAAGGTGGTGAGTGTCACTATACACACACACATATACATAACATCATTAAACTGGAATATTGCAGCCAAAAGAATCCTCACTACAAAATTCATAGTGATAGAATCGAGAGGATACAAAAACAACTATTGCGTCATCTTGCGTATCGCTCGAACTGCAATCTAACCGATAATTCTTATGAAGGAAGGTTTGAACGATTCAATATTACTTTCATTACAGTCGCGCAGAATAATGTCAGATCTATTATTTCTACACAAAATATTGAACAATAATATTGATTGTCCAGCTATACTGCAATTATTTAATTTCAATGTTCCCTTAAGATTACCTAGAAAACCGAGCACCTTATTTCGTGTACCGCTATACAAATCTAACTTAGGAAAATATTCCCCACCAGCTAGACTAGCACGCACATACATATAATGATCTCTCCTCGAAGATCCCTAATTTTGATATAACTTGTAATAATTTGCCTATTTTTAAATCAAATTTGTTAAGTTTCTTAAAAAATAATATAAATTATTGAAACTAAAATTATTAATTATTGTTAGTAACTCAAAATTAGTTTAAAAAATGCTTACTTTTTATTTAATTTCTTCATTTAAACACAAATCAATTGATATTGTTATAAAACTGTTAAATAATTCAAATTCTTTTTAATTATATAATTACTAATGTTTATACATTGTATATATATGTATGTATATTTCGTGCATGCTGTGATTACCTATAAAAAGAAATACAATTATCAAGTGTGTTCGTTTGTTAACTATATAATATTTGTAATACTATTGTCATTTCTGTTGGTGATCCTATAAAATAAATAATATTCGTGTTACAGAAGAGCAAGCGCGAGGCGGCCAACTTCGACGCGGAGTTCACCAAGGAGGAGCCGTGCCTCACTCCCGTGCCGCCTGACGTGCTGCGGGCCATTAACCAGGTACACACTTGTGTTAAATAATAAAGCTGTTGCCTCTTTGAGCTGTTTATTCCTCAATCGGAGTGTTTGTTGGAAGAGCCGACGTTTGATGTCGGTTTTGGTCAGGGAGGGTGTTCAATACGCCTGATGACATTAGTATCGGACGGATGGTCTTCGTAAATGAACCTTTAAAAACTGAGTCGATGTGTACTTTAGTCCATGAAAGGATTAATTATGTTACATTTATACGACATAACACATATCCACGGCTGCGAAGAGACTGCGAGAATGTGGCCAGGCCGAAGATCACGAGCATTTAGCACAACTTAATTTTTAGACCCAGTTTCACCAATCAATGTTTGTTAAATCTAAACAAGCCCTTTACTAACAAACCTTCAAAATTATAATTGTCTGTTAAAATATTTACGTTCCACGATAACATATTAATTAACAACGTATTATTAAATGTCATGTTAAATGACCGACTACCAAATAATTCGTTCTTGTTATAAGACGACCAAATGGAAATTATAGCGTTTAATGCGGCACGTTTGCCACATTGCACCACTTTATGCTTTGATCGTATATATTCCTCGATACGTCACTTGTTAACTAATGCGACCAAATTTTATATATCGTTGGTTACATACATTTGGCACACAAAAGGCTTTCTTTTCAATTTACTAGGTGTAACCTGTCAAAATCATGTTGTCAATAAATTGTCTTATATATTATTGTGTTATAAATATAGGCATAAATTGTGTTCAAATTATAAGGGATAAAAAGAAAATTTAATTTGCAATGTCATAAAAAAGCTGGAGTCAAAATCATCATAGGAAATGGAATTTTAATTCACTTTATTAATAAGTGCAAGGAAATAGTCGAAACTGACAAAACAGATGACGTTACTATGGTTACAAGAAATCAGGGCTGTGATTGGACAATTGAGTTTTGACAATGCCATTAACATTCTGTTAGCCATTAGACGGAGCTCCAGAGCAGGAATTAATATGAGTGGCTTGGTAAGACATTTAAACGGACATTGGTGCGTGGTGGGACGCTCGATGCATCTAACAGAGCATCAAACGCCTAACACGATGTTATTTATTTAACATTGATAGTAACGTCATCTGTTTTGTCAGTTGCGACTATTTCCTTGTTATTATTAATAAAGTGAATTAAAGTTTCATTTAGTATTATGATTTTCCCTCCAGCTTTTCTGACATTGCAAATTAAGTTTTCTTTTTATTTCTTACTAGCTTTTGCTGCGACTTCGTCCGCGTGGAATAGTGACTTCCGGCAGATTTTTGGTTCTTTCCACATAGTTCCCGTTTTTGCGGGGTTTTCGGAATGATCGAGTTCCCTCAGAATTTTTAGAATAAAACCTGTTTTTTTTTTATTCACAATGAAGTACTCTTAACCAAAAATATATTTATTTGTTTATTTGAATAAAGATTAATATTATTATGTTGATACAACTTAAACAAATTATTTCGACCAAATTAGGTACCATAAAAACGGGTTTTGTGAGTTAATTTTAAAAGATAGACAGATACTGTCGCGGATTGTTTTTTAGATCATTAAAAGAGCTACTATTCTTTAATACATATTTTTTGTGTATCTTGAACCGTTTTCACGGCGCACGCAACGGAAGGCTTCAAAGATGAAATAATTTCTCCCGTTTTTTACACATTTGATGTTATATAGCCCACAGCCTTCCTCGATAACTGGACCATCCAACACAAAAAGAATTATTCAATTCGAACCAGTAGTTTCGGAGATTAGCGCTTTCAAACAAACAAACAAACTCTTCAGCTTTATAATATTAGTATAGATAATTTGAACACAATTTATGTCTACATTTATAACACAATAATATACAGGGTGACTGGTGAATTACTATCGATATTTGAGGACGTGATATTTGATGATCATATATGACAAAATAAAAATTAATATAACATAAATATTAATAAACTTCTAAGTAAAGTTAACCAAAAGTTATGTAATTAATTACGCATCGTGTGAACACCCTACAGATTAGGTATACACTCACACTCACACATACGCGTGCAGCGGCGTAGTGTTGTATCAGCACGCCGCCGCACGCGTCCACACTTGGAACATTTGGAACGTGTCAACACTTTATTTATTTATAGGGAAATTTTGTCAAAAATTAAGTGCCTATTTTTTTTACATAATTCGAATGGGAGTCATGTACCGAGTATTCTCCTTAAATATTGATAGTAATTCACCAGTCACCCTGTATAACACAATTTATTGACAATACGATTTTGACATGTAACACCTAGTAAATTGAAAAGGAAGCTTTTTGTGTGCTAAATGTATGCAACCAACGATATATAAAATTTGGTCGCATTAGCTTACAAGTGACGTATCGAGGGATATATACGATCAAAGTATAAATTGGTGCATCGTGGCAATCGCGCCGTGTTAAACGCTATAGCTTTCGGTGGGAAAGGGTTGGTTAGTAAATGCTGTGATTAGACTAAACAAACATTGATTGGTGAAACTGGGTCTTAGTGTCGAAGCCGCAAATCTCCGAATATTAGTTCCAAAATAAGAAAGTCAATCAAGTCGTGGAGGTGGTACAAAAAGTATCATTCTCTCTGTTCTGTTCAACGTCCTGCCAGTACAACTTTCTGGTTCCTAGTCGAAGCACTGAGACAAACTTTACTCGACGAACTCTGACTGAATCCTATTGGATATAATCCGTTGAAGCAAAGTTATCGTAACATAACTACTATATATTTATGTTTTCATTTTATTTACTTGTTTTTGTATCTTTTTCTTTCTATATTTAAGACTTTTGAGCCATTTGTAACATCTTTATAAAGAACACGCCATCTACCGTAGGTGAAACTTGTTATAGTTAATCGTAAATAAGGCATCCACGACACAAGCTCGTGTTAGTAGTGTGGACGGCCCTGGACATCGCGCCATGTTATCACTTCAGCAAAATATTGTTTTGTTTGTAATTGTGTTCCCTGTTAACATTGTGTTATTGCTGGTAATAAAGTATTTTTCATTTTCAAAGGGGAAAGACATAATGTTTTTTTCTTTTCGATTACATTCTCATGTTGAGAACTTTAATAGCACTGGACCTGCCCTATCGAACAGACTCATTTTGAAGAGAGATGCTAACGTCACGTGTAACTAAAATGTTTCGTGTTACATTTCAGGAGGAATTCAAGGGCTTTTCGTTCGTGAATAAGGACTTCAACCCGGCCCCGCCGCCGGACCGGCCGCCGCCGACATGAGCGCGCCCACATCGCGCCCACCGCGCCCACCACGCGCCCACGGCCGCCCGTCCGTCTGTCCTCGGGCCGTCCTCGGCCACCTCCACATCGATGACAGGCGACGCGCGACACCAACACGTTGAACTGTGTGCGTGTTATGTTTAATATAGATTTATATGACGACGGCCACACTTACAGCTCACCTTACTGTACCCCACGTGTAGCTGGACACGTTCTTGTTCTAGAGTGAGCCGACGTGACCCCCCTCCCCTCCCCCTCCCGCAGCCAGGGACTCGCACAAACGTCGTATACATAGTAATGGTTAACATAGATCCTAAGGTTATTTAACTTGTAAGATTATAGCCCCGCTATTACCTCGTTGTTAAAGATGCCAAACTTTGGAGCAGAGATCTGTCGCTAGTGCCGGCCGGTGTGTTGTATATAATGTATCCCCCTCCCCCTCCCCCCTCCCCCCACTGACATTATATAGTGAGATGTTATTGTATTGTTGTGTTGTTCGTCGTCCGTGGGTTCAACTAGTGCGCGACGTCCGATAACCCCATTTATAAGGGCGTCTTGTTGAATGTGTGTGTGTGTGTGTGTGTGTGTCACCTTGTACGTGGGGTGTGTGTGTGTATTTTCTTTCTACATAGTCATTAATTTATTGTCACTAGCTTAGGTTTTTTTTAAATCTCGCGGATGATGAAGCTTGTTTAAGGCTTTAATATCGTAAGTTAGAAGATTCGCTCTGTGGTCGGTGTCGTGTCGGTGTCGTAGGGTAGTCGGTTCCTAAGGTGGCGCGCCGTGGCGGACCTCACACCTTACGTTACTTAAATATTATATGACGAGTCTGTGGCGAGTGTTGAGCGTGTGTGTGTTATAGTCTTTATAAGGAAATATTTATTTGAGTACTGAGAGTACAAAGACGTTCACGTGACGTGTCGCGTGACGTGCGGGTAGAGCGGTAGGTAGCGGCTCACCAACTATTAGTCAGATTATGAACTTCCCACGCGGACGCTTTGTGTATTTAACGAACCAAAGTTTTATTGAGTAGTCGTAGTGTAGGGTCGCGGGGTGGACCCGCTGTTTATTTGTTTCGGTCATTTGTATTTTAGATTCGATTCTCTTTTAGATTGGATCGACGCCTAAGTAATGTATCGCTTAAGTAAGTCGTTAGCCTCGTGTTTGTAGTTACTTTGTACTTAGCGGCGGAAGAGGAGAGGGGCTTCGTGCTCGGGAGGCGGTCACGTGGCTCAGGACACGGGGCGCGGGGCTCGGAGGTCGGGGCTAACCTCGGGCCTCGGGGATTTAATCTCCGGAGTCGGTTGTGGAATTCCAGGGCTCGGGACTGAAATGTTGGGGCCCGGGGTTTGAGTCTCAGGGCTCGAGGCTCGAATCTCGGGACACGTGGCTTTGAGTCTCGATTATCGAGGCTCGTGAATCTAATCCGGGGACTCGATGCTAGAATTTTTGGGCTCGATGTTCTAGTGTTGGGTTCCAGGGTTTGAATCCAGGGGGTTGGTTGAGGCTCGAGTCTAGAGGTTTGGGGATCTAGTCTAAGGCCACGAGGCTCGAATATCAGGGCTCGGTGCTCGACTCTCGTGGCTCGGGGATCTAATCTCGGGATTTAGTGCTCGATTTTTCGGGCTCGAAGTTGTAGTGTTTGTTTCCGAGGTTTGATCCTGGGGATTGAGGCTCGAGTTTAAGAGGTTTAGAGGTCTAGTCTAAGGCCACGAGGCTCGAACACCGGGGCTCGGTGCTCGACTCTCGTCGCTCGGAGAACTAATTTCAGTGCTCAGTCCTCGAATTTTGGGGCTCGAGGTTCTAGTGTTGGGGTCCAGAGGCTTAGGGCTCGATTCTCGAGGCCCGAGGTTGGGGTACCGGTGGGTGTGGACCTACCGATAGTCAGGGTGGGGGTGTGCTACAACGCCGTGTGTGTGGTCCGTGTCCCGAGCTACGTCACTTGTTCCCTCGAGATAACCCCTAGAGTAGTATTAGATATATTTACCAAAAATTAATTTAGATGAGTGTTTACTTTACGTACTAGTGTACGTCGCCTCTATTTATTTGTGTGCGTGTCCGTCTGTGTACTCGGTGTAGTGTGTGTGTGTGTGTGCGTGCGCGCGTGTGTGCTCTGTTTGTGTGTGTGTGCGGTCAGTCCTGACGTTCCATAACGTGTTTCGTTCCGGACATGCTTTAACGCATAATAATAACGACTTAAATAATTATATGTTAAATAACTTTTACGATGTATTTTATAGTTTGTTTTCATTTAGTCAAACTAACAAAACGTCGATGTGAAGCACAACATGTTATATTAATTATATAAAGATATATTCAAACGTACAAGTTATCACGTGTATGTAACTATTATAGATCAATCGTTCCAGTGTCTCCCCCTCTCTATATATTTATATTCTGTCTCTCTTCCTCGTATATGCCAGAGCGAGACGGCGTCCAGTAAGGGGTCCGTCCCGCTCGTCGTCCGTTGGTAATTTTTTACAATTTTATTTATATGTTTTTTACGATATTTTTTTAGTATTATGAAGTATTAGTAGCTTCTTAAGTAGAAAAGCATAGCGAAGTGTAAACAGAATCTCTGTCCGTGTGTTCTGTGGGAGCGTGTCCCGAGTCGGTAGTACCCAGTGCTAGTCAAGTGCCGCTCCCTCGTCTGCGGGTCGGGCGAGGGAGGACGGCCGGTGTTATCATTTGTTGTGTTTGAGAGCTTTATTGTTTTTAAAAACAAACCGACTCGTGCTACAGCTGCTTGTGCGTGTGTCTGTATGTGTATGTCTGTGGATAATTGTGTTTGCCTGTTTGTGAGTGCTGGGTGTGCGGATCTGTGAGTGAATGTAATGTGAGTGTGCAGTGTGTGCGTGTGTCTAGGTGTGCGGGTCTGTGTGTACTGTGTGTGTGGGTCTGTGTGAGTGTGCAGTGTGTGTGTGCTGCGTGTCCGCATTTGCTTGCTGTGTGAGCGTATGTGTGTGTGTGTGTGTGTGTCTCTCTGTGTGAGCGTGTGTGTGTCTGTGTGTGCTTGCTGTGTGAGCGTGCTGTGTATGCGTGTGTGTGTGTCTCTGTGTGTGTTTGCTGTGTGAGTGTGTGTGTCTCTGTGTGTATGTGTGTGAGTGTCTCTGTGTGAGCGTGTCTGTGTGTGCGTGTGGGTATGCGTTTGCGCGTTCTGTTACCGTCGTACGATCCGTTCCACGTCACTCTGTAAGTCTCGTGAGTCGTAGCTCGTCTATCAGAGCTCGTGAGTACTTAACCTCTGGGACGCTTTAAATGATGTCGTTATTTTCGTGCCATAATAATTGAAGTTTACAATTTACATTTAAGAGATTATTGTAATGTTTCAAACGTCTACGAATTTTATTGAATATTGATTTATTGTAATACGTCTGTTGTTGATTATACTTTTACATGTTTATATGATGTTTGTGTTCTGTTCTGTGAACGAAACTTTGTTACATTTGGAATTTGTTTTTTGAGACTTTCGAAGTTACCAAAATGTATTTAAGAGTTTTCTCATGTCTCATGTCGATGACGTAGTACAGCGTGACGTCACCGCCATAAGGCCGCAATGTTTTTTATTTTTGTTATTTTATTATACAGTTGTACATTATATTGTATTGTTTTATACGATGTCGCCGGTTGAGAACCGGCAGTCCGTGCAATCAAATAATAATTTATATAGAGCGTTCGTATCGCCTCGAGAGTTGTTTTGACTCACCTTTTAAATGTTTATATTTTACGCTTCCGAGAGGCGCGTCTCAGCCAAAGATTATATATATACATATAGTACAGACGGCGGCCGAGGTCGCTGCGAGCCCCGGCCCGGCGCCCTCGGCCTCCGTCGTTCCGATGTACCGTGTATTGTGTACCGTTGTGATGTTCGGTGGTAGCCAGAGAGAGCGTGTGTTTGTCGTTTGTTCACTGGTCACATTTAGAAACACCTTAGCTGGATAATTAATACCTATGATATAGTTATATGATGGAGTCAAATATGTAAATGTAATCCTACATGTCTATTAAAACGATCAAAATAGATTACACACCCGCTGTTTGTTTTGTTACCGAACCCTTCCCTGACCATATACATATATAAAAATACATGAGGTGATCACTCTTATAAAGTGTATCCACATGCCTTAGTCACTGTTATAAGTGTTCTATTAAACTCTGGACCTGTGTTAGTAATCTCTCACTAACACTAGTCTGCAGCTCATCACTTGTAGACGCCAACAGTATTCTATTCTGAGGACTCGTCCCTGTTTTGTACTAAGAACTCTCATGTAACTTTCGGTGATGAAATCCGAAGTCCCCGCAGCCGATTAGCCGAGTAATTTCTGGTTCTCAACGGACGGTGGGTATTTTAACTGGACAACAACTTGTTTAGTCGTCTCTCCTGACATTAACTATTTACTATATAATTTATAATCACAACATCTCGATATTCTCATTCATATCCTGAAGAACCTTATAATAATAATAATATTTATTTGCTCTGAATGTAGGTACAGAATTTAGGTGTACAAATGGATTTTAGTATAAGTTCCAGGTACATTCTGCCATAAGGCATGCAAATATTAGGTTTAAATTATAAATTAATATTACATATTCAATTAAAATTAGAAATTAAATTAACCATGCAAATATAATTTTAAATTCATATTAAATGTTTTACAGATGAAAATTAACAATTCAATAAAATAACAAGGTCAAATCAACAATACTCGTACAATTGAAACTATAAATTAAACTAAACTACATAATTAAAATTAACTATACAATTATATTATATTTCCTATGATTTGTGATATAATGATAGATAGATAGATGATTAAGTTATTTATTTTATACATTTTTTATTCAGCAATTTCTTACAAAATTGTCTTATCCATTAGATAATCATTTACGGAGTAATAACACTTGTTAACTAGTAAAGAAATCAAAAGTTTTTTAAAATTCTACATAAGTAAAATCTTTTATTTCATTCGGTATTTTGCTATATATAATAGGGGCCATGATCAATATGTTCCATCTCAAAAAAGCAGTTTTGTAGTTGCCTGTACATAAAAGATTATTTATTTGTTCCACCAACATTTGTTCACATCATCACATACGTAAGAAAAATATACAATACACATACTTAACTTAAAATTAGGTGTGACAAACATTTATAAGTAGATACATCATGCTTAATTTCTATCGAAATTAGACCTCCCAGCGCGAGCCGTAGTAAAAACAAAAGCAAAAATTTTAAAAAAGGTAAATTTACAAAATAAAATAAAAATTTTAATAAACAATGAAAAGATTAAATTAAAATCTATATCAAAATTTTCTTTTATTATGATATTATAATAATTATGATATATATATTATAATAATTATGATATTGATACCTTAGATTTATAGCGCGATTTCTCGTTTCTCTTAATGAAGGAGTTGTTTGTTTTCACAAAGACTGCAATTTCAAATATATATAAACAAGGAAATGTTAAAAGCTTATATTTCCTAAAAATCGGTATACAGCTGTCCGTGACAGTTGAAAATACATAGATCTAAGGCATCGTTTTTGTCCCTTAAAAGTACTTTCCTTCATAGAGTATATGTTTTAAATAAACTTAGATACTCTCTATATTCATCTTAATAAATATTGGAATTGTTAGATTTACTTGATCGACTACTTCCTTTCAACTCATGTCGCTGAAAATTATAGAATAACTAGCTTTCCGCCCGCAGCTTCGACCGCGTGGAGTTCGGTTATATATCGTTTCCAAGAGAACCTTTCAAATGTCTGGGTTAAAAACTATCCTATGTTCTTTCTCAAGTTCAACTCCATCTCTGTACTAAATTTCATTAAAATCAGTTCAGTGGTTTAGGCATGAAAGCATAACAGACAGACAGACAGAATTACTTTCGCATTTATAGCATTAGTAGGGATTTAAAATTTGATACATCATTATAATTAATGAATAAAATTACTCGATATTAATCAATATGAACCTCAAAAAGTTGGAGCTACGTAGAAACGAAGGAGTAATGTTCTAAGATCACATTCAACACAAACACCTACACATGGACTGGTGTAGCCAAATGTTAGAGAAGTTCAACGGCGGTGACTCAACAGCTGTAGTGGTCATCGTCACAGGTGATGATAGCTGGATATATCTACGAACTTGAAATTGAAAGAAAATCAGCTCAGTAGGTGTTTAACTTCGAGGATCCGCGATATAGTCCTGACCTGGCGCCAGCTGTGACTTTTATTTATTCCCAAAAACTCAAGTTCAAATTCAATATATTGTTACCTAGGTGTAATAAGTTAGTATTATTATGCTCAGTAAACGTACACATACCAGCTATCTTAAATCGATTCTCAGGTACCAGGTGCTACAGGTAAGTAAAAATAGTACTCATTTTTACTTACCTGTAGCACCTGTAATAGTACTCACTATATTGGATTAATAAACCACAGATCCTCGCTTGTGTCGACAGTTTTGAAATTTTAAATAAATAAATATAAATAAATAAATAAATTTCTATTGAGAACATGGCTGTAATCTATCCAACATCTTCACTAACACTTCTTTAAAAATATAAAATTCCATGTCCGTGACCAGACAAGTCAGCACTTGGAGACATATAAGAACATACTGCAGGCAACCAGAGCAGACCTTATCTAACATAACCATATGACAGACATTTTCACGTAGTCTGCCCTTGATTACGGTTGCTGCAATGTAATTGAAACATCGGGAGTATTTAGCTTGAAATGATAAATCCGAAAATATTAGTTTTACTTTAATAAACACTCGCAATATAGGCCAGTGCAGAAGCCTTTAAAATTAATGAAAAGTGAAAATAAATTAAAGTAGAAAAAAACTCATTAGAAAAGGAGGGGAATATTATAAAGGAAAAATAATTTACGGGCGATCTGAGGTCGGGAAGGGTATGGGGGTTTCATTTAGGGGTAAAAATGGGTTTTCTCGATTTCCGGCAAAACTAAAAGTCCGACGAAAAAATGTTATATGGCAAAGTTGTAGGTAATAAAAAGATCTAAAACTTTTGAACTATCATTTTTTTCACATAACCTGAAAATTTATGTGAAAAATTCGAAAAACTAAGTTTTTGGTTTTTTATATTTATCTCTTACAAAAAACAATTTTTTGTCACAAAATTTGGTGAAAACTTTCCTTTTGATGTTACAAATGCACTGTAATTTATTTGATTAGAAATATTTATTTTTTTTCACCTTATTTTGAATAAATACCGAAAAATCAGTCTCATTTTCAATCGAAAAACACTCGTCAAAAATATTAGCTATTTTCAAAATTTTTTGGTATGTTTTCAATTTGTTGAAATCTCTATTTTCCGATGGTGAAGAAAAAAATATAAGTTTCTTACTTACAGTACCATTTTTGGATAAAATAATCATGTCCCTTTTAATGAAATGACACTCGATATCGTTTGGAAAATGCTTTTTCAATTTATTTTTAATAGTTTTAGCAGCTTAATCTCAATTTTCTGTAAATTACCTAAAAGAGGGACTATCTGGAGAACTTCCAGAGTACACAACTATTAAAAATAAATTAGAAAGAGCATTTTCAAGGAGCATTTGTAAGACATAAATATGTATAAAAAAACCAAAAACTTGGTTTTTCGAATTTTTCACATAAATTTTGAGGTTATTCGAAAAAAATGTCAGTACAAAGGTTTTAAATCTTTTTATTATCTACAACTTTGCCATATAACATTTTTTCGTCGGATTTTTAGTTTTGCCGGAAATCGAGAAAACCAATTTTTACACCTTAAATGCCCATCCCCATACTTTTCCCGACCTCAGATCGCCCGTAAATTATTTTTTTCTTTAATTTATATAATATTCCCCTCCTTTTCTAATCAGTTTCATTCTACTATAATTTAATTATGTTTTAAAAGCTATCGGCACTGGTCTAATAGTCATAGAACTCATTATGTATATGTAGCTATTGGTTTTGTACAATCGTCACGAGGTAGCGCTGTCACACAATGTCGAGAATAGACTACAATATTCGCTAAGTCGATATTTAATGTATCGCGATAATATTATATTAAATATATGAACTTTACACATAATTTATTCTTCTACCTGGCAATTTCCGAGCTATAGCCAGGGTCTGCTTTAACATGGCTAATTGTTTTTTACGACCGGCCGCTTGCCTGACATCAAACCTCTTTTTGGGAATGCATTAATCAGTGATGTCTAAATATTTTTTAGAAAGTACATATGACTTGGAAAAATCACATTGGTACTTGCCCGGGCCAGGATCGAACCCGCACCCTCGGCAACGAGAGGCCCTCTAACTACTAGGCCACCACTGACATAATTTATTATTTGCAACAAATATTGAAGACAATGCGGATGAGGTAAAATAAAAAGAACGAATAAAGATTACTTTAAGTAATGTCACTAAACGTTTAGTTTTAATAATACTTCTAAACTCACCATATCTAAGTAGGTACTTATCTCAGTTAAAAGCATATTAAGAGGCGATGTTATTTCTAAACGCATCTTAATACATAGTAAGTTATTATTTTTACGACCGGTCCACTTAATGCCAGTAACAAAATATATCTTACTATTACATATCAAATGTATATTTCGCGCTTCTCTCCAGGTCTCGTTATGTTTAAAGTAATGTTAACGATTTGTTCGTGTATTGTAGTGAAATAATGTCAATTACAATCATTATTCTGAATCACACAATGGCAGCAGTGAGCGTCGCTCGCAGCCTGGAGCCGGTGGTGTCCGGTGAGAGAGGTTCATTATACCGGGCGTACGGCGTACCATCTGATAGGTAAACAGAATAGTCCGCGGCCGCGGTAAATATCGTAATCTAGCAGCGGTCGGGAAACAAATAATATAATTCACGTGAAGCAAACCGGCTAATGAAGCGGTATCGGGTCGCAGGTCGGCTTATCACACGGCGACTGCTGCCAGGACGGGCTTCATTAAAACTTAACTACTCCCAGATACACCGCTTTTAATTGACGAATTAAGAAATGACCACATTCATTAATAAAGAAACAATTATCGTAAATATTTACGTTAATATATCTATTATCTGTTTAGAATCAAAAGAAACCATATCGATTATTATTTAACAGAATAAAATTAATTCGTTTAAGTTATTCAAAGAAGTCGCTTCACTTGTTACGAATTCCAATATAAGTTTTATTGATGTTTATGTTATAAGTAAGCTTGTTCTGTATGACACACATCCACCCCAGGGTCCATGTTTCCTCATCCGTCCCGGTCAGGCGTGTTCTCAGTCCCGAGCTGGAGGTGAACCACCTTCAGGCGGGGTCGGGTCGTCTGTTTGTTTTTATTTCCTCGACCGTCGAGTTATTACAGTCGGTCACGAGATCCTCTCTGCTGCTCACCGAGTGTGCAGACTGCAGCCTGTTGTTATCGTGTTGTCGGCGCCTCGTTATATAAACATGTAATAATCTGTAAATTGGTTGGAGGACATTTGTAACTCCTGACTCCTGACCGCCTCCTCCGTCCGTCGCTCGGTCGGGGTCGCCAGCCCACTCTGTATGCGTGACCGACCTTTCTCTCACTACACATGTACATATTATTTCAAAATAAGCTCTACATAACCGCTTGTATTCTTAAGTGTTACAAAATCTGTTATGCAAATACTGCGGTGATCGGCTTTTGTTATTTTATTACGCTCTCCATTGAAATCGCCCCCCGACCGTACACAACATTTGTCGATGCTCCGGCCACTTGTTGCAAACTACGGATTAATGAATGTGACACAGGCCCGGGGGCCGGGGCCGGGGCCGGGGTCCGGGAGGCTCGGGGTCGTCGTTGTGTTTTGATCGTTCAGTTCCCGCGAGGGGCGACCACAATGGCTCGTTCGAGGGCAGGTTTTTTATAGTGTCAGCTGCACAAGTGCTCCATTGTCTGAGCTCCGCCGCAGAAATGGGTTTTAATTGTTCATAATGAATTTTATTGCCTTATCTATCTGTGCCATAAGGTTACAGTAGGGATAGTTTGCGGATTTATTTAACATGTGCGATCAATCGCTCTCTATTGATATCGGGACCCTTATTTTTTATTCATTATATATATTGTGTGAGCCAGAGCTGTGTGAAAGCGTATCGATTACCGTTTAAAACGAATCTAATAGATTAACGACCGCTACAGTCGCCGCGGCTCCCGGAGGAGTGACTCGCTCGTGACTAATACAAGAATTCCATTTCAAATTGTTTCTTTTATATATTACAACTACTGAATTACTTTTAAACTGCTCGGTAACGGTCGGTAACCATTCACTGTGGACGATTATAAACATCACTTTATAAACTTGATTTTATCTAGGTTGGAGTTTGGAGATTATTGAACAAGCGGATCAATTATAATTTATAAGTGTAACTATATTAAAAAAAATAATAGAAATAAATGATCTCAGCAAGTCCTAGAAAATATTGAATATTGTTGATCAAATTTTATTACTTAGTTCGTTTTTTATTATATAGGTTTTTATTATATAAGTATTATTTCATCATGTAATTTTAGCTCAATTACGAAAATATTACATTCATTATAAAAATGAGTAGATGATCAATGTTCCTACTACGACTCCGTACAGTAAGTACAACATAAATGAGTGTTACAGGTAGCTTGTAAAATGAAACAGATCCCTGAGGCCGAGTGTACGAGCCAGCTGACGGACACCTTCTAAAACCAAGGTTCAATGAATTGTAGTAGTATTCTAGTAACAGGGACAGCCTTCAACGAGCGAACAGACTAATATAAGATAGACTGATTTATAGTAGATACTCTGGGACACTATGAGAACATTGTTAATCTCTTGTATCAAGTTGAACCGCTGTTTTGTTACAAATAATACATGTTTAACTCCCCGTGTCTTCATGCAAGGGTTCACAGACCTCTCGCTTGTTGTAGTAGACCGTCGCGTGTCTCATGAGGGAGCTGCGCCTCGTATCATACATCAGACCTCCGTGATGATCGTACTCCGAGGATGCTCTAACAAACATCGTGACCGTTCACACCCTGCATGAGATAACTTACATTAACTTAACGTTCGAACGGATGAGTACTGGAGTCTAATACCTGTATAAGATGTTGATAGAACACCCTCTAGGATATCATTGTAGATGATCTTTTATTATTGAAAGTGCGTGAAGGCATGTGTAGTGTGTGTATTTGTGTATAGTTCATGTGTGTATTTTGTCAATGATTATCATTAAATGAATTGTTTCATACATTTATGATTTTGTTTTCGTCATCATTCTCATTTCATTCCGATTATATTAACGTTGAGGAAACACCGACAAATACACATATATATGTATATATAACATAGATACAGAACCAGTTTGTATAATGAACTCGTGGGTTATTAAAAATAATTTGGAAAATGAAGGCAAATTAAAATTTATTAAAACCCTTATAACTATTAGGCAGGTGTTCTTTAAAGTATAACGCCAGTGTAGGTCTCCTGTCTGCCTCGACCAACACATCCCGACATGTTGAGAGTTACCGAATAATTAAACATCTTATTACCATACGGTACACGGGAATCCAATCTAAAAGCGTATGTATGTTTGTTTGTGTATCTCCGCTCGGAGTGATGTAATAAAATATTCAAGTAGGGTGGTCATAAAGAGACGTTATCACCTCCGATAGTGAGGAAGCAGATCACTCCCATAGCGCCGGTGGTCCGCCGTCATCTTAATTAACACGCAGCCTGCTTAGGCTTTACTGTAATTGGGACATTCCGTATGTTAATGTGCTAGGAGGACACGGTGACCACGAGGCTCGGTCGAACATCGGACAGACTTATATCGGTATTAACATATCTCAATGAATCGATGACGGCAGGCGGGAGGTGGTAGGTGGTAGGTGGTAGCGGACTCTAACGAACGATTTGGTAATTATCTGGTGAAACTTTCTTTTTGATCGTCGCTCGTAAAGATAACTCTCCGAACTGTCCGCGGTGTGTGTGTGTGTGTGTGTGTGTGTGTGTGCTGCCGGTACCTGTAGGTACATACTCAACATATTTATTGACTTTGGTCGATAATGATATAACGATACATCGAAACCTTCGTCTTCTTCATTTAAGAACATCTTAATCAATTTTGTTTGTTTCTTTACGACATCTTTATTCATGTTACCTAAATATAAGAATATTTTAATTTATTATAATATTTATTAAGATGGTTACGTTACTGTCTAATGATATTTATAATATATTACAACAATTGTATTTATAATTAGTATTTATCTAATGAAGAATCAAATCTAGTCTAGTCTCAAGTCAGTGGTGGCCTAGTAGTTAGAGGGTTCGCCTCTCGTGCACGAGGGCGCGGGTTCGATCCTGGTAAATACCAATGTGTTTTTTTCCGAGTCATATGTACTTTCTAAGAGTATATATTTAGACACTACTGACGGACGGTGAAGGAAAACATAGTGAGAAAACCTGGACTTATAATTTCACAATTACAAGTTTCAAATCATCAACCCATCTTGAGCAAGCGTTTGTGATTAATGCTCAAACCTTCTCCATGTGAGAAAGAGTCCTTTTGCTCAGCAGTGGGCTCTGATAGATGACAACGAATGAAGAATGTTTTAAATAAAAAGTTAAGTTTGAATATCTTTGAATATGTTAAATCGAGTGAAATAATTGTTAAAAGTAACTTATAGAAAACAAACCGAACTATGATAAGGTAACGAGTGATAAGACGAGACAGGTTGATTAATATTTTAGTGTTGGGTAAATATTAATACATAAATATTTAATTTAACGAACTCATAAACTAAAAGGAGAATTTATATGTTTTAACACTGGAGTTAAGAAATAATACAATAACAAAGTAAAGTTAATAGTTTGATTGAAACTCTGGGCCGTAACTATTCGATAATACGAGTATGACATCCTGATAGGCCAGTGCAGAAGCCTTTAAAATTAATGAAAAGTGAAAATAAACTATAGTAGAATGAAACTCATTAGAAAAGGAGGGGAATATTATAAAAATTAAAGGAAAAATTATTTACGGGATCTGAGGTCGGTAAGGGAATGGGGATAGGTTATTATATTGTTATTGGTTATTTATTTAAGGGTGAAAAATGGGTTTTCTCGATTTCCGGCAAAACTAAAAGTCCTACGGAAAAATGTTATATGGCAAAGTTGTAGGTTATAAAAAGATCTAAAACTTTTGAACTATCATTTTTTTCACATAACTTCAAATTTTATGTGAAAAATTCGAAAAACCAAGTTTTTGGTTTTTTTATTTTTATCTCTTACAAAAAACAATATTTTGTCACGAAATTTTGTGAAAACTTTCCTTTTGATGTTACCAATGCACTGTAATTTATTTGATTAGAAATATTTCTTTATACAGCTTATTTTGAATAAATACCGAAAAATCACCCTCATTTTCAATAGAAAAATCACCCGTCAAAATATCAGCTATTTTCAAAAATTTCGTGTGTTTTCTGTTCGGTGAAATCTCTATTTTCCGATGGTGAAGAAAAAAATATAAGTTTCTGACTTACAGTACAATTTTGCGATAACAAAATCATATACCTTGCGAAATGACACTCAAAATCAAATGCCCAATTTATTTTTAATAGTTTTAATGAAATGTAAACACTCGATAAGAGGGACTTTGGAGAAAATGCTCTTTAAAAATTGAGCATTTTTTAATAGATATTTTAGCAGCTCAATGTAAAAGGGAATTTTCTCTAAAATTAAACCTAAAAGAGGGACTATCTGGAGAACTTCCATGGACATACACATAAGACATGTTGCGGATGTGTCACCTTTGAATTGGGAAAAATAAAATTTGAAAAAGAGCATTTGGGAAAAACGAAGGGTCGAGTGTCATTTCATCGGAAAACGAAGCCACTAAATGACGCCGATCTTCTGTTGGTACTTCCCCGGTTTTATGTAATCAAAAGTTGGTACCACCTTGAAGTACCACATGATTAATCCTACTATACTTGTTTTTTTCTTCACCATCGGAAAATAGAGATTTCAACGAACAGAAAACACATGAAATTTTTGAAAATAGCTGTTATTTTGACGGGTGATTTTACGATAGAAAATGAGGCTGACTTTTCGGTATTTTTTCAAAATAAGCTGAAAAAATAAATATTTCTATTTAAATAAATTACAGTGCATTTGTAACATCAAAAGGAAAGTTGTCACCAAATTTCGTGACAAAATATTGTTTTTAGTAAGAGATAAAAATAAAAAACCAAAAACTTGGTTTTTCGAATTTTTCACATAAATTTTTAAGTTATGTGAAAAAAATGATAGTTCAAAAGTTTTAGATCTTTTTATTACCGACAACTTTGCCAAATAACATTTTTCCGTAGGACTTTTAGTTTTGCTGGAAATCGAGAAAACCCATTTTTTACCATAAATACCCACCCTGATACCCTTCCTTACCTCAGATCGCCCGTAAATTATTTTTCCTTTTATTTTTATAATATTATCCTCCTTTTCTAATGAGTTTCATTCTACTATAATTTAATTATGTTTTAAAAGCTATCGGCACTGGTCTATGACGACTGTATCGGGGCATGGGTTGGGACTCCAATACTGAGGAATCTGAAGATGGTTTTATACATACACACGACGAGGACAGAGGCGAGGAAGGACTAGATTGAATTTTCAGACTACATGTATAGGACTTAAAAATTATTAATTATTATTAGATCAGTAGCGGTAGTACCGGTCTGTATGATTACTATGTATACATTATATGTCCATGATGTTGTCACACTCACATTGTTCCTATGACAGTCATTATAAAGCGGTAACATTCGGGTTCGATTACTCTTTGACACGTTGGATGTTTCACGTCAGTTGTGTTGACTGTTCCTACACCGTACACTTCCTCTGGTTATAAGGGAAGCGTCCGCTCCGTAAACTTTGATTTCTGAATATGAATAGTGATCGTGTCTCGGAGTCATCCTGGTTGAGTTCAGTTCACATATTGTTATGTCAGGAGTGCTTCAGGGAACACATAAACAATGGGTCGTGGACATGCTGGAGCGAGGCAGCGGGTCGTGATGCCTGACTGGTGATGTAATGTAACAAACATACATACATGGGGACAAATAAACTTTATCCTAGGTAAAGAAGAGTTACGTTTATTTTTAATAAGTAGCCGGGTCATTATCTAATGCGTATTTTATTAAATATGTACTAACATAATTGCTATAAATTCCAAAATGTTAAACATATCTTGATAGGACTGAATATAAAACAATAATAAATTATGGGTGTTGTAAACGAATCTTTAAATTACGCAAAATCCATTTTATTTAGATTGATTCATCTCTTCTCGGATGCTGTAAAGCCCGGTACCTACTTATTTAACTAGATTGTTTTTAACAATATGATTATTTCATACTATGTGTAAGTTATCATTTACAAAATTAAAAAGAAATCTATTATATATACACGTCTTCACGTCGTTCATGTAAGTGACCCTCGTTCCTCTGTCTGAGTGTTGAGAGTATCAACCCCGGGCCAGCTTCTCCCTGCATCACTTTGTTTATTATATATGACACACCTAGTTGTTATGAACGTCGCCGCTCTCTACTGGAACCACATCTTCACAATTAACGCTAGTTATGTTTAATCACATTCATATATTTTAAACGTCCGGCTCGGGTCCGCGGCCGGGGGGGAGGTGAGGGAGGGAGAGAGGGAGGCGGCGTGTGATCGATAAATCAGTGAACAGTTGAACAACGAGCTTAGCGACGTCCCAATTTACGTAAGAGGTATTAATTTTTTTGGTTCCGTGTAAACCTGATGACGCTTGTTTGTTAACGACGCCGATATAAATAGCACTCGTTTGTAAGGAGACAGGGAACTTATTCGGGGATTACTCTGTAATATGTTTGTGGCTCGTTGCTGGCCGCTCCGTGTCCTCACATATATCTTGATGTGTTCGCTTGTTTGTACTCAATAATCCGTTTCTACGTCTCTGAATCGAAACGCTACAAGGTGTTAGATGATTGGTTTGTGACGAAGTGGTTTCTTGCTTCTTGTATTTCATTTAACTAATTATTATTATGCTTAAATAAAAACAACATTGTCTAACACCGTTAGTTCCAAGTGAATAATTAACACCATAATAATATGAAAGCTCCCATCTCATCACAATGCTACACCGTCCATTCCTCGTCCATCACACATCCACATCCATCTCCAGGTCTACATTCAGCTGTATCAATAGGTTCCTTATACTTTACAAGGATTTCGTAACTGAGACATTACAAACTTGGTTTACTTGTTCCGTTAAACTTGCTGGCATGTCTCAGTGGTATGGAATAAATTAGTAAGTTATAGAATATTTAATATTGTTTACTTGAATAAATAATGAACGAGAAAAATATAAACTGCGCATTAAAAATGATATGAACATTATAAAAATATAATTGTAAACTAAGAAGTTTAATTTTTTTATGTTTAACAACGTGTACTTCGTTAAGGACGGCGCAACGTTTAGATAAGAGACAATTAGGATAATGGAGTGGTCGATGTAATACTGTAAGGTTACAGAGGAAAAAATCATGTAAAAATTTGATAATACACCTTTACAGTACATCACGATATAGAAAATATTTGTTGAAATTAAAACTAAACTGTTTAATGTGATTTACTATTATTAGTTCTCATAGTGTTCTTATTAAAATTTATTTGTATGTGTATTTCATATTACCATTACGTTTTATCGACTCTCTATAATAGTAAGTTATGTGAATGTTTACAAAATTCTTAATGACCATAATGTTTTCCTAATGTAACGCTTGTAGTCACACAAACACATACACCAGAGAGACAGAGTCGGTTCACAAACAATGTTATCACGGGGCTGCGTGTCGTGCTCCTGGCTCGTTTGTCTGCTCCGATTTATTGCCGATTCAGCGCCGATATGCCCCGCGACCGATGACCGGCCGATTGCGACGACGCTCTCCTACCTCCCTACCACCTACCACCTACTATAACCTATAACCTCCTTACCTCTAGTTCATGACGCTATCTTCGTTGAACTATTTGTCACCGTTTCAGTGTTAGGTATTCTGTATAAAGGTGAATGTCCTTACCTATAATGTTGTATAATCTATTAACTTTCAAATTATTCATTAATATTGGTAGTTGTAACTTTCATTTCCCTCTTTATCTGTATTTATCGCCGGTCCATTCAAGATGGACGCGATACTATTCAGCGGATAGCAAACATTCAATAATTCAATATATTGATAAGTCTCCGTCTCAGATACACGAGTCCTATAATTCATATCGACTATGATCTGATAACTGACTCGCTGATTGCTACAAGACCTGCTCCAGCCCCCGACGTCGCCTGGACACGGTGAGCTGACACAGCCGCTGCAGGTGACGCAACATTTGTTTACAGATGACTTATTACCACGGCTCCATTTACTTTGTTATGATATAGTTTTCAATGAACACGTAATACGTCTCATTTAATTCGAGTCAAACTATTCTAGTCTCGAGATAAAGTCACCGTGGGAATGTAATGACGGAAATAAAATGTAACATTGGTCAAACCGCACAAAATAAAAGCAATTCCGAAGACAGAGCAAAAAGTGAAGTAGGAACAAAAAAAAAGATATTGATTACATTGATCTAGACGCGGAGACACAAAAAACGTGATCCGTAATTAAATTATTCGGTACGTTTACAGTGAGTGGAGAGGAGTGAGGTGCTCGGGTTCCGTACAGTCAGCGATCGTCGACCCCGCGTCTTCAGCCGGGATGCTCCGTGTGTAGTGTAGTCAGGCTCATCTTCCTGTTAGTACGGCACGCCGCGGACTCGTGCGTCGCCTCTTGAAGGCGGACGGGTGTTAACTCCTCACCGGGAATGTAATTGGCCAATTACTCGCCTGCGAGCGTCCGCCGCCGTCGATATGTTGACGAGAGATGATCCGCTCGATTAGACGCGGGCATCGAGTGACGCGGACAAGAAATAAAAAACACAGATACGGATTAAAACACAACTGACATAAGACGACTGAGGAGAGATGACGAGGAGTTGACGGAGGAGCAGTTACAACGAACATGTTTAAATAGATTAAAGTAGGAACAACAAAAATATTATTTTAGATAAAAATAATACAATGTTAGTATTAAAACAATAAGATCCGTCACGTTGAATCGTTTATTTTACATTTTTAAATGGTAACTAATGTTATCATGGGACTTAATTAGGTTGTCGTAAAAAATAATTTGTGTGTGACAGTATCGTCCTTTGTTTATATATATTATAAATGAGACTTGGTATATATTATTTTGAATATTATATTATATTAATATTCTGAATGATCTCGAACTGTGTCTATAATTTCATAATATTATTGTGTACGAGTCAGAAGGTCTGGCCTGGAAGGTAAAGTTACACCGACACCTGTCTCGAGTTTAATTTTAAGCCGACATTAAATGAAAGCTATTATTTATCACGAGACGAGTCGTTTTAATGGGATCGTTGTTTTTGTGAGAGAGAAGGATTTATAAAATATAGGCAGCGAATAGAAAGTGGACGGAGACCGTGAACGAGGTGATCACGAGATCGAGAGGCGATGGGCGATAAGTCGTGTAAGGTCACGACTGAGGAGTGGTGCTGGAGAGGAAGCCAGCGTGACGAGCCGGGCGGGGCGCACGGTGGGCGAGGTGGGCGCGGTGGGCGAAGTGGGCGCGGTGGGCGCGGTAGGCGTGCTCATACACCGCTATTGGACGGTGAGAGCGCGTGGCACCTTTCGTTTTAGAACAATGGCGTTTGAACAATGTAACCCGAGCCAGCGCCGCTCTCTGATGGGCTCGCTCCATCGGCCACATTCAACAAAGAAGTTTCGGTTACGTGAACCTCTGTGTTTACTTTCAGCTGCCATTGTAACTCACCAGCCATCTCTCATCGCGAGTGAGCCTCACGTCGAATATAAGTACATTAAAACAGAATCCCCGCTAGTAATATACCTTTTCATTATCTATGTTACTCTCAGCGGACCGCTACATTGTTATAGATCGCTACCTCAAACTATATTTTATCTCCCGGCGCCGCCCGTCCAGCGTCACCTTACTCCGATCACGACCCTGTTCCCTTCCCTACCGCCTCTCTATACCTCACTCTGAACAACTCAATATATTATTGTGTTTGTTTTAACGTCTGTTCGTCCTATTTCCGAGCACGACTCCGTTTTCCTCTCTCCGTATTCAAGTTATATATTGCACTGTTGTAAATTACTTCTCATTATAATTTATAACTGTTCTATTTTTCTATTAGAATGTCGACTGAAGTCATATTTATGTTATGTTTTCGTTCATTTCGTTCACTACATTGTTTTATTTCAACATCTTAAGATTATCATAATATTCTGTCTGTTAATATTATAAAAATGAATGTATCCGAGAATGTATGTGTGTAATGTTCTCATGCAAAAGCTACTAAACGAATTCTTGTCAAATCTATCGGTGTTGTACCTACAACACCGATAGATTTGACAAGAATTCGTCTATCAGTGTTGTACCTAGATTATCAGAATAAAGTATAGGATATAATTTATGCAGAAATTCTTTGTGATTTTTGAAAGCACAGGGTATAACTCTAGTATTTTGTATGAGTTAAAATGATACAAAGTGAAAGTAGTTTGCCGTACCTATTATTATTTTAATAACACATTATTTGATTATCTCCTAAACTACTTTTGAATTTGACCAGTCAGAAATCAGCTAGTGATGAAAATTTTATCAACTGGTCTCGATATAAAAATTGATTTTGAATATTAGTGCCATCAAAAACTGTTTATATTTATTTATTAATCATTTTTTATCTAGTGTCATAAGTATACGCTAATGTTTTGTCGTTATTTTCAAGATGTGCACTAAGGAAATCATTCTCATGCAATAACTTATCAGTTGATCTCTATAAGTCATCAGTAGGTATATAATGTCCGTCATCCACACACTACCTGTTCCTATACGACTCATCTCTAAAAGATATCACCATCGTTCTGTCGTTTAATAAATCTCGTCAGCGGCATCATTACACACCGTAGTAATATTTCGTGTTTGTTTACGACGTGCGAGCCCGCGTGTATAGACTAGTGTATGCAGCAGAGACCACAATTAGTTACGTGAGAGGACTACTACGCTGAGTAGGACGCAGCGAGCAGCGAGCTTACTTATTATAATATGGAGAATGGCCAGCTCCTCACACGACGGAGTACTGACTGTTCAGAGATGAGACGACGAAAATATATATTAATATTAGTTTAGATCATAGAAAAAAAATAATATTGCTAATGAAACACGAGTTGGAGGAAGTCTTAGAAAGTCTTCTCTTACTAATTTAGAATATTATACTATTTTATACTGTAGATTATTTATTAGACAGTAACGAGTCGCCTGTTAGTATTTTAATAGAATCCTCCAATAACCTAATGACTATCTGTTCAGTTAACCGGAGTGAGGTATGTAGTGAGCCTCGTGATTTGTGCGCGCTTTACCGTGATTCATCTGCTCTCTGTGGAATATTAAGAAGATGTGCATTGAGCTGTAGTGAGCGGGCCGCGGGTGGCGGGTCGTCCCTCTCTCACTCACCATACACGTAACTACTCGTTTACATTCCCGGCACATAACTTTATTTTGCAAATCTCGAATACATTTAACTTCCCAGAAGTTCTCCAAAGGTTACGACGTGTCGAGATACGGGACTGTAATCTCAGAATTAATTTATATTATATCGTCACGAACTATAAGAGGCCATTAAATCGAATACGAATAATTAGATCTAGCGTAATTAAGAAAAGTGTTTATGAGTCACGTCTTCATGCAGCCTCCCTCGGTCCACGTTATCTGTCCCGGTCTCCCTCATCACTCCTCTAAATCGTCTCCTCGTGCCGCTGTATATATTCCCGCGACTCCGTCGATACCCCGATACTACATTATTACAATCTACTGTTATAAATTATCGTTTGTATAAATATTGTATCCACCGCGAGCTGAAGAAAATGACATTAGAACTGTTTCTAACGGCCACTGACACTATGGGTGTTGTTTTAAATTGCATCGATATAGGAATGGTGTTTAATATAAGAAAGTTGTAATAGAGCTCCACCTACGTGAGTGTTTAAGTTTATTTCTGTGTCGTATATTACAATAAATGTATAAAGTTTAATTGGTGAGGCACGAACTCGCTCCGCGGACCCCCCGTCGCCGCTCCGATGAACTCTTGGCGCTGCTCCCGAGCTGGACCTCGCTACGAACTGACTAAATATACATTACTCATTCATCTGATAGTCAGAAATTATTATACAGACACAAAACAAATAAAACGACAGTCACTAATGGCTGTATGAAGTGTATCACGTCTCACAATATGTACAATTACAATGGTTTCCTCTCCAACGTACAATGTCATTAAAATCATTTCCTGAACATAGACAAGAGTCAGTGTGTTCAGTGCGCTCGTTTCTTTCGTTGGTATGCGAGAGGTGTTGCCAAATATTCTGACCTCCCGCTGAGCTAATCAGCTGATGTTGCTACAGATAGCGACTCCATAAGGCCACTCACATCGTGAGAGGAGGGGCGACCACGTTACCGCGGAGGGGCATATCTCGGAGCAATGTAATTATTATTGCTGTCTCCACCTTATTTAGTACGACGCGTTGTTTTAAAGCCGCGACATTTCTATGTATATCTCTATATACGTGTGTATATCTCCCGCTGTAAGTCGCTGTCACCCGTCACTGTGCCCTCCCACGGGTCACGGGTTGCAATGATTGACCATTGTTGCTACAAGCTCATTCCGGTAATTACATCCGTCCGTAGTTCGCTCGTGACCCTTATGACGAGCGCCAGAGTCCATTATCGAACGATTTGAGATTTGGCATTCTGATCTGTAACCCGCGATATCTCCCCAGATAAAAGTAAAGAGGTCTTGTCTAATTCTTTGTTATTATTATAGTTAGTTGTTTGGACGCGCCTCGTCCGACTCTATTTCTCAATAAAGCCGATGTTTGCGCCTCTTTGTTCAACGCTCGATGATGACGTCCATCGAACGTTTATCTTAAGATTTATCTAAACTTTGTTGATAACGTTCCGTTTTAAATTGTAAGACATTTTTCATTTTGTTTTAAAACATATCATCTTAAAAGATAACATTGTTCGAATATCGCTTATATTAGAATATTATACATTCTTCATAGATGTGTTTTGACAAAATGAGTTTTGCAAATATCATGAGACAGGGGAGAGATCGCTGTTATTTCACAAGACGTTATTGTAATACTAATATGTTTAACAAGATGTATGCATGTTATTTTTTAAATACAAATAATCTTTCTAAACCACAACTGTTCGCCCACGCTCCACAGTGTATCGTAACAATTAATTCCGATTGTGTGTTCTTTAATCTGGTATATGTAGCGTGACCGAGGACGCTTACCGTCAGCTCTCAGAAGGTTGATGGGTGTTCAATGTATAAAGCAGCATCGGCTAATGATAGACCTGATGGGTAATTGGTGATCTTGATTTGAGCGCGTGCACTTCATATAGAACTAGAACACTCATTTATAATATTAATATATTGGTTGGACGAAACGTGAAATAATGTTGAAGAAATATGATTGGGTTGAAGCTGTCATCGTAAAAGAAATCGACACAAATAAATAGTTAACAAAAGGGAAAGCAATTAAATATTTGTATATAGTTATATAAATAGAAAAATATGTAGGTTAAGCAAAATTAAATTATTTAATGATATCAAATATAAACTGTATGTTATGTTCGCAGACCACGATCATTGACAGAGATTCCAAGACAGTTACTAATACCCAGTACCTACATGTTTAAATTCCGTAACTTGTCTGTAGCTAGGCCCAATGAATGAGTGATATTAGTAAAGCGACGTTTATGAATTTTTATATAGTATTGGAAATATTCTGGTTCCCACGACGAGGTGTGGAGGTGACGGTAGCGCGGAGTCAACGATGTGCCACGTTATATATTTTTTATTCATACTACCTGTTGCCTGCGCGATTCATTTCTATTCATTAATTAATTGGGACATCCCGTGCGTAATATATTTGAAAATAATATACAAGTAATGTTCTGTGGAAGGTTCGTATCGTGTGTCGTGTGATCGGAGGCTGCCGTTAGTGTCACGTACGATGCGCCTTCTCTAGGATCTAGGGTACGATACTCTGTATTACACTGGAGAAGGATGAGATGTTTTAGTATAAATTTTATAATAACTATTAAACAATACATAGAATTGTGAATATTACAAAAATATGAGACTTTCATTTTATTATAAACCAACTGAGATTGATTTTCATAGAAATAAAATGGTTTTGGTCAGGAAAGGAAGTCGTTAAGGCAAAAAAATGTGCCCTGTTTTTTATTCTCATAAAACAATAAAATGTAAACGTGTACATAAGGAACCAGAAGTACCTACCTAGTGTTTATCGCGCGTGTGTTCGCGAGTGTCGTAACGGAGCGCACATTTAAATACTAATTGATACCGTTCGGGTCGCGACCTGTGAATAAGATTAACATTACCGTGGACTTTAACTCTAATTTACCAACCGAGTTATGCTAATGGGGTCACACTCGACCCGGGACACACACATACACACACACACTCACACTCTCCTCAACACGTTCCCCGTACCTGCCTGTGTGTGATGAACACTTTATGTGTCATATAATTATATTACTATTTGCATAATCCGATATCTGCGCTGTCCGCTGGCTTTTATGGTGACTTCTCAGCACCTTCAGATTATTATAAAGGCAGGAATTTTAAACGAGTAATGGATTTCATCTGTTGTGTGATATCTTTTGGTTATTTGAGATGCTAATAAAAAGTCACATCAAATTCGAGACAGTCGAATGTTTACCGACCGTATAATGTAATGATTCGACATTTTGTTTTCTCCAGCTTAACATAATGATCTCAGTAAATAAGCCACTTGGATTAATAAATATCTTAAAACAAATAAAGCAAAATAGGGAATCTTGTGTTTATTTTTTCTATTGCGTGATTGTGTGTATTGAAAAATATTTATATATACACCCAAAGGACTCGAGGTGTTCGTTTTACAGGGACGAGTACTGAAGAGTTAGTCTTAGTCAAAGTAAGCTAAAAACTGTTAGGGCAGTGCAAAAAAAAACTATAATCAAAGCAGTTTCAAGATGATATTTGAAGATATTTTGTAGAAAACATTTTATTTATCTTAGATCATGATAGCAAAATTTATAGAATGAGGGGTAAAGATTTAAAGAACACAAATGTATTAATAAACTGAAGTACCTATTGTTTCTTAGAGAACAAAAGAGAAAAATTCTTTTTCTTCTCTCCCAGTCAGCCTTCCTGTTTAAAATAGGCAGACTACAAATCAAACACTGCTAACAGTTAGAATTATGATAATGGTAGTAAAAAGTTTTTTTATGTAACAAATTCTTTTTTTAGTCAGTCAATATGGTTTTGCTGTATTTCGAAAAAATATCTGTCTGACATATTATAAGTTCAAGTTTAGCAGGTTGTAATAGATCTATTAATTAAAAAATCTGAGTAACTTTTGCGGACTTTCCAAGGATGATGACTGTAGCTGAAACAACTCCTAATCGTGACGATCATCAGCCGCGTTAGTCTTCTTGCCTAGCTTGTCATGGGGTTGGCTTGTGTTCCATTCTATTGTCTTCTGTTTCTGATAGCAACGAACTTATCAATAAATCAAATGAAGTTGGACAGGATGATCGTAGTTGTTAGTGTAACATATACATTTATAATTGTTCGGTAACCAGTTATTAGTGAGCCTCGGACAGTCGCTCGATGTTTGATTTATGTAGAGGTCGGGTGCGCTGCGCCGGCGCATGCTCACTGGACGTTATTTACTACTCGAAAGGAGACACATTCTTATAAATATCAACATGATTTCTCTAATTTTCATATGATTTAATGAGGAATGTGAGTATGTTTGGAAGTTAGATGAACCAACAACAACACGCGAGTATCCCCGCTGAACAAATTATGTGACGTTTCAATATAAAGTATGAACACACACTCGGACTTGTTTATTTTTTGTTGAACGTTTACAAAATATTGATTAGTATGTGATATAGATATTACGAGATCAATCGATCCCCTGTTACCGGTTCTAATGATGAGAGTAACGTCTTAATGACCGCTGCTCTAATTCGTGCTAGCGGCCGCTTATTAAAACTTTAATCAATCCCCGATCGCAGCCACCAGACATTAGTATCACTATTAATTTTTAATAACCTTTATAAAATATGTTATTATATGATTCGATTCAGGCCAGTGTTGTGTATAATTCACTCGATACTTTTGAACGGGACAATTTAATTGGTTTAATCTCCATATGAAAGCCCCCCGTGCGACGCGGACGATCCTACCGCGCGATTATCAGTTATTAATTATAGATTATTGAGATGAGCTTCTCTAATGAACGATATCAATATATAGAAACTGTTTTACAACTATTCATCTAGTATATGGTTTTATTGAATCACTTCCTCAATAATGAGTTAATGAGCAAATAAAGATCAAACTTCTGTTCATATCTCGAAGACGGACTTGTTGTGAGGGTTGCAGCTGTATGTGTGTGTGTGTGTGTGTGTGTATGTGTGTATGTAAGGTGTTATTGTATGAGATATATTATTTATTAGTGTAATCTAATGGAAACTCACAAGTACCGGGAAGTCACGCGTTTAAACCGATGTAATTCTCCGCTGTGAATTATGTACGAATTAAAGTGTAACAGTTATTACGGCTCCGGGCGCGATCAATTAAGATAAAAGCTATTAGAGGTTGCCGCGGGCGGTGCCGGGCGACGACACTTGTATGTAGACCTCACCTAGACCGGGTTGGGATGCTGGGCCGATGATGTTAAATAGTAATTAGGATTTTAGGCCTAGGTATAGACGGTACGAGAGCTGTGTGACGTCACTGTCAAGTAATAAAAATGTGTGTGTGTGTGTGTGTGTGTGACCTCTGGGAGTAGGGTCGTGTGTCTGTCGTATATCATCACTATCTCGCGGTAAATATTTTATTAATCTGCTATTGACAGAGGCGTTACTGTTATTTATAGTGAGGTTTTATTCAATTTAAATTTCAATAGATGCGTTCCGAGATAACTCTAAAACGGTCATAACTATTGCGTCACCGGCTGTCAATGAAAAGGGAATAAAAATACATATAAACAACAATAATAAATTAGTATACGTTGTAGACGAGGAGGAGCGTGTCTGTATTATTTATGTGAGCTCGCTCGTTCCCATAATGACTCTGTCACCGGCTGCTGTAACAGGACCCCGCTATAAATCCGACTACAATTAGTGAGTGTGTGTGTGTGTGTGTGTGTGTGTGTGTGATAGTGTTATGTCACACACTTATCGGAGGTTTATGTGATGTGAGTTACGCGCCGGAGACTCTTACAAACACACACGGCCAATAAGCCTCCACGGACGTGTAAAGTTACAATATTAAACGAATATTATTATAAATTAATGGTTTTATACATTTTCACTTCCACTGATGAATCTAATACTTATTGCTTTACAATTTTTTTTTCAATTTTTATATCAGCAGTTTCATTTTACTCTTCATTAAAATGATTATGATAACATTAAAATGTAAAACCTTCAGGTTTAATACATATAATTATATTAATCAATGAAATAAATTCTTATACTTCATTCATGTATTTAACTATTTATGACACATCCACAGTTATTTAGTAAAAAGGAATATTTAATACTTAAACGCACTTCACTGTCAGTAATCCTTGGATAAATATTTAAAAACAAGAAAATAATTTCTTAACAAAATATGTGTGCCTGTCGACTCCTGAGAATTATTAACTCTTGAGATTGAAATCAAGGAATGAAGGAAAACATGATTTATGCCGCATCCCTCATAGTGAATGAAGATTCAGCAGGACTAGGTCCATCGAACTGCTCCTGGGATCAGTTTAAAGCTTGTTAACAAACTCACAGAATATTAGGAGAAGTTAATTCTCGATACAACCTTGTGACGCTCTGTGTGGATCTTTGTAATGTAACATACATCATGTTGTATTTATTTATTAAAATATCATATAAAATACATTTATTAAATATCATTATTTACTTTTAATTGTTAGATAGACTGTTCTTGTTCATTTACTCTTTGAAGAGACTATTCGGTATTTGCTAGTAACTACAGTCAGATTAAAGTATTTAAAAAGACTAAGTTTCTTATAGTTGTCAAGGATGTGTATAAAATATATTATTATAACATTAAAAACAAGTGTATGATCATTACATATTAAATATATTGAACGAATATTGATCTCAAGCAAACAACTGCCTCGGTGTGGCAGATGATGAGGTGATGCAATGACCGGGTTCATTACGAAAATATAGCTCTGGAATTTAATAAGTGATCAATAAACGATTACTGAGACTTGAAGAGACGACGGTGACGCAGCACGAGGAGGCTTCGTTTGTTCAGGTCCGTCAACTTCCATCGAGGACGTGGGCGGCGCGACCTGTACCCCACTAACTACTTAATAATTTGCTTTGAAATTCATCAGCTTTGTATTGTACGACAACATCAAGAAATTTTATTCCTATAATTATGTTAAATCTACTTTTACATGAGATGACTCACGTCAATGATAATACAATTAAAAATCGACTTCACAAAACAAACACACAGACACAAACGTTACCAACATATATAATGATGATGTTCAAGTGTCGCCGGTCTGCTCCGGGCTGGTCTCCCACGCGCCTCACCGACTGTTGTGAGTGTTTGTTCTTCACTGTTGTTTGTAAATAGTTCGATCCTAAGTGAGGGCGGTGTTGTGTGCTGACTGTGGTAGCGACTTGGGGATTCATACGACCTGGCTCCATTATTATCTATGAGGAGGCGAACAAAACAAACTTAAACGTTGTCTGAGGTTCCAATAATATAAATGGCCGCTTGTGATTTGAACTCAACATCGAAATAGCAGAGGATTCACACGCGCTCGGCTCAGGACTGGCGAGGGATGTTATCATAAATCCAGTGATACATCGCGAACACAGAACGGCGGGCTTTAAATACTCGAATCTAATCCGGCAGTGCTGTAGGTGTCGATAAAACGCGGCATCGATACACTGCAGCTAGTGCTGTTCCCGTATCGATGGATGCGAGCCGTGAACCTGGAGCGATATCTCCGCTAGCAGTCTGTGCCATTGTCGTTGTTCGAGATATTAGAAGATTTACTCGTGTTAAAATTGTTGAAAGCATTCTGAAGATATGTACTATACTTTATTACTATGGATCATACATCCACTACCTACTACTATATTGTTAATGTTACTTAACGGAGACATTAAATAATAGGGACAGATAATATTGAGGAATGTCATTCTCTTGGGTGGTGATCCTCGTTTGTATCTTCTAATAGTTACTGTCATGTCTGTAAGGGACTTGTGTTCATTACTTGACCTTTAATATTTATCGACAGACACTCAGCTGTGTTTTTTTTTATTACAACTGATTCATAAACGTTTTATTAATCCAATATAAAAGAATATAAATTTTTACCGTTTATTATCGGTGTAGGTTCAGTCATTGCTGGGTATCTTCCTGTAATATATGTCCATGTATTATACATATAATACAAACATCTGTATGTCCGTGTGCTCGTTGTGTACCGCGGCTCCGTCTCTCCGCCGACGTCTCATCGTTCCTCTTCCTATCTGTATTGACGTGACATTTCGTATAAGGACAACATATTATACAAACTAGATTTTTATCAACGTTCCATGTTTCATTATGAATCGACGTATTATATCTTAGTGTTTGACCTTTCAGAGTCTTGTAACAACAGTATGAGCAACTTCCAATGTTACATCACGTCGCATGATTTTTTAATTTTTTTAAAATGTTACAGCCACGATCGTATCTTTGGACAGTCTCGATTTAACTCCGAGCATTCGGACTCGGCCGCATGAAGTGAATATTTAATGTATGTATCTGAAAGAGAGTTTTGTCGTAATGAACAAACAGTAAGTCGTTATCTCGTGGATCGTGACCGCCGGTACATTATCAGGTAATCGGATTAACGACAACTGTAGTGTGTTCAGATGAGTGTGGAGCGTGGAGAGAGAGACGAGGCTCGCAGCCGGCACACACACCGGCCGCATACTAATGACGGGGACGACAACCTGCGGCACAGAGACAAAAACAGACGCAGCATCCACACGTCCGCTGAGAGGTTTTTATTGAGGAGTTATGATATTATGTGGACTTATTGATGACGGGGACACGGCTTGGAGGACGACACACACAGACGGGGGGGGGGGGGGGGGCGGTTATAACATATTACAACAGACAGTAAAGAAACAATATGACGTATATATGTACCTATTTATATTTGTGTATGTTTTATCAATCAACATAACTACGTTATTTTTAAAGTTTCTTAGAGAGACATTTTCGTTAAGGATGTCATATGACGTACAGATAAGGGTGGGAAGTTTAGGTTGGCGAGGTCGTCATTTTACTGACGAGTAATGAGAGGCGAGCTGTATGTATAACAACACACAATAACATAGATTCATTAAATCAACGTATGAGGAAACTAACTGTCCTTGTATAATGTGTATAACACAGATATGAATGAAACATTACAAATGCCTTAATAGTAATTAGCCCGCTCCGAGGCGGCGCCACACTTCCTGTTTTTCAGTGTTCATGGAGCCTCCATACGATCACTTATTATATCTGTTTATTTTATTAAAACACTGCGTTCAATAAGGTCGTTCATTCAGATAGAAACTAGTAGAGCTTTTAATTTTTTTCAATAATATACAGAAAGAAAACTATGTATTTGTTTCCTAATTCATTTATAAGAAGAATAAAATATTGCTCACATAGTAATGGATAGAAAAGCTAGGTGACCTTAAGAAACTATTTTGAATACCTAGACTGAATAAGATAGTGACTTTCAGAAATATATTGGTACAAAGTACACAGCCTTACAAATATGCTGATCAAAAACAAATTGATATAGGATACATTGATGATATGTGTTCTCAATACAGCACTATTGTACTTACAGCACTTGTTCCTCGCCAGCTAAGTAGTTTATGGAGTTTAGTTAAAGTTATAGTTAGTTTATAATGAATGGAGGTGATAGTTTGCACGCGCTTGTTAGAAAATATATTCAAATATTACATAAGGAAAGATAGATTTATATACATATATACAATACATATTTCGAATAAAACAATTCATTAAAACATCTAATGACATTTTAATTACTGGACATGTTATAATTTTACAAAATATCTTTTTGCGTAAAGAGAAGCTATACAATATAATATACTTATCTCGTCTATATAGTCTTTCGGTAATTGTTTCTTCAAGAGTCACTGTTCAATAGTTTCACTATAACCGCAGGGTTTCAATTGAAGTTCTGGCCCAGGAAGCTGTCCGATGTCAAGTCCCTTGCCTCGGCGAAGAGCAATGTTAGGTCCTCCGAACACCACACGATATTCAAGATATTTACTTTTTAATTGTAACAAAATATATATTGAAAATATTAATCTTATATATATTGAAAACATAACTCTTAAATAATAGAAAATATTTTAGTAAATAATATTTTGAAAGCGGGTTCCAATTTAACAGTATATTAAACACATATTTCACATGTTACCGCTTTTTTACCGCTAAGTCTTATTCTTACTTTTTAATAATAATTCCTTAATTATAAATCAAATAATATTCTAAATACAATAAAATATATATTTTTAAAGTTTTAACAGTTTTTAAACAATGCTGACTCCAATATAATTATATAACAATAGTATATTAGACAAGTCAATGGTGGCCTAATGGTTAGAGGGCCCGCCTCTCGTTGCCGTTGGCGCCGGTTCGATCCTGACCTGGGCAAGTACCAATGTGATTTTTCCGAGTCATAATATGTACTTTCTAAGAATATTTAGACACCACTGACAGACGGTGAAGGAAAACATCGTGAGGAAACCTGGACTTATAATTTCACAATTATAAGTTTGAAATCACCAACCCGTCTTGAGCAAGCGTGGTAATTAATGTTCAAACTGAATTAGCTCAGTAAGAACATTCCCAAAAATGGGTGGATGTCAGGCAGGGGCCGGTGGTAAAAAACAATTAGCCGAAATTATCTATAACATGTTCTGCGGAAGAGTTATTTTTTTTAGGCAGACCCTGGCTAAAACTGGGAAATTGCCTGGAAGAAGAAGTATATTAGACATTCGTTTGACATATAATTGACGACGCAACACTTTTGTAAGTCAAATCCTCACTATTCGATTATTTAAACTGTAAATGACAACATATATATTTTAATACAAATAGTATACTTAATAAACATTGTATAATTATAGAACATATATCCTAATACGCTCTTTCCTCTGGGTACACGCAGCCCTCCGACTGTTGAGGTGACCCGCGAGCTGTGCACTGTATGTCATACAACAATATAATATGTAAAGAAATAAAATAATCTCACCAAAAACATGTCTGTTAAAAAGGGGGCCAAGTTCCAATCGGCTAATTGTTTGTCTAAAAAAGGGTTGAAATCCAATCTAATGCCAAATTTAGATGCACTTTGAAATCGATCATAATCATCTTCATCAACAGAATGATCCACTGGTAAACATTTGCCATTCCCAAGACTCGCCACCACACCCAGTCCTCTGCCTTCCACATCCAGCCACTACCCGCCACCTTATTCACGTCAACGGTCCATCTGGCCGAAATTCACTTTACCATACACCCAACTTAAAATATGGTATAGTTGTGAAAATACGTAGGTGCTTGGTTAAAATATCTAAAATTATGTATAATACTTCTAAATTTGAACTTGGCAGGTTATTTTAATTATATAAATAAAAAATTAATGATACAATTCATTAAGTGTTACGTACAGCACGAAAACCTGCCAAGTTCAAGCCAAGTTATATATACATGTATATATCAGTTCTTAAGAAACGCCCCACACTTTTTTCACAATAATATTAATTTAAAAATAAATTTACAAACAATAAATGGTATTTTTGTGAAAAAAAGCGTGGGGAGCTTCATACATCACTTCTTGAGAAGTGCCCCACGCTTTTTTTTCAATAATACCATTTATTGTTTATTTTAAACAATTTAAATTAAATTGATTTCCAAGGTTGTAAAGGTTAAATTAGTTTCCACGCGGTTTCCACGCGGTGCTGAGCTGAGCGCCTATATAAAGGTTTTGATTACCTGTCAGTGAGTCAGTGCCAAAATTAGCTATTTTCACAGGGTCATATTTCAGGATCTACTGAAGCTTTATCTATGAAATTTGGCATACTGCTTTAGTACTAGTATATGATTACGTAGGTGCAATTTTATCTCTGTACTTGCAATAGGCACTGAGCTACAGGGGGTCAAAAGTGGGTCGAATTTATTAAAAATTCGATATTTAGAATTGAGGCAACTCACGCTTGACCGATTTCTTAAATTTCTTAAATTTTTGTTAATCTACATATAACACACAACCTGTGTACCAAATTTCATAATGCTAAAACAATGGGAAGTGGCCTAGAGGTTTTGATTACCTGTCAGTGAGTCAGTGCCAAAATTAGCTATTTTCACAGGGTCATATTTCAGGATCTACTGAAGTTTTATCTATGAAATTTGGCATACTGCTTTAGTACTAGTATATGATTACGTAGGTGCAATTTTATCTCTGTAATAGCAATAGGCACTCAGCTACAGGGGGGTCAAAAGTGGGTCGAAACGGTTCGTGTAAATATAGTGCACGGCATGCGCCGGCCTGTGGAACTTGGCCGGCGCACTACCGTGCGCTTAGATTATAATAATATAATTCCAGTTTAAAGACCTCGAATAACTAACACAAAGATACTTTATATATTACTTACAATAATTTCAGATCAATATCTCTATTATCCTTTATCAAATTATTCAATCAATATCAATTAATAAATTTGAAGGAAAACTTCGAAAGGCTGTGTGTATACAGATAACAGACTAGAAGATATGTCTTTAAATAAATATTCTTAAATTTAGTTATTTTTATCCCATCATTGTTAGTTGATGACTCGTCTGACCTCTTCTACATATAATTAGGTCATTTTTTAGAAAATATCTAAGTATATATGTAGTTTTATTAGTGTCTAATTTAACACAATTTGTCTGGGAGCACTGTGTTTCAAAGTATACCTCATATATTGAGTAATACTTTATTGACTGACCTTATTAAACGTCTAACAGATATTTGTATAAAATGTTTCAGTTATTCTTGTATGTAGTATATATTAGTTGTGTGTGATAGTTCTCAACAGTGAGCGAGTGTGTAACGGCGCTCACTCCTAGTACCGTTGTAATGGTCGTCCTAACTAGATTCTTCGATTAGCGGTAAGGGCGGGTACACACGCTGACAAACGTCTACCACCACTCACCACTCACCACTCACCACCCGGAGAAGGTAATTAACTGACTAACTCATGATCACACGCTTCTTAATAATGTTATGTTATGTTAGTGTCTTTAATGAGATTTAATACAATAACCTGTTATTACCTCACTCTGAATTTCTTAAATAATTTCTTCATACATATGTAGTTCTTTACAAATATTGATATTGAACACTATCCTTATATTTCGGGACAGTTTATTGAAATCTTCGATGTGAAAGAAATTGTTGAAGGAAGTAAGTGTTGTGTTGTTATCAAGTGTCCTGATGTATGTGTGTCGTTAGCACAACAAGTATTGTTTGTAAGACACAGTCGATGTATGAGGATGTGAGTGAGGCTCGATGACTCCACTTAATCTTTATAATGACTGTGACATTTGGATATCTCGGATACTTGGAGGACAAACGTAAGGATATGTAGTCAATACATAGCGGTGGAGCGACCTACGACCAAACATTTATATTATTTATATACCTGAAACTGTAAATAACAACTGTTATATATTATTTAATATTCAATCAGTAAAACATACCGACATTTGGATGGCATAAATTTATTTAGACAGTTAATGATTTAACAAGACTATATCCTCAATTTTCGCCCGATTATATTTAGATTATTTCATATCTGAATGTGAATTTTTCGATTATTTTATTACTAATTATGACGGCAAAATTTATTATTATTTCAATATGTGAAGAGGTAAATATATATAGGTCAGAATACATGCATCCATTATAAATATAAGCATATTATTATAATTACGTTCTTGTAACAAGTATCAGCCATTTTGTATCCGTGATAAACTGTATAAGTTAGTAAACGTGGAGCAGCGTGTGGCTGACAACAGATGGCTCGTTCCATTCACGGCCCGTTAGAGATATCGTCTGATAACACTAACTAGGACCAAATAGGGCCGCGGAGGGTCCTTGTCGTGCAGCCTTCATCATCACCACCAGCTCCAACTGTTACGTCGCCTAGTTTTCACAATCACTACAAATCTTTGAAACGGAGATAAGCTAAGCGGGACTTTCACCTCGTCTTGACGGTTTTGTGAAAATATTACTATACATTTAATTTCAAAAAGATAATAATAATAATATCAATTAATATTATCGTGAGATTTTTAAAAAGGCTTTTGTGCCAAGTACTATATTAATTAATATTTCGATGATGTTCTTGTAATCAAAATGGTCATAGTAACTATAAATCTCACAGTAGGTTTACTTTCTAAATAACAAAAAAAACTCTGATAACTATTTACGTAAGTGAGGTAATAGTGAGTCACGAAGATATTCTAATTTATGTTTCTGAGCGACAGTTTCCCGCAAGTTTCCAGAATGTTTGTAAACAAAGTGACAGCTCGTTTCATAAGGTGTTAGTTTATTGAGCGGCCATTAGTTACCGCAGCGCTATCGAGTCACGAGGACTGACTCCAACGCAACGCGATGCGACTCGCCACTCTCCGGGCCCCAGGCTCCTTCACTTTAAGTCCCCCGGGCCCCTACTACCCAACTACAGCTCTCTCCCTACACATCACTATAAGATGTCCACGACACTCACTCCGTTTGTTATGCCAGTGATCGTCTCGTCAATGGCTGCTTTATTGAACCAAATCATTAACATTCACCAGTTTTCCGCGCTTCCGGCTCTGTTGGTAACGACAAGCGTATATATTAACCGATAATCGATTATCACTATAAAAGGGAACACATTAAACTAAATATATTGATACAAGCGGTGATCTGAACGGTTGTTGTACTCAATAATGTTATCTTAAACATCGTGTCTGGACATGACTGTTTCTGAAACTTGTGTTTTTGAAGTACTACTCTTTTAGAAGGAATACAAAATAATTGTATATAGTGTAGGAAGAGTAGCAGCATATAGGTAAACATTAGATGTGTTGCAACTAGTACACAATAATTTGAATATATTAGTATGTATGTTTGTGGATAGTATCTACATATAATAGATTTAGTATTGAAGTGATCGGGCTGCTCGCCGTCTCTATATATCTTTATAAGACGTGAGCGCGGTGCTCGCATATCAGACGCTCCTAGATAAACTTCAATGGAATAAATCTGAATGTGAATGAACTAAACGCTAAACGCTGAACGCTTGTCGACCAACTATTTCGGTTTCCCATGTAAATACAGCGGCGGCGGGCCGTGTACCTGCACCCGATAGATGTCATTAGATAATAATGAATACGATATTAATAAATTAGAAGTCTATTTGCTTACCGTGTTCATGCAAATATAACAGAACTGTTACGTAACTACCGCCTGACTCCAAGGAGCTTTAATAAAATGATAACTTTCATAATTATAACTCCTCGTTACAAACTGCCGACACAAATATTCATTTTATAAACAGTTTTGTTTTATTACACGAACCTTCTCTTTAAACACGAGTCATAGTAAGAGGCTCTCTGTTTGTTCAAGACATCTATCGAACGTTAAACTAATTCCCATACATATGTTAATACGGCTACATTATAAAGCTAGTTTCGACCGGGGTCTTGAGAATGTGACAATGTGACAATGGGAACAGCTAAGCTCCGCTGACATTTTCGCCATGAAATGTTAGAATGGGGAAGATTAGTGACAGTTAATGATAATTTATACATGTGATATCTACATTCCGTTAATATTTCATCTGAATTATTCTTACTTTACTTATTATTAATCACCAACCCTGGTCGCCACCTCTCCACCGCCCCTGTCCTCGGCCATCAGGAAGCGGTGATGTCTCTCTCTTAACGTCAACTTAGCTCCGTATTCGCTACGATTTATGTGTTCGCACCTCTTTCGCGGAGTTAAAGCCTCGCCACTGACCAGCTCTATAGATGAATGTATTTAATGTTGAGAAATATTAAACCTCAAGTGTAATAATATTATTGAATGTTGCTCTCTCCACAACTAATAAATCATTATTTTGTCGCCTGTTTAGTTAAGCTGTGTTATATCTGTCTACCGTTGTATTGTGTGTGTGTGTGTGTGTGTGTGTGTGTGTGTGTGTGTGTGTGTGTGTATATATAATATACAAAGTGTCATGATGTGTAGCTGAACCTTTGTGATGTAGCAACTTTCTGCCACATAGTATGACATGTTAATATCATCTCCCGGCGAAGGTTCCACGCACCGAGTCGTTAAACGGTAGTTGCCTGATTATTTGCGAGTCATTAAAAGTCTTCGTTGCTTTAAACCGCGGTATAAAATATAAACCTTAGCTAGTAATTAACGCCGTGATAGGTAGTTTCTAAACAACGAGTATTTATGTCGTAAAATGTGTGTGTGGCTTACTTTATGTCTGTAAGAAAGTAGACAAAGTGTGGGACGTGCATATGTTACCAAGAACTATATAATATTATAAGGAGTTTTATAATAACAGTAATATATAAAACCGTTTATTTGTATAAAGATATCAAACTGAGAATTAATTCTTATGAACCCTTTACAAAATGCTAGCGTTCGTATAAATCTTGTTTGCATAAAATGTTATTCATAGCGGGTCCTGTTCTATGAGTAGCGAGTCCTGTTATCAACCTCTTACACAGGCTGACATCGTTTATACAATATTTTAAAAATCTACTTTAAATAAGATTGCATATTTTCACGGGAGTACATTTTTTGAACTACTTTTACTTTGTTTTCGAGATTCCTAAAATTATAATTTTTTATTGTGTCCCTTTGAAAATGCAAGTGTATCTTCTGATGTTCCAGGCTTCATGACATAACAAATTCTTATATAATTGCTAGACGCTATATTTCATGGCCGATAAATATTTTCTCAAGAAGTGTCTCGGCTTCTGTTAGTGGAGTAGATCTGACGCTAGTTTCCATATTGGTTGGTATATAAATTATCAAAGATTTATATATCCTTTAATGCGGTTTGCGTCTGATTCAAACCTAGTTCCCGGTGGTGTCGTGAGTGGATTGATGCGCTGTCAATTACGAGGCCAGTCATCCATCAGACATCCTCGACCACCGACCACCGACCACCTGCATCTGAAGGGACTACTTCAATGTGTAATGTATTGATTGTTTATATATTGATATAAAGGTTAAAGCGCATCATTAAAGCCTTAAAGCTTACTCCGTATCAATGTTATTAAAACATAAATTAAACTTAATCTAAATGAACCTCCATGTTAATTGTTCCCTCCCGATCTCCTCCGACTAGTTCCTAATCCATCAAGTCCTCTATTTAACATCAACTGGTATTTATTATCTTGGTCTCGTCGTCTCTAATGAGTCGGTGACACACAAACGGTTTTAATGACAGACAGAAAGACTTTCAATGTACTTTTTATCCGCGCATTACGCTCACTCTGGACAACTTACATTGATCTATTGGAATTCTTCTTCAATATATACATACATAATATACATACGTGGTGAAATCGGATATAAAATAAAGGATAAAAGAGGTCTTGGTAGCTGGAAGTGAGTAATTGTTAAGTTATTGATTGTGTGCTGTTCGGTGTATTGATACCAACCAACAAACAATCAATTGTTATGATATGTGTCCTCATGAACTATCCACTGGAGCTCCTTCTGGTCCCAGTCACATTCTCCTAACAGTCTGTGTCATTTGTTGTGTCTGCTTTGTTGTGTGTGTGTGTGTATGTTCAAGTTAATTTGGTGTAATTTTCCATAAGTAAGTGACACCGTTCTACACTCGAGTCATAAAAGACGTGTATTTCGGCCGAGTTTAAGCAGCTCAGTGATGTAGAACTTTCTAAATGTAAGATTAATCTTTATTAGGTGTTTAATGTGTGTCGGTGTACGCTCTAAGTATAATTAGCGCATCACCCGCTATCTCAGAAGTCGTTGCTTGTCGGCTAACGGTCTCTCTGTATCGTTACATTTCTAAAAAATAAAAACATTCAAGTAATAAATATTAAGTAACGTCGTTTAGTCTCGTTTATGATAATGATAGTCTCAGTGGATTTAATTTAAATGAAATTATAATCTGTCATCCAGCGAGTGTCCGCCGTCACTATATTTAACCACGAGCTTCTCTTGCTTAATATAACAATAAATGTATTGCAAAATTTTAACCAAACGAAACAGTACCCTGTCCATCATCACGGCAGGTCGCTGGTAGGACGTGTGTGTGGTTCTCAAGAACCGAATCCATATCAGAATTAACCCATTAACATCAATTAAGATGTCGTCATCTCCAGCGCCAGTATCTACTCGTTCAGCGTCGTTGTAAGTCTCCGTAACAACTAATAATAACTGTTGTAACACTAAACGTCCTCTTAAAAGTGTCACAACAGACTCAACTCATTTACAGAACACTCGAACACACAGTGACGGACACAATAAACATAACACATGACGGTTAAACAACAAATATGTACAATAAACATAAATATATAATGAGTGAGAGGATTAGTTCGACGTCCAGAGTATTATTGAATTTAAAACACGAACAGAAAGACGAGGTCACAATTTAATATTAAACGAATAATCGACTCCTTTGTGTGAATAATTTAAGAATGTAGTTTTTATACAATAAACGAGCGTTATAACATTCGGTGGCAGTCACCTAATGGCCGGTTAAATTAGTTTAAGCGTGAAGCGGCCTGGGAGGCGGCCGGGCTTTTTGTCGTCTAGTGATGGAGCGAGGCGGCCGCTTGGAAACACATTAAATATTATGAATGTATATATTAATAAAATATTTAGTTGGTTACAGGCACGAGAACTACTTTATATTTTAACACATAATAGGTATATTAATTAATACTATTATATTCTTGATATATTGTCAGTCCTTTCTTTTTTGTGTCTATCCGTGTATAGAGTCCCGTCCCTATCAGTAGAGGCGGCGCGTCGTTCTTCCGTCTCGGTGGCAAGTCACGCACTGTAATGGTACAATTAAAAAGGTCTCTTTCCCCCGAGCTCCAACCCGAACTATAACAGTGTAAATTTAATTATAATTCAATCATTTATAAAAGCCCATGACTGTATTTTTCCAGTGTACCTTATAATTTGTAATCTTGGTCGATTTTTTGATTTCATTACATAGTTTAGTTCGTGACTCGACTCCTAATAATGACTCAGTCTGTATGCATCGTGCGTTTCTCTCTTTAAAAGAGTTAATTCTTCAAATAAAAGACCCCACGAGGGTCTTATCTCTCGTATTACAATCAGCGAGAGCCTCGTTAAAATCATATTTAGGCGTGTGACGTCATTAAACCCAAAAACGTCAAAGTTTTTCATAACAGGGTCAAAAGGGCAGATGCAGTAAACAAAAGAGCAATTGATATTCTGGTCGCAGCGTCGCGATGCTATCCGCTGCCTGAGGCTGGGAACAACATCTCCAGTCTCCACCATTGTTATTCAGAGCGGGTCGAGATAAAACTTGAATTTACCAAATAGCATCCCGACGTGTACGAATTGTGTAATGCTATCACTAGCAGGATGGAGAGGAATTTTTCAATTTCAGCTTTTTGTTAAACTCTCATTGGAACGTAATGATTAGAAGCCATTGGTTCGCGATGACTTCGTACCTGATTCCATTATATTTATTTTAATAGAACCATATATAAAGTAACGTCAAATAGTTCAGTAAGCAGCAGTTCGTCCGCTTCATGTAAATGGCTCGATCGCTGACTTTGTTTTATGTTTCGTATTCCGTTAGAGTTTGATACTGAGGAGCCGCTCACCGAACACACTTCACACACACCGTGATGTACTTTATATCTTTAGTCACAATCGTATTTGTAAATTGTTTATTCGGAACACTAATTGATTCCATACAAACTTATTACTTCTTATCGGAGCCAAATAGCAATAAATATAAATAATAATTACGGAGCTCTATAATCGAGCAAAAAAACCATCACTGGCTGTATATTAAAGCGGTTTCCGACACACATAACTCTCCGTCAATATCAAACGTATTTATATTTAATATATATTTATAACTAGCACAGGTATTTAGACGTTTGAAACTTCGCAAGAGGAAAATGTAACCAATATTAATATATATAATAAATTCAATTAGTAGGATTATTAATCGATGCTCTTAGAACATTCGTTGGTAAGTAATTGAAGGAGACACATTACCGTGAGCGCGCGTGGGCGTCGCTCGTGACGGGAATCGAACCCGTGATACCACAATTACCGCTCACCATTATTAAGTTACGAAATTACAAATTGGTCGCAATTCTCGTTCATATTAAATCAATCTCGAATGAATCGCCTGTCGTGTCCAACAGCTCACAGCGCGCGGCGCGGCCGGTCCCCTTCTAAATATATTGAAAATATAAACCTATCTGCTATTTTAACGTTATCAATATTTTAAAGAGCTATCATTTATTTACAAACTTCTCTCCACCGTAGTATACAAGTCGTTGTCACCTACGTGTGCATGTGTGTGTGTGTGTGTGTGTGTGAGCTTGTAATAACACGTCGCCCCCTCGCAATGCAATCTGTTACAGATGGTTGTTAAGAAGGCATACCTGCGTAATGACACCACGTGTACAGACTTCCCACGAACAATTTTATTATCTCATTAGTCTGGACGTCTTCATAAGTGTCACCGGCCGCGGGACATCTTTCATTACCGTCATAATGACCTTCATAAAAATATACATTTTACTAACGACAGGAGTAAGAGGAGCTATCGTATTAAACTACATACATGTCGACTTTATACTAGCCCTTTGCTATGCTGTCACGAGGACTGCAGCCAGCCTTGTACTTTGTAATAGGTTTTTAAAAATTGTTTCCCATCAATACTTAGTAGGCGGGTGATTACCGAGGTGCCTAGAGGCTCTCTCTGTGGTCTCTGTGTACGGGCGGGTGCAGGTCGGGCGCGAGGTCCCCCGGGGGTACGTTACTGTTCCTCTGATATCGCATCTGTTTGCTTCTACCTGTTAATAGTGCCGTTTACTTTGGTCCTCGGGCATCAAATGAGCACTCGCTAACTTTATTGCCGTTTCATTATACCTTTCACCACAACAGACCCTCCGGAACATAATGAATTGAATCGTAAGAATCCTTTGTTATGACACTTGTTCAAAACTGAATTTCAATTCTAATGTTACCTATTAAATTAGACTAATGCTGCAATATTTTATAATATAATAATAGAAGACAATATATCTGTGTTTTCAGTATTACCTAAGTGTTATTGCAGGTAATCATACAAATGCTCGCCTGTGCTCACGGTGTTTCTCACCGATCCTGTGTAAGTTAAGCAACAATACAAATCGTTCAGTAATATTAACCGTCCACATGATAGACTGCAGCCCGCGGCCGCGCGACCTGACGTGTGAACACCCCCCCGGCCAACACAACTTATCCTAAATAATATACATTTAGAGCCAATGGACTAACGTGTAATAGGATAATAGATTTGTGATATTTGATTTATGTAGCGAGTCAAACAGGCTCCGGCGTCGCGGCTCGTCTACATCATCGTTTATTTTGTTATCGCTCAAACATGTCTCTCCATTACCGACATATTAGTTTAAGTACGTCGTTACAAGTTATCGTTTCCACATCTATATCGATTAAGTTTCTAAAACTTCTATTAGAATGATAATTATTAAATAAATTGTGTATATGTGTGGTAGTCGAGGGCCCGATATGATCGTATGTGAGGTATCACCTACCACACCTCCCTACCACCTTCCGCCCACGACTCTCCGACCTGTACATTAGAAGGCCCGTCGCCTCCATAAATAATATAAAAGTCTCAATGTTATTACATATTAATTGTGTTTTGAACTTTTCCTAAATAATTTGATCGCTGTGTGTTTGTAATTTAATTGACTATGTATGTATGATGTGAACTGTCTCTGAATTAAAATATAACTCGTCTTAATATAATGTAAATTGGAAAATAAATTGAAATTCCAAAACACTACAGGATGTCATAGTGTTTATAGCTTTATATTTTATTGATACTTAAACCTGACACAAAGTTAATGTTTTCAATTGACTAATGTTATTTCTATTACACATTTTAATAGAGTTTTCAAACTTATATTTTTATGACAAACACCTATATTGGAAGGTTGTTGATCTGAGCGGTGCGCGGGGTGTGGGTCAGGCGATCATCTATCGTGAGGCAGACCATAGATACTATACTTATCCCGGTGGTGCTCAGGTCCAGTCTGGAGGCATGCATTAGTTTATAAGTTACATTCAGTCAGTCAATCATTTGATAAAAATATTAGACGTAAATTTAAGTTTGTTTTGTCAGGCATCTTCAGTTTTATAACCGAGTCGAGCAGTGAGCGTCTCGCTACTTCAATTTGAACGAACAAAAAACTGCAAACTGTTTTATATTATTGAGTTCTGTTTATTGTCACGAGTTTTATGACCTACGTCAGGACACTTGTTTAAATCAACACTTTTTTCAATGTGTTAAATTTCATATGTTACCATCTCTTTAAATCTTGTTCATTTTTAATTCGTTTCCTAATCTTTACTAAAACAATTTAAGTACTTTTAATAAAACAAATTAATTTGAACCAACCACTCTAATGATCTTAAGTTGGTTGTTGTTTTTTCCATAAACCAAACTTAAAGGATCAAATGGGTAATAATAATTAATTTATGATTATTATATTTTATATCATTTTTATTAATAATTTTATCATATCAGTTATAACACTTTAAAATACCATCTATTATTAATATATTTGTCAGAATGTAGCTGTTACTTGACACGTAGTTCAGGACACTACCTGTAACAGTCAGACGACGGTGGAATATCACGGAAATTATATATATTAAAATATATAAACATGAAATATTTTAATGTTTATATTAATGGAATTAAAAACTGAACGGGACTGAAAACAAAGAGAGGTCAGAGATAAGGAAAAGAAAATGTAAATATTGATTGTTTATTTGATATGATTTTTTTAGAGAGGTTTATTATTTTAAAGGGGTGATTTGCTTTAATTTTTGTAATAAGTATTACTGTTAGCTCTTTGTCTTGGTCCACATCACCCCAAGAATGATCGGTATGACATAATGTAAGGTTGATACTCCTCACTGAGGGCATGTAATGTTAGTTTTCCGCGTGTTCTCTTGTGTTTTTTTTCATACATTTCTAAAACAACCGCTCCTTAGTATGAGAGGTCTTAAACTATGCTAACTTATCATTGGACATCTACGAGTCCTTTAGTCGATACAATTATCATTTTTAAACATTTCCTTGAAATAAAATATTGATTAATTGTTTGAATTTTTAATATACTGGATTCGTTTACACGAAAATTTCCAGTATAAATTTAATTAAATACTAATACCGACGACAATATTATGTATTAAAGTCAAAATAATCATAATATATGGGGATTAAAAAAAAATGTTAGTGTGAATTATAAGTGAACTGTTTTGAATGTAACAGTATGATCCAAATGTTCACTATTAAAAAAACAGTTAAAATAGAACTGATAGGAGACGTATGAGTGAGTCAGTGAAGTGTGTGGTTGTACTCAATACGTAATAGGTTGTGTATTACAGTGATGTGTTGTAGGGTGTACTGTGTAGGACGGTCATTAAGAACCGTGACCCGCCGGCGACCCTCACCGGGAATAGCAAATAAAGAATGCCCATTGATATTGTATAAGGCAGTAGTCCTTTTTAAGGGCGATGGGTTTGTTCCCGGCGGAACTAATTGGCGAAATCGCTGTGTAATTGAGATCTCTTTGTGTTGCCGACTGAGCTACCCCCTCCCCCCTAGCCTCGCTACCTCCCTCCTCCTACTACATACATACTATACCAACTACTAGATGGATACATTTTAAAAATACCTCCTCGGCATTCTAAGCTGCTGGTAGCTAATGTTTTTTTCATTTCCTGAACTCATCATTGTATAGAAGCAATCAAACAGAAGTTTAGATTATAATAAAATATATTGAATATTAAATTTGATATTTAATGTATGTGTGGTCCCATTATTAGTGAGTGAGTCTCGATGGGTTATTAATGATCGTTCAAGGGACCGACACGCGACTGTAATTAACATAGCATTATGATAATTAGGAATTCATAAGGTGACCGCGATCAGACCTACCGACCGACATCTCATAGAGAAGAAATATTTATTAGAGTTTGATAATGTGGACAGAAACTGTGATCATATTAATATTAAATATTATAACACAATAATAATAATATAAAGTATACGAGCACTGTAAATAGCTTCAGTGAAACTAATATTTTACAGTCGATTTGTTTATTTTATTTCCCTTATCGTTTATAACGTGGTAATGCACCAGCGAGCAACACGAGTCAACAAATCATACAGCGGATGTACTCACACAAATATACTCTTCATTTTTATAGCCGTAAAGGTTAAAACCGTTTGACATTAATTACTATGTTCTGTACAAAATAATGATAGTAGAGCAGTAGACGCATAATTTACATGTCTGTAGCATTGTGGAGATGATTACTGCTAAATGAAACTCCGCGGAGTACCTGTGTACGGGCTGCGGACTGGAAACAATACAATATACATTATTAAAATACTTGTAAGACTGAGGCTGGGGCTGCTGCTCCCAGGAGTACTTCTGTACGTGATTAACTTTTTAAAAATAACTTTTTGTCGTATCGGGAGTAAGTTACTTAAATCCTTACAAATAATAAGGTTACCTGTACACCTATGTTACATGTAGTGTGGACCACAGACGAGTACGACTGATTGAATACAGATTTTAATACTGTAGAAATTCTAATTTAATCTCTAAAAAGTTGCTGTCGTTGTAATAATATTATATGTATTACCTTAGCGAAGTTCAATGTTCCAATGTAATAATTAATGTGATAGGATACTGAGCAATAAAATACAGAGAGATTTGAATTACGTCCTAGTTATAAGGAGATACATACATCCGGTGCATGAGGAACGATGACACGGTGGAATAACATTATAATTAGAAAAATATTGATGAGGAGGCTGTATATACATACTGTGTTTAGAACAAATATTAGTTGTCGGAAAATAAATTTTTAGCGCTTCTTACCCAAAACAGCCTAAAATGGGAGTTTTTTTCAAATGTAGCAATAAACTTTTAATACAACTATTTTATTCGTTTATATCTTGTACCGAGTTAGTTTATTTCTTTCTTGTCCGTCATCGTGACTCGTTTTCTTCTCCCGGTCTCGTTGGACGTGCTTCAGTTTTTTGGCCGTAATTCAATTTGTGTCCTTCCCAAGCATGTAATCCAAGTGTTCACGGTCTGTGAGAGCGAGTGTCGCGCCACGAGTTCTCTTCAAGACGCTCCTCGCCGAGTGTTTTCTTAATAAGACTCTTAAACTATTTCGAGTCGGACACATTTTATACGACACCCACATTCGACACTCACCGTTTGATGTTTAAACAATATTATTATTGTCAAACTTCAGAGTTCAATTTTACTTGAAGTGTTCTTGAGTTTTTATTGAATTTGAAGAGCAAACATCTCCAACGGCTCGACGGTCGTATTATAATAAAAATGTAGTTAGGAGAACGACGACGGCCGCCTCGCCATCGCCACGGCTACATAAACACACATCGGACGAGCAGAGAGGATGGGGAGAGGAGACGAGGCGAGCGTCCCACTGAGAAGACGAGCGGCCCGGGCGCCGGGACGGGGAATAAGTCATCCGAATAAATTAAAATAACAAGTACGATACATACACGATACATTATAACGAAAATCAACTATGACTCACAGACGGAACGGCGATCGGCTTAAGATGATAATATGTGAGCCGCGGTACAGGTGACCGTCCGCTGACTAACATACATACGATTATAATAAATACATATTGGTAGCACGTGTTATACGGCTTCTCGGATTACAAAGAGTCGATGAGGTAGTTTCATTATTATTAGGCCGCGACCTCCTGAAGCGATTTAATGCCAACCATAACTCATGACATAGTCAGCTAGTGACGATCGGTCGTAGAGTAACCTACAGAGGGAGTATTAGGGTTTAATTAAAGTTATGAACCGGAGAGACAAACAGTAGTGGTGACTCAACACAATACATGCTTAATACTATATTTACAATAGACGTTGAACGAATTGGTTCCACAAATGTAGGAGGTAGTTTAAGCGGTTATAAAACGCTAGGTGAGGCGGGTGTACACCGAGGTCTATGATCGTCTCTCATCCTCCTCCGGGTTCCGTTCCGTCAGAGGTCCGAGTGCTCGCTATCTATAATTGAGATCGTTTGTCCGTAATGAAAACTAACAGATAACTTCTCTTTATATAACTGGTGGATGTATCCGTGTGCGCTACACCGAGACCAGTCTGTTCGGCGCTTGTTTAGGATATTACAAACTATACTCATCTCAAAGCCAAATCTATTTTACAACAGATATTTTAACACAAAACATCTTGTTGGTCTGTGATCGTTTCCGTTAACTGATAGACGAATATTTATTTTATATACTTTCTTATTAAAACCTGATGATTATATATAGTTAGCACGGAGCTAATATCTAACAACTCATTACATTTTATTACATCCAGCGTCAGTTAGAACCGCGCAGATATCTCGTTAGGAGATTAAATTCATCGTGTTCATTATATTTGAAGAACGTTAGAGGTTAGCTTTCATATAAAATGTTTTAAATAAAGATGTAACTAATATTTATAATAAATCAATATTCAGACCGGACGGACTGCCTCTTTAATTAATTCAGTTTATTCTCTCCACGGAGTTCATTACTGTTATACATTTAGTAATAACATATAACATACAACATTAACCAAAATATTCGTGAGCCGACCTCCTCCTTCTTATTGGTTCTAAGGTAATGTTTATTAATTGTACGGCGCATTACAATAGACGTTATAATCATGTAACAGATGCTTTACAAACAAATGAACAGAGTAACTGCCTGAGATAACATCTTGATTAGCGATCACTCATTACAATAATGAATTATATACAGAAGAAAAATTTGTTCCTAGTATGCTGTTAAGGTTATTTTCTGTACCATTCCAACAGAAATGAAATACTTGTTTAAGTAAAAAAGATCATTTACTTTATTCTCATGTATAAACTTTTGTATTTAAAATATTGGAGCTATTCATTCCAGACATTATAGAAATGGTTTTTAAATGTCACATTATGCACACATCTTATTAGGGAGGAGTGATAAACATTCAACCACCTAGGCCTATTATTATATGTATGTATATACAGACATTGATTTTGTGTGTATAGTTGAGTTATTGAAATAAATTTGTTAGTTGTTTGAAAAACAAGAACTCAGAGTGTGGTTACTACACGATGAAGTCATATTATTCAGTTATGAGAGGAATTGTTATGGTTTCATCCGATGATGAGGATGTCGAATCAATGGAACAGCTCCAGGCTCGCCAGCTGTGACTCAACCACACACACGGGAACTACTGATGACTGTAGCTTTACACATATCTGAACACACATATATTTATAACAACAAACATAACATCTTATAAATAAAACTACGCGTTTTTCATTATTTAGTATCTGCAGAATCCGGGCATTTAATACGAAACAGGAATTCGTGTTGAGAACTGTAAAAGTGTGGCGTTTAATAGACTAACGGTGTGTCAGAGTGATGTGGACTGACAACAATAAGGGGTGTAAAGATATTGGAATTGGATTTAATAAACTTATTTTAAAAACAAATTATATACAAAAATAAGCCTCCATAGAAATTTAATCACATTTCATTTTAAACCTGAGACAAAGCATTAATATTACATTCTTCACTTTAATGAACTTTTAGTTGTTCTAATATAATCAGATATTGTTTGTATATAATGAACAGGTCCCTACTTTAGCCACATCCCCGGCGACCACAGCCTGCACTTACCTAGTAATAACTGGAGTCTTTTTATAAACCACAGGCTGGTCGGTCGTCGTGTTTAACATATACTCCTGTATGTCTGTATGTTCAGTCTGTACCACCACCACCAGTCTGCGGTTCTCTTAACAGAGCTTAATTCCGTTTATAACATATATTTACTTCGCTCACCGCTTTTAGGATAATGATAAGCGATTAAGGGGGAAATCATTTATTTATATAAGTATATAGTATACAGATAGAAAATTTTTTTTCTTCTTTCCATAATTTAATATACGTTTCGTTACTTATAACTAAACGTATTGGTTTTGATAATAGTATTGGTAAATTGGTTTAAATAATTTATTTTTTTATCCAAGTAATAAGAAATCCTAGAGAACCTTTTATAAAAGAAAAGCCTACTTGTACGATGCTTCACTGGAGCTCCGATCTATATAAGACAATATTAAATAAGGTTCTATTCCTTTTCATAGAGTGTTCACTGTAGTCGAGTAAAGTTCACGAGAGTTCAAGTCTTGTCGGCGCAAATCAACAAACATTTCCCCGCGAAATAACCCTCGCTCATAACAACGCCGCCATTACAACCGCAGTGCAACCGCTCGGCGTATCTCATCTCTGTACAGAGATGTACGGAACACCTCACATTCGTGTCGGAGCTACTCCCCCCCCCCCCCCCCCCTCCCCCCCCGGCCGGCCGCGGAGCCAGGCGCGCGCCGACGGTGAACCTAAATCACCTAAGCGTGAAACATTTATGCTGCAGTTTAAACTACGCCTGCTGGTGCTGGAGGAAACTGAACTGTACGAGAACAGAATACGTGCGACATTCATTCGGCCGGAGCAGACAAAGGTGTGAGCAATGATAATATTAATGGAGCCGGTGTAGTGATGTAATGGCTGTGGATGCCGTGTGCCGGTGGATCGTGAGCCGCCGCTCCGGCAGCGAGCACACGACTCCATGTATCATAGGACTCCTGATGTATCGGCACACGGAGACCGACCGGCCCACTACGACACACACATGAACCGAATTATTGTTACAGCCTCTTATAGAGGGGCTAGGGTTGAGTGGCTTTGTCACTTACAATATGACATATTAATACTTAATTAAAAATAATAAATAATAAAAAAAGATGTTATTTTTTAAATTTAATTGTCAATTCCAGTTGTAAAAATTAATATTGACGTTACTTAATTTACACAAAGTGTTTCATATTTTAAGTTTTAATCCAACTAAGCGGAAACTCTTAAATGAAGGGACTATAAATGGTAAGTGTATTGGTATAAATGTTCCCGGTTATATAATGTATTGAGGCTCTCGCAATCCATTAAAAGGTTAAAGAAGTCCCGTGTACATTACACACGTAGCGAGTAGTACAAGGTTGAGGCGCGCTCATTAGGCGGCGATATACGAGCCAGGAGATGTCACGTCGTGCCAGGATACTTTACACTCATTAGCTGGAGGCCAGTTCCGAGAAGTGGGATTGGCGCTATGCAAATGACTTCCACCGTTATAGGACGACCGGCCACCGCTAACATGACGCTCCTACATACAGACTCCTGGACCTGGACTGATCGATGAGGCCAGGGATGGCTGTGGTCGGAGATTTCAGGGTTCATGGAAGTGATAACTTATTTCAGAATTATTTTTAACTCTATTTGTTTTAAAATTATTATTATTATTACTTTATAAATAATTGTATTATATTAATGGAGAACACTTAATATTTATTTTAATGACTTATATTTTTGCGAAGACGACTAGATTTATGTATTCTGTAGGATTTTACTGCAACGTAATCTCACCCAAAGAAAAAACAATTAGCTTAAGTTTTCTTTTTTTTCAAAGTTGATTTCAGACAGACATATACAATACAGACAAACGATTATAAAATAAATCTTACTGTGAAAGAAATACTGTACAAAGGGTAGAGAGGATTCAATTATTTTAAAATCACGTTCAGCTATTATAATTCTATTCATAAAAATGTAAAAGTAACAAAATATTTATTATAAATAAGACGAATTATGTATATACTTCGTTGCTTGTATTTTAAGTACAGTTGCAACATTTTAGTGGACCTGATTGGAGAGCGGAACGACATGTATTGGATGATTTCAATATGTGAGTACAAGACGGACTCAGGAACAACTGACAGGACGAGGAACAACACTCAGCAGACGTCACACACGACGGACTCCGAGGTAATAATCATATATACGAGTAAGTGTATTAAAAACTTAATATGAATTACCACACCAATGTCTACGTGGCTTACTTTCAACCGAGCCTTTTAACCTTATTTCCTAGAGAGGAGCAACAGGTCTTTTCTGTGCGGACTACATGCAAATGAATAGCCAGATAAGGAGATGGGAAGCAAAAGAAGAAAAACGTCTTCGCATGCCAGCGCTAACATACTCTCTATAGTACGAGTATGTAATGAAATACTAATGGAGCGTGTTTAGTGGCAGTAAAAGACATGTACAATGAGAAAAGGCACAGACTGTGACCAAAAAACAATCGTAGTCGATCCTGAATCCACGAAAAATAAACTAGTTTTCTGGTAACATTTTTAAATATGACAAGTAAAAACATTAATTAAAATATCATTCATCAAAAAGGTGTACCTGTTAGAGCGTGGTTGACATTCTGAACGGGGTTATTCAGAGCTTAAATAATGTTGTTCCAACTTATAAATAAATAACAGTCTAATGGTATGACAAGGACAGTGGCTGTTAATTAGTTACACCAGCACCAGTTAATATTATATGAGGGCATTTTTTACAATAAAATTGTAAAATACATGTATGTAAGTATGTATGTCAGTCAGTATAGTAGACGGGACTAGCTCTGTTTAAGCACGTACATATATTCAAAATTAAATATATATTTTACAAAGTCAAATCATAAAACATAACATAACTTTAGCTCACTATTTGAATATATTATCTTTTGTTATATTATATAACATAGTACAATACTAACATGTAGAGAAGCATTCCTTGTATGACGAATGAGTCATATAAAATTAATGTTAATGTTTTCGTCATCAACATCAACTAATTACCTTGTAATAATTATTAAGTACACAGTAGTAAAGAACACTAAACGATGCCGTCTTGTTGTGTCCATATTAGGGACGTCTGTAACACAAGTTCAGTCATCAAAGTCCGTCCGGAACTGACCCCGCTCACCTCACACCGGACATGCATCTACGAGGTCCTTACTCTCATGATTATCGATAATTAATTGAAAAACCATTCCACTTTTATTAAAATAAGTTCTTGGACCAGGCTTTGTTTATTTAATTCTCTGGGTGCTCTGCTCAGTGTAAATGTTTTTTTCCATCTCAAGTAATCTATTTTATATCTTCATTCGTATCTCTTCGTATTATATCTGTGTATTGTTCTTCCTCGCCGTCCGTCCCTGTGACTGACGCGCCGTCTCCTCGTGACACTGTAATTGTCTCTTTAGTTGCCTCTAACTCGCAATTGCAATAATTACGATTGACGAGATTGATTCAAACATAATTGAATTCTCTAACATTTATAATAATCTTGTTTATTTCCCGAATATTTTTGTTTATATTAAAATATATTTTGTAAACAAACTAGGGCGATTCTTGAAACCAGACTGGTATATTCTTAGTGAAGCTTTTATTTTGTTGCAGGTCTGTCATCTTGATGAAGTCTGGTCGTTTTATTATGATGCACACATTATTCATCAACTCTATAATCAAGGCTCATAAACCAGGGGGATCCTAATCTTCTTGATATGACTGGACGATGTCATCTCTTAAACAGTAGACTTTTATTCTACTGTTTGAAATTTAAGTCTCTCGGCATTGATGAATGACAAGTAGGAGTTTAGAGTATTTTCCTGAAGTTTTTATTGAAAAGGCTCTTTTATGTTGTATGTATTGAGATATATTACAAAAGTGCTTACCGTAGTGGTTCTGAATAACTTATTTATACTTAGATTTGAAAATCTACTATTTTTTCATGTAACGAAGTACTTGAAACGTATGAAGATTTTAAGCTCCGTTACTTCCTGATGATAGCATGATATATGATTAATATTAGTCAAAAATATAAAGTTGCAACAGTTCTTATAGACAATGTTATTTAATTAATTATACCAACATCGGACAAACCAACGAGTTAACTCTTAATTGAATCATTATAAAAACAATATTATGTACATATTTATAAGTCTGCTTCTCCTAAGCGTCGTCTATAACTTGTCATATATCCTCGTCAGTTACAGAAAGGGCAATGATTTTCTGTCTTCAAGTATCTTATAATTATTTATGATATTACATTATATATAAGTTACAGGGAACGCAATTAAATTAAACGATTACTTAATTGAATCTTATTACTTTAAATTTAATATTAAATATCATACAAAAGTTGTATGTAGTTTCATATATCATTCGCTGTCTCGTATATATAAAAGTCTTCATTTATTTCCTACAGGCGACACAAGTGACCTGAGTCATCAGTTTATGTCACTTTTAATACTAATCTAATTGATAACTGAGATCTCTATCGACTTGCGGCGAACTCGAATCACACATACTGACACACATTATGTTTATATATGATGGACTATGAGTACAAGTGTGTCAGTTTGTAGAGTCGTGATACAAATTAATTACGGTTTGCAAATCATTATTTTACTACCGTAGAGTAACAAATAAATAGCAATGAAATCAAATTTAAATATGTCTGTTAATAAAAGTCAGTGTCTCAGAACAGATTACTGTTGTTTTTGCGAGTAAATCCGCGAGCGAGTCTGTTGCGGCGCGACCCAGCGGGGGTCGGCTCCGGAGAGCAAGGTACCACTTGTTACTGTATTGTTTTGACGTTCGGCATCTGTGGTATGTGAGCCACATACAGAAACTAAAACAACCGATTTGTAAACTTAACGACTACATATAGAGTGTAAATTAGTTTGTTATGTTTTATTATGTTTGCTAAGTTCAGCAGTCGCAATTAATTATTACATTGAAGTGAAATAACGTGCAGCGGTCGTGGCAGGAGGGAGATATTACGAACTGATTGTTACGTGGAGACTGTGGAGTGTGGAGTATGGAGTGTACAGGTGTCTCAACCATGGTCGTTAGCAGGGACGTTTTAATGAAGTCACTTTGTATATACAGGGTGTACAGGAGTATCATAGAGTTTATAAAGATCAAGTACACGCGGGGCTTTAAATGTCCTTACATAACTGACGCTGGTAACTTTCAAAATATAAAAATGTAAAAAAGATTATAATTGCATTCATACATATACATGGAGACACGAGCATGTGTGTGTAACTGCGTGCGTGGATGCTTGTGTGTGTGTGTGTGTTTGTTTAACTATTACAGTCAATGCTGTGCTGAGCTGAGCTGAGATGTGTTTTAATTTGTCATAATAAATGTTTATTACATGTTTAGAAAAGATTTTTGATCTGCTTAGGTGTTGGGAAAATAAGTATTAACTGTACAATATTTCGACTGAACGGCTGAAGTGTACTGTTTTAATTCAGTCTTGTTGTAATAATAACAGAATTAATATTGCTAGTGTCTATGTTTAGAATAGATATAAGTTTAGATGATTCTGTCCTTGTCCTCTATCTGTAATGATTCTTCATCTCGGTCGTATATTGTAACGTGATCGGAAAATGGAACCAGTATTAACACTCAAACACTGTTCCAATGAAACTTTCTTTCACTTTCGTTAGTGATGCACACGTCAAAAATGTATAAAGCTACTGATGAGAGCGATGTCGGGGTCCTGGTGGTGGCATCGTGAGTGTCCAGACTGTCTGACATTCAGGCAGATCAATACACAACATAATATATTTAAAAGATACAATACTTCTCAATTAATTTTAATTACCGAATCATTACAATTATATTTAAACAGGACTCGAGCAGTCGAGCTGTAACTGACAATTTCATAAAACCTTCCTTTCGACAACGATCACTGCAAAGTAATAATAAAAAGTGTGATCATTTTACAAACAGGATATATATATTTCATGACGACGTATCACTCTCGTTAAAATCATAGAACTAAGAACATATCAACAATTACTGCTTTTGCATTATAAATATTTAGACACGACCAAACATTGTAAAATTCTTAAAAATATTCCCTATAATAAATGTATCGTCGTTTTTTCTCACATAACTACACATTAATGTAAATGAAATGAGTCAGTCAGTATGGGAGAGTGTCTATTAAACGTAAGTGATGTGTCGTGTGAGCTGTCGATTGTTTTTCTTTAATTTATAATACACAGAGTGTCTGTGTTGAGGGCCAACAATTAGTATTGTGTTCCGATGACCCGGCGCCGTCTGCGGGGAGTCCGCTCACATTACACATTGAATTACAACCGTTTAATGTATACATACAGTATTGTAAGTTTTAGAGAGCTCCATACACACGTGGAGTTATCAATAGAGGTATATGTTAGATATAGTTTACAGGACTTAATATAAACGAGACATTACGAAACATTTTGTTTCTCAATATATAATAATTTTTCTTAAAAGGAAAAAACTTCCTCCAACGCTGACTGTTCAATGTCGTTAAAGATTTGAAGTCAGTTAATAATAATTTGAATC